AGTGGTAGCATTAAGAATTCAAACTTGACTAAACCAACCTAAACATTCACAGTGGTATGAAAAAACAATCCTGATTTATGATGTGTTACTAACTAACACAACTCACTAATGTTCACTTTTAAATTAAATTAAATTAAAATGACTGGAATGAACACATTTGAAACATCTGTGTTGGGGTAGTGGAGATCACTTTGTAGGGATATTGGGGCTTATTCAAATAAAGTAAAATGCCCCACCCCACCTTGACAACTGTGCAGCATTTCTCCCAGATCTCAGTGGAGGACTGGACATAGTGCTCAGGCTGCGGCTCCCAGATGCTGATGGTCTCTTCTGCGGTGCTCTTCAGCAGGCCGTCTCTGGTCACCAGTGCAGCCCTCACACTGGCGGTGCCCACGTCCACTCCAACATAATAGACCTCTGCCATGAGGAGACGAGCTGAATGTAGAGGAGGAGGAGCACACCCGGGAGTTCATTATTAACCAGGTTAAACCGTTAGTGTTACGAAATAGAAGTAAACACAGATATTAACGTATGCACGTCGTGTATTTGCTTTAAATAAAGATTTATTTTCCGTGGTCATGGATCATCAGACACTGAAATCGTCCTCAGTTGAATATGATAACGCAGCGCTACCCGTGCAGCTACAACAGAGATACAGAGATGTTCCACCTAAAACAGAATAACATTACAAACACACACACACACACACACAAGGCTTTATCTAAAGCAGAGGGCTGCTGTGACTCGGATAGTACAACATGTTCGACCTTACCGGCAGATCAAAATCTCATTCCAAAGCACAAAACATCACTTTTGAGTTTCTCTGAAAACGTACTTTGAGCCGGACACAGTTGTCGCGACGGAACGCGAAAGCGGCCAAAATAGGTCAAAGTCGCATTTTTGTGTTGAGTCAGATGAAGTCCAAGCAAGACAATCGGGCACCGTGAATATGTTGTTTTATTTTCTTGATATCTCCCTCTCTTTGTAGAGCCCAAGATTTTAAAAGATTGTTGAATCACGGAAAAATCACTGCAACACAAACAATACAGATCCATACTGTAGCATTGTACATTAGCCCATAGTATACTGTGGGAAATGGAAGTACCCTATGGGCCTCACTACAAACTTACTTCCAAAAGAAAAACCCTCAATTTTCATTTAGAAGTATTGACAATGACAATCATAAATGACAATTTAATGACAATCATAAAAAAATATTAATCACCAGATAAAAAGAGCCATTGGCCAAAAAAAAGGCCGAGAGGGAAAAATGGGCCCCAGACTTCTGTCTATCTGGTTCATCTCTTAGGTGCACATAGATTTATTAATTGCAACTTTTTGTACTTTTGAGTTTGCATGACTAAGAAAGGCTTTGTATTATTATACTTATCTTGTGGCTTTGCCTTGTGGCTTTGCCCTGTCTCAAAATCTAGCTGTTATTAGTTTAGTGAAACCTGTGCTCTTACAGTGTGTTTTCATCAATAAACTGTTGTTTAATCAAACAATGACAAACTGGCACACAGAAAACCTGGAGCCATTTCGTAACTAATTTCATTAACAATGGCTCTGTTCCATTTAAGGGTCCCAGTGACAATGAGCCAGCGTGCACAACGCATGGGCTGTGGAGCTGGCAAACCTAAATGGCGTTCAGCCATCACTATTGTTATTCATATCTGTGCTTATGTTCTATGACATGTCAGAATGTCTGCTGTGAAAAAGGTCTGTTACAAAATATTATCTACAAGAGCACAGGCTGTGTACATGAATTACTAACCATTCATATGTGAACAGAATATCTAAGATTAAAACTTACTGTAGTAGATAATAATCTGTTAGGGCTGCGAAACTGGCTTGGTTGTAAAAAATGGGGACAATAATCTGCCATGAAAAACTCTGAAGAACTAACATGTCAGACTTTCTACTCTGCAGCCCGCCTCGCCACTTTCCTCTATTGTGTTCTTTTCTTCGAAGAGATAAACAGCTGTCTAAAGGAAGTAGCGCTGGCTGTGATCAGCGTGTTTGGACCAGGAATGATCAGCAGAGATGGAGTACAGAGAAAAACCAAGCAGCAGGACAGGAAGAAACAGATGGTCTTTAACAAACACTGCACGGACAGTGTTTGAAATCTCATCTGTCTCTCTCACTGCTCGGGGTGTCTCAGACAGAGTGTGTGTCTCTCTCTCTGGTCCACGCCTGAAGGTAATCAAAACTTTGCTCTGTTGATACATCAACACATGTATATAGAGTTTTTCTCTGTGTTTTGCTCTCATGAAGAGGGGGCAGTGTTTCCATGGACCCTGGTCTGTCCCACCTCTGTACAACAAAAGCAGGCCTGTTGGGAGGCAGGCAGGACCAGCTCCTGATTAGAAAACTACATGCAGTGGAAACAGCTGGCCCGGGCAGGGAGGAGGAAAGCACTGTTATCTAAAGGCGACCCCGTCGGCCAGCAGAGGGGAAAAGCTGACAGAGAAACAGGAAGCACGACCGGAGCACAGCGGTACTTAAATAGGAAAATGCTGGTCGGTGGGGCTTCACAGGTGTACAGAGAGACACACAGGGAGAATAACGTATTACATGGGAAGCTGCTCTGTTCTGTGAGAAGAGAGGAGAAAAGAAGAAAAAGAAGGCTGAGGTTTTGTTTGCCTTCATTACTGTTGCGGTATTAGACCCAAAAGTTTTTAAAGCATTCCAGTGCTGGCTTTCTACTTCAGGGTGTCAAATACTTCCAAATGGGTGTTGCTCGGCTGTGTTGTGAGGACAACATGTCATCTCAAGAGTGTTGACCTCAGCCGGCTCTGGATCTCTCAGGCTGTCTGAGGCTGTTAACTTATTTATAGTTGGCTTGAGGAGAACATGTTGAATAATACAATGGGGGAGGCCAGACAGACTGGACTGCAGCTGTACAGAGGCTTCAGTCATTAATGCAGCTTCACATTCACCTATGAGGCCTTTGAGAGTGAGCGCAGAATATAATAAACATGTTTTATGCATCAGGGGGAAGCAAAGATCATGTTTTAGGGCTAAAATTTTAATCATGTTTGGGCTAAAAAAAATTTATCATGATAAATTTGCCTTAATGGTGATTATTGTAATGATAACTTCTTTTTAATGCATCAGTGCATTCACTGGTGTGATGTTCTAAATACACATAACAGCCAGTGAAAAATGATGTACTTAAACTATACCATGAGCTAATTAGTTGATTAAGATACAATATAACTTTATTTTTGAAAGCCAAAAACAATCAGTTTACATAACAAAATGAATATAGGCTATCCATAGAAACAGTATGTACTGTTTGTCCAGTGGTGGTGCAATGCATGAATGAAAGTGCACAGACTGGTTACTAGTGTGTGTGTTATGAATTATAAACAATGAAAAAACAGACAGGTGCATCTGAGTTACTGTGTTACAAATTACAAACTGAGAAATATGAAGAGTGAATGACAAACTTAGATTTCCATATGAGTTGTTGTAGCTATTCTCACACTGATTTTTATGGACTTTGAACAATTAAATGAAATTTTCATTATGATCAAATTTAGGTCAGTAAGACATCAGTGGTATAAAAAATTGAATTCAGTTCAGTATTACAGTTAGACTTATATATATACTGTAGATGCTGTACGATCGTTTCCCATACGCGGCCTAATAACTGTATGTTCATGTTCACTCATCTTTGTTTATCTTTGTTGTCTCTATAGGTCACCTGTTCTTGGCACTTGTTGTACTTCCAATAACACACATCCTCATTTCAGCGAAAGAAATCGAAGAGGAACCTCAAACATGCATGTACCTGTAGAACTACATTTTTAAAGTGCGTTGTTCTTTAAAACAAATGTGCTCCTGGGGGCAGGTCTGACCTGTCATTTTCACCTCTTCCTCTTTCTCAATGCCTCTTCCTCTTGCCTTTAACTACTTGACCAGCTGTCAACACTTACCTTTTGAACTGTTACTATGTTTCTGTAAACACTGATGATACCACATCGCCACATTTTGATGATGAAACAATCACCGCAGGTTATGAATGTGCTCGTGTGTTTGGTCTGTGAAACTCGACCTTGTGTCAGCAATATGCTCAGGATCAAAAACATCTTACAACAGATCATTTGGAACAGGTCTTACTTCAGGATGGGTAACTAATTATTGACAATATATATATGGATAACTTTTATTTATTTATCTATTTATGTGAGCACAGATAAATGGCTTGATTCAACCTCTAATTATCATTGGTTGTTGTACGTTTTCTCACTTTAATTATATGGTGTTTGAACAGTATTTTTTTTTTAAACTTCACTATGATATTGTAAACTGTGATTTTTTAACCAGGCCATAGCACAGTCCTCAATATACAGTTCACAGTATCAGTTCGAATTATTGCAGTAGATACTAAATGTTTGTTGTCCATTATTATTTTCACATAGCTTTGTTGTCTATACTTCATTTCACTGCAGGAACTCAGAAAGGCACTTCCAAGCATGCACAGCTGTAGATATAAATTTTTAAAATGTGTTGTTCCATACAACAAAATAGTTTGTGGTGCAGGTATGATCTCCTCCTGTTTCTATCTCTCTACCTTCCCTGTAACCACATCCATTTCTAATCCAGCCATCAGCATTCATCTTTTTACTATAAACATTGATGATTTCATATCACTGCATATGATAATGAAGTAATCATGTTGTTTTGATGTACTGTTTTATGGTAATGTGTGAAACTCTGGATCTTGTGGCTAAGGCTAAACTCAACAGACCATCTGGAGAAGCCTCACCTCAGGATGGGTAACTAATAATTGAGCGGGTAACTAAATATTCAAAAACACTACGTAATCCCAGAGTACATTGCTCCACTGTCTGCATTACCTAATCCCATAAGCCATCGCGAGGGGGGGCGTGGATATGGCTCGTTGTCAGAGCAACCTGCATGTCATTAGACATGCACCGCCCACCAAATCATCTCAAGCCAATCAGAAGCCGTAGAAATGACATCATTGTTATTTTCAGTAGAGCTGCAGCTTAGAGGTGGATAAAGTTCGTCTCCACGTTGGAAGTGATAGAAAGTATTATCCCTATTCAGGCACCGTTTCTAGTTTTTGGGAAGGAGGATAAATCAGAAAGGACCCTTGAGGTGTAAACACACTGAGGCTCGGCGGCAGGGGAACGACGTTTTTTGTTGATGATCGCACGGGTCACAAGAGAAAAGTTTTCTCAGGACACTAAGTTGTCAAGTGAGTTGAACTTCAACAATAGGCGGACTCTATCAAAAGACAGTTGAGAGATAGTGAGTCACAGGACATATGTAAACAGTCATTTTGGATTTTTTTTTTCCAAGGAGAAAAGACCACCCTCGAGGTGATAAAAACTTTATGTCCAGAAAAATGGAAGCGACGTTCTACGAAGAAGCCGTGAATGCCTCAAACTCTCAGCATGAAGGGACGGCAGTGTATGGGTTCAACCCCAAAACCCTCAAACAGACCATGACCCTGAACCTAAACGACCCGAAGAACTTCAAACCCCAGCTGGGCGCCAAGGCCCTGGACATCCTGACGTCCCCTGATGTCGGGTTACTGAAGCTGGCCTCGCCTGAACTGGAGAGATTAATCATCCAGTCGTGCAGCGGGCTGACGACTCCCACCCCGACCCAGTTCGTCTGTCCCAAGAACATCACCGACGAGCAGGAGGGCTTCGCTGAAGGGTTTGTGAGGGCTCTGGCTGAGCTCCACTATCAGCAGCAGATACCGGTCGTCCACCCTGACGCACAGACCGGCGCCACCAACAGCGTATCCGGTACTGCTGCCTCCGAGAGCGGCGGGATTCCCTACAGCTGCACGGTACGCACCGAGCCGCCAGAGTACACAAACTTGGGCAATTTCAGTCGGGCTGTGAGCTCTGCGTCTGGACCTGCCAGCGAGAGGCACCCTGCTACAAGTTACCCTGCCGCCCCACAACCGTCCCACAACCACATGGACCACCAGCTGGCGGCGGCTCAGCACCCGCGGCTACACGCGCTCAAAGAGGAGCCGCAGACGGTGCCAGAGATGTCCGGCGAGACCCCGCCGCTCTCCCCTATCGACATGGAGAGCCAGGAGCGCATCAAAGCGGAGAGGAAGCGTATGAGGAACCGGGTGGCCGCGTCCAAATGCCGGAAAAGGAAGCTGGAAAGGATCTCCCGGCTGGAAGACAGGGTCAAAAACCTGAAGAGCCAAAATACGGAGTTGGTTTCCTCTGCCAATGTCCTCCGGGACGAGCTGGCTCTGCTCAAGCAAAAGGTCATGGACCACGTTAACAGCGGCTGCCAGCTCATTTTGACGCAGCAGCTCCAAGCTTACTAGACTGCCAAGGGAAAAGAACCAGGGGACATTTCTTGAGGACCAAATGCAGCTTAAAATGGCCTGTTCAGCCTCGCAGGGGGGTCTCATTTCAACTTTCCACCAAATGATCCTCCCAGGCTATATCCACACACGAATGGTGACTTACGAGATACTTGTAATTGGTCAGTATAATGAGCTGTAACGGAGAAAAGGCCACCAAACTCATTGCACAGACTCACAGCTCAGAGGGAACATGTGCTCATATTACACCTCTGATGTGACTTTGTTACGTATTTCTGACAATTTTCTTTTCTTTTTTTAATTTCCATCCAAAACTACAAAATCAAATTTGTATTCAGTCAACCAGGGAAACATGGCAAGTGTCCATACCTTGCCACAAGCTAATTGTCAATTGATTATGGCCCACACAGTCTTCCATCCTGACAGGACTGTCAGCGCTCGAGGGCGATCAAATTGCAATAGGACAGAAACACAATGTGAACCAGGTCTTGCCCTGCAAATCTTCCACTATGTGAAGTGTATGTATGTATATATGTATGCATATAGACTTGAGTCAAGCACTGAGTATCCCACCAGCGACTAGCCTACATGTACAGAGTAACACTTACAAAAAAAAAAGTTTCACACCTTTACGCAAGGACTCTTATAGGTGTGTGTAGCGTTTACTGACAAGAACTGCCTTACTTTCTTAACCCTTGTGTTCATACAACTTTGTGATATAGGTGTAACTAATGTTAGACCTGAAATAACACTTTGTAATAATATTTGTACGCTGTTCTTTGAGCACTTCGACTGTAAATATGAGAAAATAAAATGTTAGACACGCGTGACGCGTTAGTATGTTTGTGTGTGCTGAACAATGAGGTGAGGTGGGGTGGGTGGTGTATAAGATCAGATAATTGAATACAGTCTTTATGCGAAGTGTTTGTTATTGAAGGAACTGGGGCGGACGGGATATTGAGTCACCAGTGCAGTGAGAGGTGCTTGTAATGGCTGGTGAATCTTCTCGGCCTCCCATTGGACGGCGAGGTCTCGGAAGTGAGCTGGCAGCCAAATATGGCAATAGGTCCTGAGTGAGCACTTGGACGTGTGTTTGTGTGTGTGAATCACCGTCCTCCTACTACAGCCGGTCACTCCTTGAGGAAATGTAAGAAGCAAAAGCAGCGAGTATTGAGGTAGAGGAAAAAATGTTTTGATGTAGGTTTAGATATATTTTGTACAAAAAAGATGCATTTTATTTATTTTACCAACTATTGTGTGTAAAATAAATTACAAACAAGCTTTGTGTAAAAAAAAAAAAAAAAAAATACAAATTTATACATATTTTAACCTGAACTAGACAAACATGGCGGACAAATATTCAAGTGCACTGAGACATTAAAGATTCAGCTTAATCTGTGCACACTAACACTGAGGGACACCACTGAAAGTTGTAGGAATACTTGAGTAGGTTTATGAGGGGCAGGAGGAGACAGCTGTGCCTGGGTGATTTTAAAGACCCCACACCCCCACAGTAAAACCACACAGGTGTTTTCACTTACTCCTGGATTAGACCTCCTCAGGATGCTTGATTGACATCTGCTGCACCTGTTAAGAAAATCTTTATCATTCTTATTGGTTCATGGAATTAGAGCTAATTATCATCACAGCGTCGCCTCCAACTTCAGCCTGACATGAGGTCTAATCAGCCAGTTTAATTAAAAACACCTGCGAGGATTTTTTAAATTGGTACGTGCAGTATGTGGTGACCTGGTCATGTACACAATGCTACATGATTAGATATGGCTGTTGTGTTTTCTTACAGGGTGTTTTTATCAACACGTGGTGCATATCTGACAATATGTACAAGATGAACTGCAGGCAACACAGCCATGTTTCTCTCTACTCAGACTTCTTGCCCACACACACCTAAACATTGACACTGTGCAACCTAGGCTGGAAACTTATTTCCTGGCCAGAGCTTGTAGCTGCTGTTATATCCTGAAATTAAACACAAGTATTATATCCGCAAAATTAGATTCTCACTATATGATAGAAGTCGAAAATGGTGGCTGGTCGACTGCCACAATGGCTGGTGGACCAGACAAAAATAAAGCCGCCACAGTGCTAATTTGCCAGCTATTGGCTGTTGGCTGGAGCCGACGGCCCGCTCTGTGTCCACTGTCCAACTATTTTGTTTCATCTTGCTCCACTCATCCTCTTATGTTTCTGTGCAACATTAATGTGATTTTCCAGGTTTTACAAGGGTTTCTGAACACACCGTTACCCGTTCATTTCCATTTGGGGATTATTTCTGTGTTTGGTTCCTGATGATCTCCACAGTTCATTTACAGTCCAGTGTCAGTGGTTCTCAGCTGACAAGCACGCCTTCTTTAGCAGCGAGGCGTTGCCGGTGGACATGGTCTTGTTCTAGTTCTTCGTGGCTCGGGTGCCAGAGCCGCGACAGGATGCGCTCCATGTTGAGGGCATACATAGTGTGGGAGGGCATCACACCATGATGAACCTACAGCAGATAAGTGTTATAAAGGATGTTGACCATATAGATATCTGATGGTTAAATGATGACAGAATTAATCATGTGAACAAATCACAATAGCAAATACAGGGTTCCAAGCACAACTCAACATAACCACGGAACAACAAACAAGAAATACAAACTTACATTGTTGAAATATTTACTCCAACTAATGAATAAATAGTCATAAATATTTGTGACCAGGTATTAAGTAGGAGGTCATGACTTATAAACAATGTTACTGAGGCTCAGAGTTCTACATACTATCTAATATACGCTCTTCGATTATGAATAATGACGTATTATGTCATAACTTCTATATACAAGGCTTACGTTTTTAAGGATAAGATCTCTTGATTTAGTCATCTTTTAAAGACTGAGGATTCAACTATTGATAATGTTCACGATAAATCATTTAGATCCTGAATTGTTACAAATTTTTTGAAAATTGTGTTTCTAAAGAACATGTTCATCTCTTAAAGGAGCTTGTTTTCTTAAACTAAGAGTACAAAACCCCAAAAAATGATCAATTTTGTGTCACTTAGCAGAAATTCCTGAAGGATGAGAAGCTGACTGATCATTTCGGCTCCATCACATCCACTTTTATCAATCATGTCCAAGTTTTGGATAATTTTAAAAATAAATTTGTCCAAATGCTTGGGAATATCATAAATCCATTTGAAGAGTTTCATTTTTTTTTTTACCTGTAAAGCCTCCAGGAGATCAAACAAGCTGATTGGAGAGAGGGGCGCGGGAAGACTGTCAGCTGAACAAGCCAATAAGTGGACAGCTTGTTGCTCAGCCTCATCAGGTGACACTTGAGGTGGTGGGCCAGCAGGGAGAGAAGCGCTTGGAGGAGGACTGCATGAAAGAAAAAGTAAAAAAAAATAATTGAGTTGAAAAATGTGATCAGTAATATCACTGTCCTTTAATGACAGCAACAGAAACAATGGTTAACTGAAAACAAAGCAAAATAACAAATTACGAAGTATTAACTTTTTAAGTAGCTTATATTAACGTTAACTCTTTTTCGTATATAGGACATGCTTATTCCTTATTGGCTAGTAAGAGCAAACACAGTTGTCCCTACCATTCAGTAACACTGTGGTAAGCAGCAAGGCTGTTCTTCAGATAAGGCTGCGGCGTGACATCACTGCCAAAGGCATAAGGGAAATGACCATCCCGTAACCGATACGCCTTCCTCCGGGTGATTACAGCAGTCAGGACATCTTTCAAGTGGTGCTGAAATAAATCATGGCAGTGAGTAAAGCTTTGCCCAGTCTCCTGAGTAAACACAGCTGTCAGTCATACATAGTAAGTAGTGCAGAAAATAAATCACCCCATCCATTTAATCCTCTGCATGGAGGTTAAAAGACAGGATGCCAATGAAAAGTTCTGTTCCAAAATGAATCCCTACCAAACCTCTACCATTGTTTGAGGTTGTACTTAAATTACGGTCACGGATAATTTAAGACATTTGCATGCAAAATTCATTCGCTTCCTGAGGACATAATTAATTCAATTTTAAAGTACACCATCAAAACAGAAGCAGAGAATTTTGCAAAGAACCTCTTTAAATATGTCGTCTGCTTAAGTGTCTACTACTACTACTACTACTGCTACTACGTTTCAGCTTGTAGGTGTAAACAAACCTGTACCAGACATGAATTCTGCAGTAGCAGTGAACCATGGGTGCTTGCTTTCAGTTTTTAGGGCGGATACTTGACAATTTTCTGTGGTAATAACTTTTAAAATATATTTAGTCAGTCATTCTTGCTACCACAGGAGTAAATGTCATGTGGGGTCACACAGTCAGTTACCTTTGTTGAAGATCTGTGTATTTATTTGGTCACTTACCTAATTGTGTACAAACTAAGTAGGTCGACACTATCCAGTTCTGTGGATGGTAACTAGTCCTAGACCCTCCACACATTACTGGACCACAGGGTGAGTGTGGTTAGCACCCTCAGTATAAATGTATAAATGCCTTTTCTTTTTTTTTTAATTTATATAAACAGACCCACACACCCTTCTGCATAACTGTATGTGTCCTTACCCAGAAGCACCTACTGGTCATCAAATCAGACCAACACACACACAACCCTCTTGGTGGACAGATTCTACAAACCTCAACGGCATAGATCATGGTGCTGACAGCATCGTCTGTGATGTTGTCTAGGCCCAGCTCGAACGCTGTCACCATCATGCGGGCCTCCAGCTGGCCCCGCGTGGGCAGCAGGAGTGTGTGGGCGCTGAGACGCAGCTCCTCCTCTTCACCTCCCACCTCTCGTGGACTGAAGGGCTGGGCAGCGCTCAGAGGGTTCTGAGGCTGGAAACGATGCTGAAGATGCAAACAGGACATATAAGCATCCAAATGATATAGTCAGTTGTTCAGACATCTATAGATAGATATCACCAATCTTTAAAAAAAACAAAAAAAACTAAACAATACAGCCAGCCATCATTTGGAAAACAAGGTGTTTTGAGATTAATGATTTGAGACTACTTACATCAAATTTCTGTCTGGAGGAACATTTCTTCTTCCCTTTTGGTTTGCCAGGCTTTGAAGCAGAGCCACCTTGCCACTGTAATGGTCCAGTGCCCTCTAGAGGACAAAACAGAACAAACACCAGATGCACAAAAGACAGCTTAATGAAGACCCGCCATTTAAAACATAACTTCTCTTAAGTCAGATATTAAGGATTTTCAGTATTAATCAATTATTTCTTGCTCTTGAGCTATGAATCATCAACACTGTTTCTCCCTCCACATTTATCAATACCAGTTTATTCAAGGCTTATACATGGTGGACATCACTCAGACAAAATCCAAATTCTTTAATCACAGGAAATAGTATAGCTTAAACACAAAGACAAGCTCACATGCAGTTTCAGAGACATAAAATTATTTAAAACCTTCCTACCTGGCGTGGAGACGATGATCTGGCAGCGTGTGAGAATGGCCAGGAGAAAATCATTGTGAACATGGACTGCAGAGGAAGAAAGAGGGAAACACAAAGTAAGTAACACTTTTACAGATAGCATCAATATTTCTACATAAACATTATAAATGTTTAAATGTGTTTCCTGGCTACTGACCATTCTCCTGTGCCAATAGACGACGGGCCTCAACGTCAAACTCCTCCTTACTGATCTTCTGTTTGAACCATAGCTTCAGGTTTGCCCAGTAACTGCACGGAGAAACAACAAATACAGTACATCATGTATACTATTTATTTCATACAACAACAAACCTATGGTCCACATACTGTAGCCTCTGCATGTCAGTTTCTCCTCAAGAATTTTGGCTGTAGGTATCGACAGTTTGAATTATCTATGTGTATGTTCGCATCTAATAGCTACGTTTATCTTTCTTTTCTTTTCGTTTCACCTCACGCTAACTAAAGATACACTTGTTAATTTCTTCAAGCCGTGTTCACACAAACCTACAAAAGTAAAACTACAAGATACTTCTCGTTAAGTTCAAAGCATATCTAACATTTGTTTTGTATCACTTCACGACGGAAACGCATAATAATGGATGCTGCAAACATTAGCAAGTGCTAGCATGCAAGTTAATGTCGACATTGCTTCCAAGAAACTAAGAAACCAAGTCAAAAATCAACGCCAGGAAAAGAAAATACACACAAACACAATTTTACTTACTGTTTGACATTATCACCAATTGCATCAGTTAAATTTTTCTTTGCAATTTCAAGCTCGCTAGCATGAGCCGCCATAGCGTTCATAAACTCCTACACGGACGTCATCACCCGGTGACAACCAAGCCCCGCCCCCTTTATTTGAATCGGTAAACTTTATTGAACTTCTGGTGTAGTTTTAACAAACATGCTGGGAAATTCATTTTTCATTCATTTTTTTCTGTGTAGACTATAGGAAACAGCACCAGCAACTGTTTACCTCAGTCAGCCAGCTGTAATGATGCTGTTGTGTCGACAGCTATAAAACTTTAGTTATCTATATTAAACAACAAAAACTTTATCTTTGCATTGCATTTTTTAACTCATGCTTGGACCCATATCACATGCACATGACTATTTTTGCATATGCTATTTTTACAGTGTTTTCCTCTCATAGTCCATGTTAGTCATGTTATTGCATCTATTGTGAAATGTTTCATTTGCCTGTTCAAATTAGACCACATGGGGTTTGTGAGATTGGCCTGCTTATACAGGCTGTCAGTTATGTGTGTGTGTGTGTAGGTGCATCTCATCCGTGACAAAACTCTCATCCCAAGTATTTCCTGTTTTACCTGAGAAGACCATGGTGTGGTTTGGTAGTAAAACTACTCATCCACTAGGTGGCATCATGGTATCATTTAAATTCTGCAAAGCCCAGTCTCTGGTGCAGCAGAAATTAGTAGCCCATCAGACCAGTGCATTTGCAGTGTGATATGAGTCCGTTAAAGTGTCAACACACACACATCATAGAGACAGGGTCAAGGTGCATTTTACCTTAAAAAATGTAGTGCAGTCACAGATTCTATACTGGTGGCAGCATGGGTTTCCTGGAGCCTGAACTTATGTATTTAAAATATGGCTGTAGGGTCGATGTACAAGACTGATCAATGCCAAGAACAGGACCAAAGAGATCTCACTGGCACGAAGCTGAGTTGCAATGATTTGCTACAAAGAAAGAGTGAATATAATTTATCCCCCTTTCAAGCTCTAGGAATGTAGTATTAACGATGATTTTTAATAATGTTCGAACTTTTTACTGTTCACCAAAGTTAATTTAAGGGGGATTTTTTTGGTCCACTAACTCCAGAAATACTTAAAAAAAAAAAAAGATATCAGTAATCTCCCTCCAATACAAAGCCAGCTGCACGAATCGGGGTATATTTTTAATAAAAAGGGAGAAAGCTATCATTAAAAAAAGAAAACAAAACTGTCACATCCTATTTAAACCACTGAACTCCCTGCCCCATTCCAAAATCACTCACATCTGCTGCCACTTTAGATCACAGCAGCTAAAATGTGAACTACTGCTAAACGAAGACACTATATTTCCTGTTCTATCATCGCAATGTGGAGGTAGAGTTACCAACAGAATTCAGAACTGGTGGAAAAATGTTACTAATCACTTTAAATCACATTTGTGTTTGGCTGTAGCAGGACTTTAATTTCATTTGACTATCCCCACTGGTCTGGGTTTGATTTAGCTTGAGACATAAAGTCCTGAATATCTTTCCAAAAGATCTTTATTGCTTAATTTATATAAAGAGAGGACTTTCCTCTATTTGTATCACCTTTTAGTGCTGTTGTTTTTAAAACTGTTCTGTAGAATTTATTGTTAGTAGTTAAAAGACAAGACCTGAATTAGTGCTATAGAAACCGCAGAACGTCTTTTTGTTTTCTTCTCTGCTGGACTGGACATAAACTATTTCTGTGGTTCCTTCTGTTGTTGTCCTCTGTGGCTCTTTGGCTCATGTCTCCCGAGCAGGTTTAGACTAAGGGGCCCTTTTGTTTTTCACTGTTTTAACTATGGTGTGAAAACAGTTGAGTTGTCAAGTCGCTTGCTCCTTTAGCTCTGTCACCCCGGGTGGCCATGAAGCCTTAAACAGGCCTCTGTGACTCACACAATTCATCACAATAAGTGCAATCATATATTCAGAACACAAACAGTTAACAGTCATACTGTAGATGATTAGTGGATCCTTCAGTTCAGTGACTAATGCTGACTCCACGCTGTTCTACTTTCTTACAGAGGAGATTCGTTTGATCATGTAAAGGGGTTTCAAGGTTTGAGTCTAGAATAAACAAGCATTTCATGCCAACCACGGGAACAATGAAAACCACCTGAATTCTTGGTCACTAATAGATGTATTTAACAGACTGAACGTCTGTTAATAAGCAGCTGAAACTCGAGGAGCACACGTCTCATGGCTCAAATGTTCCTTTATTTGTTATCTCTGGGTTGCGATCGGTGCTTAGATTGACTTGCTTCTGTCAGAAAAACCTCATTAAAATAAATCTCATTTTCACCATCTCAGCACTCGCTTGTGTGCTTCACAGCTAAATAAAATATCATCCTACTGTAGGTTTTAGACCAATAAAGGAGAGTGGAAACTTCAGCTGTCAGCAGCTAAGTGAGCCTTCCCAGACCCCTCTAAATGATCATCCATCTTAAACAAGTGTCTGTTAAGCTTTAAATCAAAAGGGCACTTAGGAATGGACTTAGTTATAGAGTTGTTTAACTGTCCCAGTTAGGGCAGGGATTAGTCATGGTGCTTATTTGGAAAGAAAACAGCTCCACATCCTGTCTGTTGATTTGCTGGTTGACACTAACTGAGCTTTTGCGGGCTAATGAGTCACTCTCACGGACATTCCCCCAACAGCAGATGTCTTTTAGCAAATAGTAACGACCTGTGGAGCCAGCTTCTTCCAGAAATCTTCTGAGCCTGGTGCCATTTTGGTGGTGAATTTCGTAGACAGTGGAGCTTCACTCAGCGACAAAGAGGGCTTTCACCTCTATAACCTCCAGAGGACCACACGGCAGCAGGGCTCAGCCATCCTCAGTCTGTTGGCCAGGTATTCGAGGTGGTACAGGCCAGAGTGTGGCCCCCTCGACGGAGCCAACGATGTCACCTTCACTGTTCCAATGTTTGACTGCGTAGGAGTTTGGTTTTTGTGGGCTAATCGTACATTTCCATACGCCCATGAGGCTGTTTAAAATGTGAGGGTTCAGTGTGTGGTGAGCAAAGTTATTGGAAGACTACAGTTACAGCTCCGGTGGTGACCGAGCATCCCACACTGGCAGCCTGTGGGGTGGTTAGCACCGACGTTTGAGAGGCAGATTTGTGACAGGAAGGTGGGCCGTTATAACCGTCTGTGAAAATGTGTGTTGAAATTGAACCAATGCTCTCATCACGTTCGTCAAGAGTTGTTAAGGTGTCTGTGAAAAAGGTACTTTACTCCTGAACTGCTCCAGTAGAGCTGCTCAGCGGCCAGCAGAAGAGGACAGGGTGGACACAGTATCCAGACTATATGCACAAAAAGTGTTGGATTAAAGAAATTTACTCGCTCAGGTGGATATATGTTCAATAAATTACTTGGAAAAAGCCCGTCATTTTGAGAAATGCCCTTGTATGCTTTCTCACTCTCATGTCTGTATGTTAAATATGAACCTGGAGCCAGCGGGGCAGTTAGCTTACGATAGCACACAAAGACTGGGCTGAGGGAGACACAGTTCGCTCTGTCCAAAGTTTAAAAAAGAAATCCACCAAACATTACCTCTGACGCTCACAAATTCTGTCCAAAACCGAAGTGTAAAAATGACAAGTTGTGGTTTTAGGAGGAGTTACATGTTGGAGTTTAGCGGCTGCACACAGCGACATAGCTCCAAAGTTCCAGTGGAACACAAAGAACCACAACTTGTCATTTGTACATTTTGTTTTCTGTAAAGATAAAACAAACCAGATATAATGTGTTAAGTACTGAGCCTCAGAAGTGCTGGTAGGGTGATTTAAACGTTGGACACAGCCAGTCTCGCTGTGGTTCTGCTTCCAGTCTTTATGCTAATATAAGCTAACCACCTGCTGGCTCTAGCTTTATATGTACCATTAAGACATCAGGGTGGTTTGATTCATCTCATTTCACTCTCAGGAAGGAAGAAAACAAGTGACTTTCCCAAAATGTACAAATCCTTTCAGTTTTTGTGCTATGCTAATATAGCTTTATATTTGCCATACAGAGAGTGGTATCAATCTTCTCATCTATTAGGGCTATTAATGAAAACATTACCCTCAGAAACTTCAATTTCCAGTATAAGTCGTCATTGTGCTTTGTTTGGACAGTGGAACAAAAAGAAAAGTAGAAAACACAAAAGAAAAGAGTCACGCAGTTCAGGTTGTGAGCCAGATCTGAAGAGATGACTTGCCTTCACCCAGTCAACCACAGAAAAATGTGTTGCCACTTAAAACGAGATGTCTTTGCGTCGTATTCATCTGTCTCCTCACTACTTTCTCACGCCTACGCAACACACACACAGAGTCAGGCACATTTAAGAAAACTCTCATTCATGTCAAACACAGAAATGTCTCAGAACTTCAGCGAGGAAACTTTAGAGCCTCCATGAAGATGTACAGTCGCTCTATCTGTTTGAAACAACTATGGGAAATAACAACAGTTTATTGGCATGACTCACACCCACAAGATAAGACTGGAATGTGCATGTAATCTCAACAAAAACTAAACACTAACCAGTCATGTACTTCTTGGTTAACGGCATAAATCAGCTCTCTGGAGTTCCAGTGAAAAAGAGCATCCCCCGAAGTGACCCAACACGTTGTCCATTTATTGAGTGTTAGTTGTGTAATGTTTGTTCTGCCAAGTGTTGTGAGTCATAGGTTTCAGCTTTTATTGCTGTTTCATTTCAAAATAATAATGCCATTTTTATTAGATGCTGCTTTTTTTTTTCACATGTCCATAAACATGTTACCATGTCCAGCTGGGTCTCCCTACTTAGTGTTTTTGGTTTTAAGTTTGTTAAAGAGATGGGTGTGAGGGCCATTGTGGTCAATAAGAAAAACAGCAGAATATGAGAGTCTATTTTCAGCTCAGAGACCAAAGGCTGTTTGTCTTTCATGTGTGTTGTGGATGCAATACTCTTGTTCAAAGCAGACCCACCAGTTCAAGCCCCCCAGCTCCCCTCTCCTCTGGGATGGTTTCCCCAAAAGGATACCGCTTTCCTTCCATACCGGTGATTACAGAGTGCAGGAGCCCATGACTTTGTCAATGAAAGATATTTTTACGAAAACATACAGTTCAAGCACTTTTGTGTGGAAAGAATGTAAATTTCACTGTATTTAAAAGGAAGAAGGGGGGAAAATAACTTGGAAATTTGGACCATTTCCATCCCAGTTCATCCCCTCCCTCCCCCACTCCCTCCCCTCTCTCCCTTCTTTTTCTTTCTCCATCCTGTCTGGCTTTCAGCAATGTGCTTCTCGTTGTCTGTCCCAGTGCCTATAACTCTCAAGACGCTTGGTCGACATATTTTTTCATGGTCGAAAACCACTCAAAACAAAACGTAATTCCATCTTTTTTTTCTCTAAACAATGCTTGTTTTTCTCAGAGTCATACTGAAATTTAATCAACAGCCAAATGAGAAGAACATATAACGGCAAGCATACTTTGAGAATGGTTGTCATATGTTCAGTGGTGGAAATTAGTTCTATTTTCTGTAGGATCTTTCACTGTTCCCTCGGGAACTCGGCCCTTTTCACTGTTATGATAAGTTAATTGTACACATAATTTACAGTTTCCGGTCATCTGCACTTGGACAACATAGCTTAACACACAGGTCATATTAACTGCAGGGAGGAAAAAATAAATCCGTACAGTGTCTGTGTAATCAAATGTACATAAAACATGTTTTTAAGCCACTTTTCCTTGCTCCAGCTCCCTGGCCTTTTTAAATCTGGAAGTGAATACAGGGTCTAAATAAATCTATATAGGTATTAACAAAATGTATTTTCCAGCTCCCAGCAAGTATAGCACAAGTTAAATCCTATGTATGAGTGTTTCCCCCAGACGTTTATCTTGGCGAGGTAGGAAGAGATGCATTTAGATCCTGTGACACTAAAGCTTATGAATGAAATCAATACCAATGAAGTTTTGTGAGGATGTGGCGCCTCCTCTACTCGGGATGACCTAGTAACGAGGGAAATACTGTGGTTTCTAAATCAGATCGTCAGCTTGCATTATTTAACTGCAAAATGTTGGGAGTCAATTTTAATTTCCCTTTACCTTGATGTGTATTTGGTGGTTAAAGGAGTTGTATGGCGTACTATAAATAGTCATGTCCCCTAAACCCCTCTATGTGTGCATCTATTATATATAAAGAGAACAATGTTCAAACAGAGTCTATTTCTGTTACAGGAGGCAACTCAAGTCACTACTGATGGGTGGTAATCTCCATTGGTGCGGGTCTTTTTTTTATCTTGGATCAACCAGTTGCTGATGACATATATATAGTCAAGACTTAGAATGAGGTTCAAGTGTGACCTGGCCTCCATAGCTGCCCGGGGACCAGCCTGGCTTACAGTATCTCCTCAGTCTATGGGCCTGATCATCATGCGGACAGATTTCATGGAGTAGAAGCCTCCGCCGTAGTCGGCCCAGAAGATCCCATCTTGGAACTTGCTGCGGTAGACGCCTCCGGTGTACCAGACACCATTAAGATTGGCTTGGCCACAAGCATTGTACCACCAGCCTCCTTTATGGAAATGGGCACAGTTACCTGTTGTTGGGGAGAAGGAATGGGGATGATTAGCTCTATGAAGAGGTGTGTTCTTCACACATTTGATGTTGACATCAGAAAACATCACTTGACAACATATTGACAGAACCTTTCACGGGTAATGGCGAGTCACTGCCTCTGCCACTTCCTGCTTGTCGTTGCGAGCTTGTCACAGCTCACCATAAAATCTGCTTGCAGGTTAAGAACTGATCTTTTTTTGATGTCAGTTTTTCAGCAAGTCAGTGTCGTGTCACCAGGCAAGTTTTGCAATCATTTGCATGTAGTGAAAATTTTTCAGCAAACGACACCTCGCTCTTTTCGCATTGCTGCTCAGGCGTGCGTTGCTTGGAATCCCACAAGGAGCTGGTCGCATATTTACACAATGTTTGCTAACGAACAAGCTACTACACGCTGCATGATACAGCTTTTGAGCTTTTGACATTCTCACAGCATCAACTAAAAAGAGGTGAAGGTGATGTCACATGATTTGCTTGCTTCCGCTATTTATTTTCTATGGGATGCGAGTAAATCCCTCCATAGAGCGTTGTGGGATTTCAGGCGACATGCGATGATCAGCGAGGGACAAATGCGCTACGTTCATTCGGTCTTCAAGTAACGGTCTATCTGTGATCGACCAGTTCGAGAAAACCCATTTGTTTTTTCAATCACAGCATCTTAAGGGTGTCTGATTTTTGACCAGTGAAAAAGATCTTCACTGTATGTCACTGTCGCCATAGTGAACACTTAAAAGCTTAAAATCTCGCAACCACTCAGATACAGGCTTATAATTCCAAGGTCACAATATTAACATTAATATCATGGCATCCTAAAGGGAGACTATGCTACAAGAGCACAAAGGGACACCATGTTCATCTACCTGAGAAGGCATCCTTGTCTCGATCCAGAGTGGTGAACTGTTTGCCATTGTGGCTGCTGAGGGAGTCCCCGGCGTTGCCCTGGTAGGTGCCCAGCCGCAGGCGGAAGCCCTCGCTCTCTGGCTCCAGGTGGAAGCTGCTGTACTGAGCGTAGACCTTTTTGCCCATCCAGTCCTCCAGCTCCACCAGCAGCTTATAGTCTCCCTGCCTCCCTAAATTGTAGATGCCTTCCAGACCAAGCCAGTATTCCCCGTCTATGTTGCCAAAGCCGCTCTGAGTCAAAGGAAGATCAAAAGGAAGGTTAGAGCAAAATTACAGAAAATAATGCGCATTGTTTGTTATGTGGTTTCCCAGGGAGTTTAGAAACATGAGAATTGTTTAGGAGCTTTAGAAGAGGCTGTGGGGTTGTTAACAGGACAAATGAGAACTTTCTTTTTGATGACGCTTCAAACTTCAAAATGAAAAAGGCACTGTGGCAGAAGAATGAGACCCTGTCTTTGAAACTCCTCATAAAGACGTGTTGTAGAGTTCGTGCTGGAAAATAAGCATCCATCTTCAGAATGCCTGTTCATTGCTCAAACCCCACAGATCTCCGGGATCAACTGGAATGGCGAAAACTGGAACGGGTGCTTGTGTTGAATAACCTCAAGCAATCTACGTCTGGCCGCGTGCCGCCAGAACACTTCACTTGGTAAAGGAGGTTGAGGTTTGTGATTGTGGATTAGCCGGGTGAGCCAGCACATGATGAATGATGTAGGGTTTCAGTCCGGGGCCTCCTCTCTGGTGCTGTGCTGTGTGTGTGTGTGTGTGTGTGTGTGTGTGTGTGTGTGTGTGTGTGTGTGTGTGTGTGTGTGTGTGCATGTGGTGGCTTTGTGGGAGAGCTCACAGGCAAATCAATGTTGAGGAGGGCAATTTAGCTTGCAGTTACACATGCACAGGCCTGGCCAGGCTGAATGGAACACTGAATTGCTGAGGCTGCCAGCAGCGATATACTCCATCTCATTCTCACAGAGCTTTGATGAGTGGGCTCTATATAGTGTGGTGCAGTAAGCCAACCAGCTATCCATCCAGGAAGGCAGCATAGTAGTAGTGGTTTTGGAAAGAAACGCCTGCAGATTGAGCTGTGGAACATACCTTCCTAGTGGGCCATCTAATGTTTCATAATGGGAATCTCAAACCAAATGACCTCCGACGGATAGCGCTGCTGACAGGGCGTTATATTTTACAGTAAGTGAAAACACAAGGATACAAGCCTAGGGTATAGTCCCAAAGACCCCAGATGGTTCATTTAGATGGGTCATATAACGGCACCACTGTTGTCTCTGGACGAGCCAAGTATTCAGAGGCGGGCCCGGGAGAGGAGAGAGCGAAAGGAGACGGACAGGGCAGGGGATGTGTCATTGTCATCACCTTGTAGTTATCCCAGTTCCTGAAGAAATTAACTGATCCGTCTCTCCTGCTCTGGATAACAGTCCAGCCCCCATTGTCTATATCCTGTTCACACCAGGCCTGCACTGGCCTCTCTGCTTCGTCTGGTCTGATCAGGTACATGCCGCTGGTGCTGTGGCCGGCTTCCTGTGCGGCGAGACAGTCTCTGAACGGGCCTGGAGGAAAGAACAATAAGAGAAGCAGGCAGCTTGTCATCACTGTCGCATTAAATCAGACACTGCGCTCCATGTTTGGACAATCTAAACGGTAGCTAAGCGAGGCCAGTAAGCAGGACTGGTTTATTTGGTATTACTTTTTTCACTATTATTGTTAGATATATTTAATTGTATATATACTATAATAAAGAAATCACTAAAAGCATCAAAACTGACTTTTTAATTACAGGGAAAACAGGCCGGAGAAAGTAGGCAAAGCAGCCTCAACTAGGGCGCAGTGAGGGTGCAGCTTTTTTTTACTTCTGTTTTGTTTTTACTGAAAACTTTACATGTTGTTTTTTTTGTTTTTTTTTCTCATGGTGAAACAGATGTCAGAAGGTCAGATTCTGATCTTAACTCAAGCTTGACCAAATATGTAGGGATGACATTTTGGCTTTGTAAGGCAATTTTAGCAGTTTTGGCGAGGATTGAAACAACAACACGAGTGCCATGAGTTTGAATGATGAAGAAACACTTAAGTCAGCGTCTGACAGAGGCTTAAATAAGTAGGACAGACCAGTGAAAAAAAGAGCAAAATCACACAAGCAAACAGAGTAATAGAAAACACAAAGATTCACTTATTTACTCTGTCCTCCCCGAACAGCATGGGAGAATGGGGCTAATTAAGTTCATCTTAATAAGAAATGAATTGCCTACATTTGAGGTCAAAAAACCAAAATAGATATCTTGTTAACTCAGTGTTTAAATGGGTGAATGTGAGTCTGGCCTTTTTCAAAGTAATCCTCTTTACAGGAGTTTTAATTACAAGCATATGTAGCGCTGAGTTTATTTAAAGGGCGACTAACCCTCTCCCAGCTAATAATATAATAATGTAAAGGTATAGTCCATTCACCTCATGAAGTATTCCAGAAGTGCATCTACTTTGTGGTTTGCAGGAGCCTATCACAGCAGCCTGGGTTTTGTCTACATCTCACATGCAATGGAACAGTCTTGTACAGGATCGTTTTCATACACAGCTGCAGCGAAATCCTACGCACTTTATTATTCTTGGGTGAGGGCAATCTAAATGCGTCAGGAATTTCTGTTGATGAGCAAAGTCACACTGGTTAGGTCTTTCTTTGCTTTGGTTTAAGTCCCCTGCCTCAATTCAGACATTACAACATTTTTATTTCCACCCTGGTTTGTGTTCTTTCTGTTGAGTGGGGAGCAGAGTTCCAGCTGAATTTGCAAATCTCTAACCTTTGAAAATGAGGCCACCAGCTCACCTGCAGCTGTATTCAAAGTCAGAGATTATTACTTTGTTATGGTTGGCCTGCAAAGTCATGACTGCTCTACATTTCACCCTGACTGTTTTGGATTTCCATGACCGAATCGAGGAATTAATGGATGGATGTTTGGATGGATGGATGGATGTTTGGATATTTGGATGTTTGAATGGATGGATGGATGTTTGGATGGATAGATGGATGGATGGATGGATGGATGAATGGATGTTTGGATGGATGGATGGATGGATGAATGGATGTTTGGATGGATGGATGGATGGATGAATGGATGTTTGGATGGATGGATGGATGGATGAATGGATGTTTGGATGGATGGATGGATGGATGAATGGATGTTTGGATGGATGGATGGATGGATGAATGGATGTTTGGATGGATGGATGGATGGATGAATGGATGTTTGGATGGATGGATGGATGGATGAATGGATGTTTGGATGGATGGATGGATGGATGAATGGATGTTTGGATGGATGGATGGATGGATGAATGGATGTTTGGATGGATGGATGGATGGATGAATGGATGTTTGGATGGATGGATGGATGGATGAATGGATGTTTGGATGGATGGATGGATGGATGAATGGATGTTTGGATGGATGGATGGATGGATGAATGGATGTTTGGATGGATGGATGGATGGATGAATGGATGTTTGGATGGATGGATGGATGGATGAATGGATGTTTGGATGGATGGATGGATGGATGAATGGATGTTTGGATGGATGGATGGATGGATGAATGGATGTTTGGATGGATGGATGTTTGGATGGATGGATCACTCACTAACTCACTCACTCACCTTCAGCGCTGAAGTTTCTCTCGGGGGGTTTCTGGACATCCAGGGTACCACTTGTGGGTGATGGCCCAGAGCGAGAGCCTCTTTCCCGAGCAAACCCTCGGGTGTGGTCCCTCTGGATCTCATTGGTGAAACGTGGCACATTGACAGGAATGTTCTCAGGCACCACCTGCACCAGCGGAGGTCCCATGGGTGGGTGCTCGTGCCTGCGGCTGTACACCTGCATACAACGCTCTTCCAGTGCTCCAATCAGCACTGACTGGTTGTTCACCACTGCAGACAGGGCTGCGTATTTGGCCTCCAGTTCCCTGTACCTGGAGGCCAGACGTAGTGACTCAGTGGTGGCATTAAGGATGCGTGTCTCCAGCTGGGCCAGCTCCAGTGAGTTGTCCCTCTTCCTGATGATCTCATGCAGCAGCTGCATGTAGAGTTGGGTAACCCTGGAGTTCATGTTCCTGCTCTCTTTTCTCAATAGCTTCATCTCATTTACCAAGTTGCCGTCCACATCCACCACCAGCTTCAAAGTCTCCATCTCCCGACGCTGCTTTGACAGAAGGTCGCGCACTGCAGCCACGTCCAGGCGCGTCACTCTGTCCTTATCGGTTGAGTAACCGCGGGCGGCACAGATGGGGCCTGTGATCTTCTGTTCAGGGACCAGGAAGGTGTAAGAGCACTTTTTGTTTTCTCCGCTGGCCTCTGGAGCCCTTCGTATCCGGGAGAGGATGGGGTTTTTGGTGAGGGCTTGGCTGTTGCTCCAGAGGGCCAAACCAAGCAGAATAAATAGGCTCCATGTTCCAGGTCCCATGATTCTTCCTCTCTTTATCCCCAAACAAGCTACAGATCTACAAAGAAGAAAAAAACATGGAAACCATTTTTAAGGTTGGTGTTCTTCAATATTATATTTACTGTAAATAAATCACATAAAAATTTGTCTGTCTGTCAGTACTTTACAACTTCCCTACACTTTCAGCGCCAAGCGTATTGGTTCCTACTGAATATGTGAATCTTAAACACAGCTCATGATAGTCAGTGGGTCAGTGGTTCACCGCTTTCACTCAGGGTGAAATCCAGACTATTAGCCATGAGACTGTGGAGAGGCGTTTGTGGTCTTGTGGGGATGAATGCTAACGACTTCATCATCAGGTTGGAATTTCAATTTGTCCAATACTTAAAGACTTAATGACATTCCTCAGCTTTATCTTGTGTTTAGTGCTTTTCTAGCAAATATTAGGTAGCATTTAGCTTAAAGCTCCACTGTGCCTCTGTACAGCCTCACAGAGGAGTTAGTGGGGTTTGAGACTCTGTTAAAACGGGTTCATTAACTTGCCAAAACAGCTGGGCATTGTAGTTTTCAGCAAGCATTACTCAAACAGGGGTATAGTGCATTTGTTTGGGGACGATTTTCAGCTGTGGATTAATACACATTTTATGTGCTAGACATATTAACAGCTCCAGAATGAAACTGACTCCAAATAAACCATGGCGCCCATGCTCACAAAGATGACGGAGCATGTCACCCAGTGCAGTGCAACACCCATTGGCTCCCTGATATATAGTTCTTGGACAACAGTGGAGCTCTGTGGCACAGAGGATTATGCTATATCATGCTTCGGCTACACTGACGATACTTGTTAGTAGAATCAGTTCATTGTTGGTTTTGGTATTTTCATTTGACTTGTCGACGTAAGAGAAATATAGAATATCACCAGACTTATTCTTTAATTTGGTCCAAGTATTCGCTTCCTTTTTATGCTACCACTCATCTCGTACTTTCTTTTCAATTTCCTACCAGGCACACTACCAGAGGACTACTGAAGACTACACTGCTATGCAGATGTTTTCTTTTCCTCTCTTATCCAATATAACCACCGTGCTTGCACATGTTAAATAGTCCAAGAGCATCTGTTGGCATGATACTGGAGTTTCCAGGCTAGACTCAACACAAGAGTCTAATTCTGAAGTAAGTGAGCATTAATATGTTAAGTGAAAATTAGCAGACTCTGACACAGACACAGCTGGTTTCACACATCAAGTCGTCCTGCTCTTGGCGAGCTGTGCCTTCTGGTTCCCTTGTGGTGGAGTAAAAGCAGTGCCACCCACCCACCACAAATCTGTTATCGTAACTCACATTTTCAATACATTCCCTCATGGGTTGTCTTTCATTAAGGCCCTTACCACATCTGTATCAGGTGACTGGGTGTGGGCAAGTGCTGAGATCTGTTTTTCACATTTCTGTAGATCTCCCGGGTCGGACCTTCCACGAACCTCCCCTATAGCCTTTCAGTGCACCTGCACTGGCTCGTGAATTAGTATGTTAAAAAAAAAAAACCTTTGAGTCTGACGAAATGTTTGACTGAAAATGAACATATTTGGCAGAAAATGTAGTTCATCTGGCCGTGGACGACACTGAACATATCACTTTAACGGGCTGGTGTCCACTGCCAGTCTTTGATGGATTCTTGAGGTGTAGAACCGTCAGTAATGAACAAAATGGTCGAAGTCGGCAGGTGGTTGTGATTGGGTCTCACTAACTCATTTTAACTTCTGCCATTCCTGCCTGACTGGTACAAATAGATAAATTAGAAATTGGTGAGGAATAAAAGAAATTGATGTATGAGGAGCAGCAGGGGGAGCAGGAATCCCTGATTTATGAGTAATGTTTTCTGGAGTCTATTTTTGGAAGGAAAGCCTGTGTTTTGATCTTATTGGTTTTGACAGCACAACGAATGGAGCAGGGGTGGGTGACGTTCAAAAATGCATGCTAAGTGAAAGATCCCTCCTTCCATATTCAATAGCGAGGCTTGGCTCTGGATGTGGGGCGACTGGAGAGCCAACTGCAGGCTGATTTTGGCCGTCGTGCCAAATCCCACCAGAAGGCAGTCTGATGGATATGGCCAAGGAGGTTAAGTCACCTTCATCTAACACCTCTGACAGGCACACAATATGACTTCATATCAGAGTTCATCAAAAATAAATCCGCTGAGGATTTTAACAGATGGCAAGGAAGCAGAATTAAATGAGTCCAAGACAGAGACAGCAGGGGCTTTGAATCATTTCTGTGGTCTCCTCTTGATGTTTAGTTGCACTGAAGAGTCCTGACCACAGTTAATGGGACAGATCCCAGAGCATTACCTAAACTCAAACTGCTGCTGTAGCAGAATTTTACTCTTTTATCATTGTCAGAGGAAAAAAAAAATGCTTGCCTCAAGGGAAACGTATAATACCAAGCTTTTGTGTTTTCATGAGGCACAACGACTTCTTGACAGACAGAAATGACCTGGACCGACACTGATTTTTGATGACTATGTTGTTGCAGCTCTAACATATGGAACAAGCTGCAGTTTGTTTTGCCACAGATTATAATCCGTTTGAGGGCAAAGGAAAAGGCACTTAAAGGAAAACGGGCCATGTGTCAGGGCTCAGAGACACCTTGGCACTGTCAGTCAGTTATTATTAAGCGGAGAGGACTTTTCCCTGTCTTTCCGTAATCACAGGTCATCCCTTTCAATAGCTCGGTCTCAGCAATTGGCCCGTCTGCACGTCTCTAACCACACAATATGAATCTCACAGGCCCCAGCCTGACAGGGGTGACAGTGTTTACACAGAGGCTCCTTGGCCAGGGCTGGGAATCTCATCGGCAGTTATTACCACCAGGTCTCGCTCTGTCGTTCGCACCCTGCTGGTCTTCATCAAGTCGGCCGCAGCAGCCAGTTTTTTGTTGATCTCTTCTCTCCTTCTCCTCTCCTCTCCTCTCCTCTCCTTCTCTTCTCCTCTCCTCTCCTCTCCTCTCCTTCTCTTCTCCTCTCCTCTCTCAGAGCCAGACCTGACCAGATCCAGCCACCTCATCTATATTAATACAGTCCTTGCAACCAGACAGGTCAAACTTTGCGGTGGCTGGTTTTCCCAGCCCGGAGGAACAGGGGGACGTTGCCAATAGGTCCACTGACTCTAAGTGCTGCCACTGAGCTCTCACCGTCTCCTGCTAAGCTCCTCAATTAAAAGATTTTCTTTTACATTCAAGCCATCAAAAAGCCCTAACCCCGGAAAGTCACATTTCTGTCCCCTGATTTCTTTCCAACTTTATTTCAACATACAGAATGAATGTGTTGCAAATCAGAAAGCCCCATTTTCTTTCAGTCTAACTTTGTTGTGGCTTTTCCTCTTGGCCGGCAGATTTTTAGGACTGTGCCAATTAACCCACAAGTTATTCTGATGGTGCCACTGATTAGGTCTGTCTGCTGAGGGGGATGACTTGATGCATGAGCTATATACATAGTGAATTTCACCATGGGATTTATGCCACATGTACATATGGATTTTAAAAACACATTAATGCTCAAATGTTTAACTCAAGTGCTTTACAGTGGTTCCATAGTTCTTTATGAAGTGTCATGGAGGTCTAGAGGATTCAACTTTCATCTAAAACCTCAATCTAACTTCATTGTTTGAAATTACCTCGACTTTTACCAGTAAATACCATTTTCCAGTCCAGTTATGACTGGGAAGATCTGAGGTTTCAACAATTTCCGTATTTTTCCAGAGAGGATCGGAAAAAAAAAACATACAAATGCCAAATTCAGTTTATGAGCAACTTGATCACAAAAAAAAAAAAAAGAAAGAAAAATAAAATTCTTACCTGTGTCAGCGGGTTCACTCAGTGGTCCAGGGTGTGCAGGTAAGACCCAGCTTGGCGTCTCAGTTGTGGTTCCTGTGCAGGTTCATGCTCTCCACTCCCCTCCTCTCACTCTCATGTCTCCCTCTGTCTTTGCTCTCATTGAGAATGAAGGCCTGCACGAGCAGACGCCGTCCACCAGGAGAGAACAGTGGAGGGTGGTCCATACACAGAAAGAGGGAGGCTGATGGTGCGATTTTCCTCTGTGGTCTGAGCAGGGGGAAGGCTTGGCCCTGCCTTCCTCCTCTGATGTCACATAAAGTTTAGGTAGAAAGTCAAAGTCTGCTCCTCATACAAGGTTTCACCACAAATGAATAACAGTGAGGAATCAGATTGGCCGGGATCAGCGAGAGCAGTGAAGACACTCAAAATCAGGCTAGCTTTCATCATTTAATTCTCAGAAGATCTTGTCTACAAGGTTAGTTTGTCTCCCAGACGAGCAATTTGTCTGTAAGGCTCGTGGATGTTGATGTCATACACACACACATACACACACACACGCACACACACACACACACACACACACACACACACACACACACACACACACACACACTCATCTGTCAGCTTCACTCATGTGTCTATATTTCTCACAGTCTACTTACTCCTCCTCACAAAGCTGTTTCCTATCAGCTCTAATCTAATGACTGAACGACTCTGGCAATTCAGTAGCTTTGACATAATAACAGGAGGTCTGTTTTGGATGTGAGAGCTTCTCTTGTGTTTGCTCCGTATATGGATTGTGAGTGCCTCTCACTGCAAACCAAGAGCTATTGGCAGCTGTGTTTATTTTGTTATGAGGACAATATGCAGAGGGCTTTGCAGACAAAAAAAAAAAAAAACACCCCTCAGCTAAATGTTTTGGATTTGAGGAGGAAGCACAGGCTTTGATGCATGGGGATTCTCTGCGTGGGGAGACATACTTCAGCATGTGGGAGGACAGTTTTGCTTATGAGCAATCGAGGCAGGACATTAATAATGTAGGAGAGTATGTGTGTGCACATTAAAAGAGTGTGGGGGCTTGCGTGTGACCCACATATGTGCGAGGACACTCGTTTGTGTGCGTGTGATTGAGAGTGTGCGGCTCTCAGGTGGTCGGTTGTATGTAATAGAGGCCGTCCAGTTTAAATAAATGACATAATTGTTATGGAAAGAGGCTGAAGAAAACATTCAAGGCATGGACATGCAGTTTCTGTATCTGCTCTACATTTAGATAAAAGTACAGCTCTTGTGTAGCCTTGCATTCTGGAGCAATTGGGGGTCATATCCAAGTTACGGGTCCCAACACAATTTTATTTTGTGTCTTTTGAATTTTTAAAACTCGTCCGTACCTAATAGGACACTTCCGTACTTCATTTGTGCCCCTGTGTCCTAATGTCACACCAGAGGGGGAAGACAAAGTCCCCAACCCCCAATATGAGTGTGTATGGAGGAGGTGCCCCATTTTTATCTTTGCCCCTGGCATCCGAGTGAGCTCATAATATTATCTTTAATTCATGAAGTAGGAATTTGTCTCTTACTAAGTGGTCCAAAAACCAGCTCTCTCTGTGAGCCCCTCCTTGTGGCTAAAGGAGTTCACTGCCCCCCTCCATCTTTACAGAAACTGATGGTTGACATAACCTACCTTCACAGTACCTTCATACACGCTCCCGGTGACGTCATGCGGACTGACCAATGGGAAAGCGCTCAGCCTGTGACAGTTGACTCGATGATCAGCAGCAGCGACTAAAATCTAAAACAAGAAAATGTCACAACTTTTCTTGGATTTATCGAGAAGAAATGGATTTAAACTATGAGTCTTGACTTAAACGTTGCCAAACGACGTTGTTCCGTGTTTTTTATTTATTTATTTTTCCCCACTCGACTGTTTACTTATTAAACATGGTGAGTTTGACCCTTCCCTTTCTGTAAATGTAGCCTTTCTTGTTTATTTAGTTTCACCTTTACGCTTAACCCATAAGGACCGGTTGCTTTTGTCCACTTTGCCCTACACAGAGCCCGGGGATTAGGTGATTTAGACGGGCTTTGCTTATGTTCATCTGCTGCGGATAAAATTAGACTCCTGCAGTGTTAGAGATCCTGTGTCACTGTGGATCTGTAGAGCCCCGAGGAGAAAGCCTGAGAGACAACTGTCAGGGTTTATATGCGCTTGACAAATGTGTTCAATGTGAACAAACAATAAAGAAAAACCTCCTACACATATTTAGAGGGTTACTGCATAGATGTCTTACATCCTGTACAGCCCACAATTGGAATAACAGCTGAATAAATCTTAAGATTTTTGTCTCAGTCATTTCACCCAAATTGTTTTTATAATATATTATGTGGGTGAACCAATCCTTCAAGATCACTACACTTGTGCTTCTGCCTACGCTGCCATATGTAATTATCCAGTGGCATGACTCCTCTTATTACCTGGTGATGTGTGGCAGGAAGCCGAGGGCCCCCAGGGCTTGAGCGACCTCTGCTTGGCTCAGGTGTGCCGCAGCCTGGACTCCCTGTGCAGCAGACGAGCAGACGGCTCCATGAGCCTCAGCTGGGCCCCACTGTTCCCACAGGAGATGGCTGACCAGCTGCTGCGAAAGATGGCAACTGCAGGTAGGTCAGAAGGACAGAAAAGGCTCCGGCAACATCAGGATCAACAGCTGTGGGAAACTGCAGCGACTATAGTTATAGAAAAGGGACGTGACAAAAGTGACTTACCTGTGACCCTGTGTTAGTTATTCTTCATTGCACACAGCCTCCTGTATAAAATGTGAGAATATCAATGTCCCTGACTTACCCTGTCATCTGATGATTTGTTAGTTCACAGTGTGCTATGCCAGGGTGAAATGATGGGAAAATTCTACTCCACAAACATAAGTGTGGCTAAACTGATGCTACTTTTTCCTACAACATGGCTCTGTTTGCTTCTCCCTACAAGGGATACTGAATGACACAACTGTTGGGATTTTCCGAAACTGCAAAGAGCTCCGCCTGCGCCGAGCCTCCATCCGCTGCTGCCCAGTATCTGCAGACGCTTTCTGTCTGGCCCTCTGCCCTCACCGTCTCCAGGAGCTAGATGCCTCCTGGGTCCCTGGGGGCCTCACTGGGGCTGACATTGTCGCAGGCATGGCATCCAACCTGGAGTGCAGGTCCAGCCTGCAGAGGTTGTCCCTCAATGGGCTCCGTCTGGACTGGGAGTCTCTGGAGGAGGATGGAGGGGTCCGAGTTGGCTTCAGCTCGCTGCGGGGACTGAGGACGCTAAACTTGGCCAACACAGACCTGAGTGACGCTGCCCTGGAGGATATCTGCACTCTCCCTCAGCTGGAGACTCTGGATATCTCCTGCAGTGCCGTCTCAAACCTCACAGCGCTCCTTGAGTGCAAGAACACCCTGAGGTCCTTAATCGCCCACCGGCTGCGGCAGCTGGATATGTCACCTGCCAGGCTGCTCTTTGTCCTCAGCCAGCTTCACGCTCTCAAGCATCTGGACTTTTCCAATGACCACTTTGCTGTGGATGACAACGACGGGAGGGATGGGGATGAGACAGTGCGGCAGCTTCTGGAGGGGAGTCCCCAGGTTCTCCCTTCCCTTGTTTCTCTAGATATCTCCGGGCGGAAGAGGGTCACTGAAGCCGCAGTCCGAGTGTTTGTGGAAGCCAGGAGCGGGCTAGTCTTCCTGGGCCTGCTAGCCACCGGGGTCAGCTCCTGTGGTGTCCTTTCTTCACAGGAAAACCTAAAAGTAAGGATGTAGTGCGAGCATCGGGCACAGAGTTGATGTCATGACATCGTGGGTAGACACATGAGCTTGACTCGTGCATAAGTTTCTCATTTGAATTTGACTCGAGGCTCCTTATTGTGTATTAACAGAATATGCCCGCTGCATTTCCTGTCTCTGTGACGCTGCTGATCTGCTGTGTATGTTCAGGTAACCGGAGAGGCTAATGAGAACCAGGTGTGTGAGGCCCTGAGACGCTACAGAGACAGGGAGTGTTTCACACGAGAGGCCCTCGTCCATCTCTACAATCTAACCACAGACATTGACAAACCACGACCAGATATGTTACAGGTATTGTGGTCTGGTTCCGTCATTGACTGCGTTCTTGTCACACGGAATATCTCGACTAGCGCTGGAACGACAAGGTCATTAATCACTTAGGTAACGGACAGAAAATGAATCTACAAGTATATTGATAATCGAAGTTTTCAAGAAGAAACGCCACGCCACCATATTCACAGATCTCAACCATTCATACAGATAGGACTGATGCCAAAACTAGAACACAAAGACCCAGGCTGTAGGAAACTAGAATTGTACTTACCTGCACTGTATAGTAAATTAAGTAAGATTTTATATTATGTTTTCCAGTAGTGTTACAGAATATCTGAAACACTTATTTTCTGCAGGATGAGATGTTGGAGTTTTAACTAGTTAGTTAGTTAGTTAAGCCATTTTTTAATCAAGTTAACTTTTTCAAGGGAGACCAGTACATAAGAATAAACATATATAATAAAAGCATAGGCAAACACACAGAAATTCACATTAATTTATAATTCTTGTGGCATTCAGAAAGCTTGAGTATAATTAAAATCTTCTAAAGAGAGATTTTGTTTTATTTTTATTATATTAATTTCAGTGTCTTTTGTGTCCAGCTCTGTTTGTGAGGAGTTTATTTTAAAATAGTTTGTCCAAGCTCAGTGAGAACATGCAGAGCAGCTAAAGTAAAATTGTCCTGTGATCTGACATTATAATTACTGTACTTAGATGTGATGAGAGGGGAGGTAATGAGGCAGTTTCTAGTGGAGCTGCACAGATAGAGAGCACAGTGCAGCTCCACAGCTGGCTCTGTGAGAGGCTGTAGGAGGTAGGAAGGTTACGCACTAATACAAAGCTGGGGATTGTTCTCGACAGTTTCCAGCCCACTGACAAGAGTCACAAACACGAAGAGTTTCTGATCCTAAAAACACATGTGATTATGACACGGACCTCCTGTTTCCTGTAGCTGGTGCTGAGTGGGATGCAGAGCCACCCCACCTCCCTGCACGTCCACCTGGTGGCCACTGCGTGCGCATTCAACCTGACCACTCAGGACCTGGCAGAGTCCATGCCCGTCAGCCTGATCACCTCCGCTGTCACCCAGCTGCTGTACGCCATGAAGACCTTCCCCGGCCACCAGCAGGTTAGATGTTATGTTTCAGATTACCCAGCACATAATGATATCATGTAGTTACACAACAGCAAGATGTAACTGCGACAAAGATGTCACCGCCAGCTGGACTGTCATGCATCGCATCTTGATCTAAATGTTTCTGCTTTAAATGTTGTTTTTGGTTACAGCTCCCATCCTGCCACCTTCAGACAGTATCTGTAGTTGCTCATACTCATATTTTTTTTATACCCATATGTTTTTTCAATTCATAAAATATTTCATCCCTCCAGGTTCAGAAAAACTGTCTGCTGGCACTTTGCAGTGACTACATCCTTCAGGATGTCCCATTTGACAAGTTAGTTTACTTTTCATTCACTTATAATATGAGTTATGGGCCGACGGTCATGCAGCAGCCAAGATAATCACTGCACTAACATCGTGGCGCTATAATGTTTTTCCAATAGAGTGTGATCCAGCTAGAATATATTTAGTCCTTAAGTCTAACTGCCAAAAGAAATAGTCCTTCCAGATGTAAAAGTGCAGACGTGAACTCAGATTTTCTTGAAGCTTGTCTGTACATTATTGGTATATTTTTCTAATGCTGTGTTCCCTCTGCCCATGCTGTGATCATGCTTCAGGTATTTAGCTGCCACGCTGGTGATTAACTGGCTGAGCAGCCACGAGGATCTGACCCTTCAGAGGATGGCTGTGGCTGTCATCTCCATTCTGGTGGCCAAGGTCAAGACACTGCTCACTTACTGTGCATTAGTCTGCTGCAGGAAAATATTATGGCACCTGTTGGTCAGCGCCTGTGGCTCTGTGACACTGCTTTCAACAGCCAGCTTTACACTTTCATTTAGTCCTGTTAAATGGGGCCATATTCCCCGTGGGATGAAACATGCTGTTCAAGTCTGACATTTAGAAAACTCAAAGAATAACTCATGTTTTTGTTTTATTTGCAGTTGTCCACAGAGCAGACGGCACAGCTCAGCAAGGACGTCTTTATTATGAAGGTAAATTCACAATTTCAGAGTGAGAGTGAGTGTCTCTCCTTTCTGTTTCTCTCACCTACCGTATATACTCATCTCCTCACCGTCACCCACGAAACATCCTTCTCTATTTACTGTTACTCCATTATCCAATCACGTTTCTCTCATTATGTATGTAATCAAGCAATTATTGTATTTCCGATGCCACATATTAATATGTTAATCATTTCATCCCACAAATGTTGCATGTCTCCCTACCAGAGGATGCTTCTCGTATTTCTACAAATCTATTTAACAAAAATGGATGTTACTTCCCTTTTTTCTTCTGTCCCGTGTTCTCCTCTCCTCGGCTCTGTCTAACAGCAGCTGCTGGCTATCGTGCAGCAGAAGGCGATGGTGGGAGTGGTGGACTCCACTCTGAAGTTCGCCCTGAGTGCTCTGTGGAACCTGACGGATGAGATGCCCGCTGCGGCCCGCAACTTCATCGAGTGCCAGGGCCTGGAGCTGTACGAGGAGGTTCTGGAGGTAGAGGAGCCCAAAAATAAAACATAATGTACAGATGATGAAAATGCACCTACATGGAGATTCTCAGAAACACAAACATTTTCCCTCTCATGCTTTCCCCTTTTTTCTGCGTTGCAGTCGTACTACACTGAACCTTCTATTCAACAGAAAGTTCTTGGCCTCCTGGTGGGTTCTGTGTGTGTGTGTTAATAGTTGTGAACATATTTTGACCATATGCCATATGTGCCACAGGCCAGCACGGCATGTTCTTGTTTTTATAGCTTATTTGCACTAATAGATGCCATAGCTGCATGAGAATGTATCTTCCATAATAACGTTATTCTCATTTTCTTTTTGCAGCCGTTCCTAGATTTAGGGCTTAAACCTGTTACAACAGGCAGCATCTGAATATGGGAGTCATGTCAAATCATTTTCATAATACCCCCAAATACTTTAAGTTAATTTGTCGCTAGGAACAAAATGAAGTTATTCTGTAGAATCTAATATAAAACATTTCCTGTGTCCCTTCTGCCCCTAACACCTTTCAAGTTACATCCTACATTATTGTTGCTGTCATCACTGCTATCATTTGTCTCCCTGTGTTACAGAACAATATAGCAGAGGTGGAGGAGCTGCAAGCAGACCTGTTGGAGGAGGACCTGCTGGAACACGTCCTCAGCCTCCTGCAGGATTCCCAGGTGGAGGTCGGGGTCCGTTACTTCGCCGGGGGGATTCTGGCGCATCTCACCTCCAGACCGGAGGCCTGGACCCTGGAGGAGGAGCTCCGCACTACCATACTGAAGCAGATGGTGTGTGTTTTGGACGCTGGTTTTCATTTAACGCACAATAAAATTCACCTTTGGCTCTTTTCAATGCGCCTCTCTTTCTTTGCAGCATACTTCCATAATGACATGGACCCAACTGGAGAGAGAAATGGTCTCTTACAGGTGAGAGAAAAGCAAACTGGACAGAGGAGAAAGAAAGCTTTTCAGAAGCCGTCGTTTTAAATGCATTTACTCATTCTGTCTGTTCAGTTCAACATCAAATGGAAGCTACATGTTGCATAACACTTTATTTAAATAGTTTCCCATCAATTACACATCCTACTTTCTTTCTAACACTTTTACATAACATTTTGCCCTGCTGTTGCTGATTTTATGTATTTAATGTATGCTTGGCATGAAACACTGAGCACATTATCATAATTGCAACTTGTTGTATAGATTATTTTAATTGGATATCTGCTATAGGGATTTGTCACAAAGGATACTGTCATAAGTGCTAAAGAAAGCTCAGACAGTCACAAGAAAACATTTTCAAACCTGCTGAAAATGATTTTCTGCCAGTGACACTTCACTTTTCATTCCCGGGGTTGCACTGATGCCGAGGAAAATCGACCGCCTGGAATCTCAAGCACAAAACAAATAAATGAAAAATGTTAAGAATTACTTAAAACTCTGCCCGTTTTTTAATCGTAGTATACTGTGATGCCAACATTTCAGGTCGTTCCGTCCATTTTGCCCTCTGCTTCAGACTCGTCAGCCCTCAGGAGTGCAGCTGTGGGCAGTCTGGGCCATACATCTGGTCTGCAGTCAAAACAGTAAGACACACAAATGCTACTGTAGAGATCAAAGGGGAGGTTTGACTATGGGGAGCATATAGGGGGATCTAGTGGTTATTGTATGTGTATGTATATGTATTCTTTCCTTAATTACTTTGCGTTTCCCACAAAATCACCACCTTATGTAATAATAATTGATTAAAATAGACCCGCCTGGTTTATTAATAGTTAGGTGGTGTTGGGGTTGAGGGTCTATTCCTCGCTCATCTTCCTCTTCCTCCTTCATCTTCTAGCGTCACATTACAGCGGCATGCTGGAGAGGGAAGGCATGACTGAACTTCTGATGGCTTTGGCTGCACATCCCGACACACACAGCGACATTAAAGGACTATCAGAGACCATCTTGGGAATGGTAGAGCAACACCAGAGTCACTCGGGGGCCTACAGCAACCAGACGGGGCCTCGAAACTCTTGACAAAAATGTAAAAGAACTTATTTGAAGTGATGTCTTTGAGCTGAGCCCGAAATGTGTTCGATGTAAGGTTGCAGATACAGTATTGATGCACAGGCAGTTCATGTCAGTCCTCTTGGAATTAATATTCAATAGAATAAGCTATGGAATGTCATATATAGAAATATATTTGATATAGAGTTTAATCACTGGTTGTGAAAACTTATTTATTTGTTTTTTGTTTTCTTATTATCTACTTTAATGATAGTGGCAGATAAAATCCTTTGAAAACTAAAAGAAATGTTTACAGAGAATAGTTAATATCCTTTAAAAAAAAAATTGCACTATTTTGAGGTAAAACTGCAGCTAGATTTGAAAAAGTCTGATTTTAATGAAGTGCTCCAAATAAACTGAAATTGGAGACCAAAGCTTGTGCTGTAAATCATGCATAGATCCAAAACCCGTCACTAGAGGGTGCTTTAGGACTGTAGCTTCAGGGCTGCTTTGCTCTTTAGACCTGTCTGTGTAAAACACCCAGGCATTAGATGTATAGATTCAGTATCATACATGATACAAGTGACAAGATACTAAAGCAGCCTGAATCCACTGAGTTTTTCTGTGTGTACTGGGGGCCTCATTATAAACCAGTCATGCTTGGAAACAAGTTATTTATCCTCTCCTCTCCCTCTCTCTTTCTCTCTCTCTCTCCCCTGGTGAGATGATGCTGAATTCATTATATTTTATGTAACACAGCTGGAAGACAGAACTGCTTGTAGGCATCTACAGAGTCTATTCTAAGTTGGCCTATTAATAATTCCTTTTGAAAAGTGGATTAACAAGCTCACATGAATATTTGAGTTGCATCACCATGTTCAACTTTTTAGTGTCAAATCCCCTCAAGGAATTCAAAGGAATCTACTAAATAGAAAATGGCTTTGCATGCCTGTGATTCAGACAGGTCAGTCCTTGCCTTATCAGCGGTAAGCTGTAACCTCTGAACATTAAACTCACAGTGGCAGGCCTGTGGGATCAAAGGTCAAGTGCCCTATAGTGAACATGGCGTAATGTTGCCGTGAGAAGTTCAAGTCCTGAGAATTGTAGGGAAACTTCCCTGCTTTCCAGGGGCCGTAGGTTTTATCTGCATTATGCATGGTGACAGTTGTTTACGTGGAAAATGTTGCAAGTGAGGAGGTAGAGGTAACGGAGGAGCCAAAAGGGTAATTGTGGTGTCAATTGCGTTAATCAGGTCTTCAGTTTCTATCTGTGGCTCAAAGAGTGCATTAATATTCAAGTGACACATGAGACAGAGACAAACAGAAAGACTGTATCAAATAGACAGAGGATGAAAAACAAAGGAGGAAATAATTATAGTAGAGTCGTTAGATATTTTAAGAAATGTGCTTATTTGGTTGGAACAGAAGACTGACACCACTCAGGCCTGTACCCGAAACATGAAGCTACTGTCAGAAGCTGGTTAGCTTAGCTTTGCATGAAAACAGGGGTAAAATGGTTAGCCTGGCTCTATTGAGAGGTAACAAAATCCACCTACTGACACCACTAAAGCTAAATGAGTAACATTCAATCTGTACAACTGTAGAGTCAAAAACCACAATTTCAGAAGCTATGTGCTGGACTATGTCAGCGCTAGTTGCAATGACTGCCTGGAGTGTCTACTGGTCGCTATAGCAACTACTCTCAGAAATAGTCTGGTATCTTGGCGTTTTTACACTTTGGTTGTTGTAAAGATTAAACAAACAATATATAACAATGTCCGTTTAGATTTAGCTAAAGCTTTCAGCGCGTTAGCTTAGTTTCGAATAAAGTCTTGAAACTAGAAACAGCTAGCTTGTCAAGATAACAAAATTTGTATACCCGCTAGGCTCATTAATACCAAAAGCTCATAACACTAACAAGTTATATTTAGTTTGTTTAATATGTACGAAAGCCAAAGTTTAAAAAAAAAAAAACAAACAACCGGTTGTGGTTTTATGTGAGGCTCCTGGAAGTCATTGCTCTTGGCCAAGAAATAGCCCGTCACATACAGGGCTAATAGTCGTTTTTACGCCTTGGCTTTTGAATGCATTAAATCAACATATAATGTGTTAATGAGTGAGCTCTAGATGTGCTGGACAGAGCAAGGTTAGGTATTTCCAGTTTTTATATAAAGCTAACTGGCTGCTAGCTGAAGCGGCATGTTTTCCGTACAGACGTGGGAGAGGAATCAATCTAACTTTCAGCAAGAAAACAAATAGTATATAATTTCACAAAACGTAAAACGCGTAAGTCAAGGGAAGAACAGAAAGATTGGGACTGGAAAAAAAAGACAGAAATAGAAATGCCTAAAGTGAAACTGACAGGTGCAAAAAAATTTGACTTATGGCCAAAAATATCTTTAGACGAGATAAATAAAGCAAGGGAGGGATAAAGGGAGAAATGCTGAAGATGAGAGGAATAGAGTGAGTGAAAGGATATTAAAAACCCTTTCATGCTACACAATTGTTTGTGCAAAAATACCACAGACCAATTTGCAGGTTCCCTGTCTTAGTTTGAAATTTCATTGTGCTGCTTTTGAGTTGGAGCTTAGTGTGAGTAAGCATGTCGTTATCTCACTTGTGCAGGCAGCTCTAATGGATTAACACCACTGTGAACCAGTCTGCGCACCCAGAATACACTAATGTAAAATGCAACACATCTCCAGCTGTGAGGATGCATGTGTGTGTGTGTGTGTGTGTGTGTGTGTGTGTGCCTGTTTGCTTGTGTGAGGCAGTTTCTACAGTGCATATGTGTATTTGCGCAGATAAGTCTGCAAACTAACAGGGCCTCAGTGTAGACTGTGAGGTCGATGGGTTTTTGACTTGGATGCTAATTAGACACCCGCTAACCTTCTAAATACCCAGAGACCAAAAGAGGGAAAAAGTACATTCAAAGAGCAGGAAGAGAGGTCGAACAACAAGACAAAGCAAAAAAAAAAACAAAAAAAAAAAACACTTCTCCAGGCAGAACTGTGACGCACAAAAGGACACACCATCTCCTCTCAAATGACCTTTTATTGCTGGGGAAGGATACAGAGTTGGCAGGCCCCTGAGCCTATGTGCAGATATGTAACAGCAGTAGGACCATCCTACTGTCTGCCAAGTGGAGGCAGGGGCTCACTCTTCACCGTCAATCAATAGCCACTTTCCCAGAGGAAGGCTAAGTAGAGCTTGTCAATATCAAGTCCACCAGAAAACGTACAATATGCAACATAGGATCGAACACAATCATTTAATTCATTTGAAATAAATCCCCGCTGACAAATAATTTCTGCTGATAATACAGTGTGATAATGATGGAGAAAATGGGGGAAATGAAACTGGTGAAAACTCGGAGAGAAGTCATTTTTGGCCTGTAATGAAAACCAGGCATCATGCTCGTTCCTGTCCCTCGTTTCCGTGCTTTCACTGTGGTCAAAATATGAAGTGACAAACCATTAAAGCAAATGAGAGTACAAAACAGGAGCACTCATTGTACACACTGGCTGTAAGTTTACAATTGTAAGCATTAGAAATATATTTAACTTAATATAAGTTGCAGCAGTTGCTTTACGTTCTAGCTCCAGAGCATGACATGTTCCAGCTTGGCGCAGCAGTTTGGGTGGTTTGGATGTCGCTGTCAGTAATTTAGTGCCGTTATCCGTATGTGGCAGTGATTAATGATGAAATTTTCATGAAATTACTGAAACAGACACCCAGTTTCCACACACCAGTCACTGGAAAAATATCCCTCATTTCTAACTTTGGTGTCAAGTCATTCCACTGCTCCATGACTAAAGGATTTTCTTCCCATTTTGTTTGTGTGTGTGTGTGTGTGTGTGTGTGTGTGTGTGTGTGTGTGTGTGTGTGTGTGTGTGAGAGAGAGAGAGAGAGAGAGAGAGAGAGAGAGAGAGAGAGAGAGAGCTTGTTTGTAAGTAGATGTGTCAGAGGGCTATTACGGTCGGTTAGAGCCGCTCTTACTTAATGTCACATCTCCCATCTGCAGGCGTTTTATAGTGGCCAGTTTGCCTTCAGCTCAGTGGATGCACACAATGGTGCAAAAATATGAGTTAAACAACCACGGGCAGGAAACAGGGCTGCAGGAGCTTCTGTATCCCAGAGCCATGTGAATTTCCTCGTCTATTCACTCAACTGGCTCGCAGTCACAGCTGTGCTATTGATGTGACTATAGCCAGCTGAGTGCATCTCTGTCCTGAAGCACATCCTGACCACTGCATCAGCCCGGCTGGTGAATGATGGGATAGAGAGAAGTAAACAGTATCTCCATTAGTACCGCTATATGTTATCTTAAAGCAAGAGTTCAACATCCCGGGTAATGCGGCTATTCACCTTTTTTGCTGAGAGCTTGATGTGACCTCCAGCCAGCAGCAGGTTAGCTGAGCTTAGCATAAAGCTCTGTCGAAAGGATAAAAAAAATCTGCCAAACAGCACCTCTCAACCTTGCTAAACAAAATCCTACATCGTGTCAGAAACCACTCCTTCATTCACTCACGCACTAAATAAAAAAACACTCAGCAGTTTACTCTGTAGCTCCAGGCCATGGAATAATCCAACACATACAGTAACTCCTAGGATAACCACAGTTTTAGACTTTGTTTTAGTATAGATTAAACAAATTTGATAAGAATATATGTGTTAATTACTGAGCGTCAGGTGGATTTTTTTCTACCTTTGGACAGAGCCAGGTTAGCTGTTTCCCCCCGTCTGCAGTCGTTATGCTAATCTGGGCTAATCAGCTGCTAGCTGTGGCGTCTTCTTTACTGTACACACATCAGAATGTCATCACTCTCCACATCTTTGTCTCGGCATGAAACCTAAAAATCCGTGTATTTCCCAAAATGTCGAACTCTTTTAAATTTCATATTTTGTTCTTTTGATGCTGTTCTGGTAATTGTCTGTAATGTAGCGTTTTGTGAGCATAGAGCACTTCTTCTAAGCTTTTACACAGTGCAGTGTACTGAGAGGTGATTTGAGTTGGAGTCGGCTATGGATGCAGAACTGATGCTTTTGTCTGCGTGTCTGAGCACATGCATACATGTGCCTCAATATGGGGTGATTTTGGAGTGTGGGGGTGTAAAAAGTGCAGAATGTTGAAATTCAGCTCTTCCACTTAGTATACCACTTAATGGTAGTATATGCTGTTAACAGCATATTCAGCTGTTATACAGAAGCTCCATGGAGCAAAAATGTCAATACAGAGTTTTCAGAGCCAGGTGTTCACCTCGTGTGAGGTGCACACGAACAGCAATTTTTATTGTGGGTATCCCTTGTCATTCCATCTGTGTCACTGTGCTGGCATGAATTAGAGCAGCCAGCTATCCTATTTCCAGGCAGCACCCTCACCCTTGCCTGTGGCAACACATGGCCTGATCGGTGTGCTTAGTTGAATGTAATACACCCTCACAGTTCAGATCTGGTATATGAATGCACTGTATGTAGATATAGATGAGAGTTTACACAGACCTCAATAGACATGCATATGATGCATTGCATTTTGTATATACTGTAGGAACCCATGCAAATATTACACTCAAAGCCATAAGAGCAACCAGCAACCAATGGTTGAAATGTTCAGAGGCATCTCAGCATACTGTTACAGTAGGCAACTTACAGGTACATTAGATGGGTGATTGTACAGGAGATGGACGGACACTTTTGGCATCCAGTTACGTATGCTATGCCAGTAAGTATGTGTAGGTCGGTACATTGGTACATGCATAGTTATGCATACTGTTATGAATCAGGATCACTTTCTTACATGATGAGTGCAAGCAAACACACACAAGATTCATTCCTAAGTGTCTTCTATATATGTGGTGTAATGAAGAAATATTACACTTATACCAAAGACTTTCTTTGTTTTCTTACACCACATTTTACTAAGTGCAACAAAACAACACTTTGACTTATCATAGCAGGAAAAGCACAAGTGCAATTAATAACATGAATTAAGTGTCCATTAAGTGTCTGAGTAAACCATGTTGTTGAGCCAGTATGTATGACACCAAGGCCCTGAAAGCACAACCTGAAATCATCGGTGCAAGTGTTGATTACACCTTTGCTTTCCAAGTTATTATAGTCAAAATGTCTGCAGTGAAAAAGGCCTATAATAGTCACAGATTTATGCGTTATACCATTTTATTATCATACTGTTGATTCATTTGTTGAACCAGCAACTCAATAATATGCACGTGAGTGCCAGTAAATGTGTGAAGAAAGGTTTCTCACTTGTATTGCAGATCACATCACAGAAAGAGAACAGACTGTGTTGACTCTTCACCACCTTTTCATCTTACAAGTGCCAAACAACTATTACTTCATGCTGATAGTCCAATTCCTCACAGTTGCATTTGGTAGCACCATTACAGCCTCACTTCTCCCAGCCTGGTATGCAGTCCAACAATTTAATGGATAAAAGTCAGTTAACAACAACATAATAGGTGTTTTTAACAAAAGCCATTTTGACTTGTCACAGTTGGAAAAGCACAGGTTACAAATAGCATTAGTGATGGCTCCGTTCTATTCAATTGCCCCAATAAGCCATGACAGTGAGCCAGCATGCACAGCACGCCTCAGAAACTGAAGCAGCTGAATGAAATTCAGACAGTTGCCTTTATTATTTACACCTGTGCGTTTCTTACTGCAACATGTCAAAATGTCTTCTGCGCTAGTTTCAAGATATCACTATTATTACAGCAGCCCCAACTCAGACGAGCAAACATCCAAACTTTTCAATCCAACAGTTTCCGAGTAAAACTTGTATAAAGTAAAATCTGCACAACATAAAATGAGGGAAACAGCTGGCGCAAACATTATTGAGAGAATGCTCTTTCTCAGGTCCCTCAAAGGTTCAATTTTGCTTTTTAAAAAAAAGTTAATAATTCTGAAACACTCACACTCTCTCTCTCTCTCTCTCTCTCACACACACACACACACTCACACACACACACACACACACACACACACACACACACACACACACACACACACACACACACACGGTTTGGTGTAGCCACCTCTTGATTCCTCTTGTCCAACAAGAGTTTTGTTTCTTTCCTTCTCAAGTTCATAACAGTCAATGTCATGGTCAGTGGAGTGGTACACCCAGATATATATATATATATCTATATCTATATATATATGTATCTATATATATAGATATAGATATATATATATAGATATATATATATATATATATAGATAACTATATATATATATATAGATAACTATAAGCAGAAATATGCTAAGTTTGCGATCTCATATCACAAACTGTAGGCAAAACCTCAAGCAAAGCAGGTGCTGATTACACAGTTAAGTGATGTTTATAATTGTGGACTGAAATGAATTCCTCCCTGACAGCATTAGCTGTCTTATTGCTGAAAAGCTGTTATCATGGGCTGGATTAATCAATTCAAGAATAAACATAAATCAAGATATTTTCATATTTTTCTCAAAATGACTGAAATTATATATTTATCTTTTATACATCCTTTGTATATTGCAGTAAATTCTATTTCCTTCTTTATTGAAATGAACTGCTCTCACAGCTTATACACACCTCATAAGGCTTTTTGGTGCATCAACAGTGCATGCAGAAACAGACAAGTCACTGCACTCAAGCCAGTTTCCCAACACAGGGACAATGAAGCCTAAATCAATTATCACACTCTCCTGTTTACTTGCCATCCAGCAGGGCCCGCTGCCAAAACAGACCTCAGCAGATGGTACATGTTGGCTCTCAACTTCACAAATACTGTAGATCCTCACTACAAATACCTTGACTGCAGTTTCTGGGCTAATAATTGAGGGGAGGGGTGAATTGTTAGTACAAAACCAAACATCACTGGAGCACAAAATGACACATTCACACCAGCAAAAGCTCAGTCACACATACAGCCATACACTCTAACCCTTTGCTCATCTACACGGACATGAATGGATTGTACAAAATGCATTTAATCCTCTCCTTTCATGCTAATGAATAGAATGACCACACCACTTTCAATTTTACAAAGATGCTGTGAGGCTAAGTCACAATTCTCCAACAATGCTTGATGCCATCATGGAGGTCCAATGGTGAATGTTTTGTGTGCAAACAATGCTATATCAGTGGGATCTAGAAAGAGATTGTCATATTAATTAGTAGCAAGTGTATCTATCCAATTTGTAATATTATAAACACAAGAGTATTACACAAACTTGTATAATATAGCATGCTTATTCAATAGCCCAACTTATGTTAGTTTATTGAGAAAACATCCCCTGGGTTACTGGACAACAAGTCCAATAATATCTCTACCTCTACTTTCAGGAAAAGACCTTTAGGTTACAAAAAGTAATTATGGTTTCTACTGGATATAATGGCTAATGGTCAAATTACGTCCGTTAACAATTAAAAATGATTTACAAAGTGACGGAAATCATTTTTTTTCCCTGTTTCCCATTGGCAACCATCACCATCTTATGTGGGTTGGTGGTCTGAGCTGGTCTTTGATACGCACTGCTTTTCTTTAGCTGGTCTTAGCTTGATGGTGGTCAAAGAAAAGGTTAGGCATTTTCCGGAAATATTCGTATGTGCTTTCTTGCCAAGAGTTGTCTGTTAAATATAACGCTACAGCCACAGCAGCCAGTTAGCTTAGCTTCATTTCGCATACAAGCAGAAAATTTCGGGAAACAGCTGGTGGGAGGATTTTGTTACCTTTAGACAGAGCCAGGCTAGCTGTTTCTGCCAGACGTTAAGTTAAGCTAGGTTACGGTTGTTGCTTCAGATTCAGTGCACAGACAGAGTGGTATTGAGCTTCTCATTTTACTCCTGGCAAGAAAGTGCATTTTCCTAAATGTCAAAATATTTCTTTGAGGCGGGAAATAGGACCACTGATACTGGTACATAAACCAAAATGAGCGTATGTTCAGAATATCTTATGATAAACCAGTATGTTATTTCACATGGCGAGCTAGCTGCTTCCAAGATACCCACCTTTACTGATATAGGTTGTTTTTTCGGACCATTACTTAGCGAAAAGTTACACAGACCTCCATTATGGCAGCCAGAGTGTGTGTTACATTTACCGAAAGCCCACTACAAAAGAGTAGAATGACATTCCCCTTATCTGATGAATCCTCTCGTTTCTGTTTCAGAGTTAAGCAGAATAAGTTTGACTGGAGTTTCACTAGACTTCACAGACAGTCCTGGAAGTTGACAGGAGGCACTGTGGGAATCCGTAGCGGGCGGGGTAAGAATAAATCTTTTAAACATTATGTGAGGTTTTTATGTTCCCGTTGCCATGGTCACTCCTGGCCCGTGAGGTACGACCCGCCTCACTGGTTTCTTCCTCGTTGTCCACGTCGAGCTGCTCGTCTTTCTTCTTGATGTATCGCTCGTAGAGCACCATGATGACGCCCATCACCCAGGCCGACACGGTGCCAGCAGCAAAGATGACAAAGCCGATGACGACAAAGAAAAGATAGTCCCAGGAGCCCAGTGTCTGGTGACATAACGTCCGTAGCTGGATGCCCACCTCACCCAGTCGACGGCCCTGTATGTCAGCAGGTGAGCCACACACTGTCTGGCCCTCATCTGTCACACAGAGACACACCAAGAAAGAATGATGGGGATTAATCATAGGACTGTAGAATATAATACATCAGCATCACACTGAAGTGCACTGAAAACAGAAATTTGTTTTCCTTTTTTTTTTTATATAAACTCCAGGCTGATGGTGTTGAAACAAACAACACACAGTAAACAGGTCAGCTGTCCTGGGGTAGCATCATGAGTCATCATGTTCTTGACTGAATGTGCAGGGTTTGCATTTCTTCATAACACCAATCTAGGACATTTTTAATATACATAATTGTTCCTTGACAGCAGCAAGTAAAACTGCATTAGACTACAGTGGGTCAAAGCGACGTACATGCATACATAATTAATTTTAAAGCCCTTGAAAAGTTGGTTTTAAATTAAATATTTGATGATCTACATTAATATTTATGTCTAAATGAGCAACAATTGATGTTAAATTTTGGTGAAAAAACCTCCTTGGCTATTATTTATGAAGAAAAAAAATACCCAAACACTGAGCTGATCTGCTTCATCAGAGCTGTGTTTCCATTCAGGGGCCGCATCCTTCAGACGACGTGGTCCACGTGGCCTTCATGGCCATCACAGACCGCGAAATCAAAACCAAAATAAGAAGGCCTGGCCTACATAGGATTTCCGCTTTGCATCACTAGCTGTACCCGTACCGTTTCGTCACATTGCACTGCTCCTATTGCCTAGCAACCTTTTAAGGCCCTTGGCTTTTTAACAATTGTACTGTTAGCTGTTCAACTGAAACCCAATACTCACATTTACAGTGTCTCTGGGTCTCTGTCAGGATTGTTTACTGCCATATTATTTTCATTACCCGGCGCACAATGAATCTTGGGATAGGTAAGGCCACGAAGGATCAACCTGTTGGGAGTCTTCGTTGCCCAGAAAAACATGCCTCCAAAGGGTGCGGCCCCTGAATTGGGACACAGTTCAGGTCTTTATTTGACACTGATGGCAACATAACCCAACAGCTGACAACACCTTACGAGTCAAATGCTGTCGAACTCTGATTGGTGCACAAAAGCATGTGACATCACCATGTTCCAACTGCCCACCTCAAACCAGTTAGAAAACCAGGGACAAAAACACAGATAAAGAAATCTCTCGTGTGAAAAAACTTAAGCTGGTTCAACTTTGGAGGAAAATAATGTGTTCATGTAGGACCCGTCACACAAGTAGGAAGCTGATTTAGAAAATATATTTCAAGAGCCTTTAAAGTGTGTTTGACTGCTGATCTCCTTTGCAAATATCTTTTGAATAAAAGAATTAACTTTACTTACATCACAGCCTTAACATTTTATTTATAAAGCTCCAAATCACAACAGTTATCTCAAGGCACCTTTGGAGCAGGTGTAGACTGTAATCGTATTAACATACGATTTCAAGGATCCTTTGATGTTAGGAGAGCTACAACAAAACGCACAAGTAACTCAGCAAGGAAAATATTATACAATTGAAATTCACCAGAGCAGCCTGTTAAATAATTCAAGCATATTACCACCTATCATTTTACATAATATTTGTAAATGGCACATGGCAGCAATCTGAGCTGAAGATATCCACAATCCATTCAGGTTCACATTCCTAAAAGACTCAAATCCAGAAAACGGCACTAGCATATCAATGTTGCATTCTTATCAGAAAACTTTAGGAGGCTTTAGGAGCTTTCCGTGTACTACAGTCTTGAGTTGATGCAGCATTAAATTACAAAAAATTCATGGATAAATTATTCAAACTCCCTTCTCCCCCACAGGATTAGAGAGTGACTTGGGCCTTTGTGTCTGCCTGAAACCTCAGATAATAAGGTTCCTCATCATCAGGCACCGGGTATGACTACGACTAAGACCTTGCTGAAATCCACAAATCCTAATAAAAATGTTGAGTCCCATCTCTTTCACAGAACTACAGTAGATGGATGGAATTTCAAAGGCCTATCAGTCAATATTAACCACACCGCATGATGGATGTTGAGCTCTGCAGCGGCTGACAAGAGAAGCATTTTTCAGAAAATAATCCTGAAGCCCGAGTCTTTTGTTACCGAGAGCAAAAACTGGGTGCAACACAACAGAATGTTGCCATCTCCATACGGCCACTGTTCTTAATTGGCTTATGTTTTTTTCAAAGCTTTTGTGCTGGGGGGGGAATTCCCACTGCGAGAGATCAAAAGACTTGGAAGTTTCTGCACAGGAAACAGTTTTCTGTAACCTTATTTCTACACCGACAGCTTTAAAATACACACTCTCATTTTGCTGGCATATTGAAATATATAGTGAAAATGTGGTTTGAGTACACATGCAACTCTAATGAATACGTGAAAAATATGTAGAATCTGCAGGGACACGTGTGCTGCTTTGACTCTCAGCACCCTGCAAGGTATTTCAGGAAAATGTGGATCATAACGCAATAATTTATTACTTGCAGTATTACGCAGTAAAGACACAAACACTCTCATTAAACATGTTGTCTTTAAATACGTGGTTCCCAAACTTTTTTTTGTCTGATGAACCCTGACAAGTCAGTTCAACTTTTCCTTTGAAATGACTTTAAAGTGGATAAGTAACAAAAAAATGTTGTGATATTTGTTGATGGTTAATCATCTATGGCACAACCTCTCACGAGAAACAGGTTGAAATGATGTGCAGCTTACACCTAAACCACCTACAAAATATGTAAATATTATATACTCTACACTATTATATAGTTGTACTTATCACCTCAAGGCTCTGTTTTTGAAAAGAATCTATAGCAATTACTCTTTATAGTTGCAATGCTTCTGTCTGATCAAACGAGGTTGTTGCACTTGAACTTTTTTTTATTTATTGACTTTACTGATTTCATTTCATCCTTTTTTTAACATCTTATACTCGGACTTCGAGAGCCAACCAGAGCAAGAATAATGCAGCATTCAAGATCAAAGTATTCCAGCACACCAGGTCTGCAGACTATTGGACTTTCAATGAAATGGTCTCTTTGATTAATTCACATATAGTCGCATATGTATCAGTAATATATATTAATATATAATAATTACTACATTGTAATTGATTATTTTACATCAAAATATTAATCTGAAAAGATTGTGCGCTGATAAGAACATAAGCAAATTCTTGCAAGTCAGTTTTTCGCAAAACATGTTAAAATATGGCAATTTAATAATTATTAAAAGTTGAAGACTGCGCGTTGAAGCTATAGCCAAAACTAAAACTGAACCCTGGCGTTGGTTCAGTTCTACCTATTTCATCTGATAATCCAATCGCTTTTGCTAATCAAGTCAACTGTTTATCGTTGTTTTTCGCCATTTTCTTATTATCTCAATTTATCTTCTGCTTTTCACTGGTTCATCTATTACCTATCACTAATATTTCAGTATTTTTTCTATTACTTCAAGCTAACTATTTTACCTGATAATCCAATATCTTTAGCTAATATTTCAACCCTTTATCTATTACTTTTAGCTAACTGTTTCACCTGTTTATCCATTAATTTTAGATAATTATTAGAGTAACTCTTCTTTTGGGCCTTTTTGACTATTTCAAATGGTTAGCCTAAATGGTTAATCATGTAAACCATTTATCCATAAGCCTACTTTTTGTCAACTTATCCCTCCTTAAATCTTTAATAATTTCAGGTGATATTTCAACCCTTTATCCATTACTTTTTGTTATTTCAACTGCTGCTAGCTGTCACACTACTTTTTGTTCACTCTCAGTGGCAGCACGTGTTGTTAAGATGTTGAAACTGGGGGAGGTCTGATTTGACAGAGGGTGAGAGAGATTATACTGCACCTTTCAATCAAATCACTTTTCATGTTCATTTCATAGGATGACTGAAATTCAAATTTTCCTAATATTTTTATTCACTCAGTGCATAAATATCCGTTCTTATCCTCAGAGAAGCTCTTCTGTGGCTCACAGATCTGAAAACGAGCCTGCAGCTGAGGAACATGAGGACAGTTTGCTTCTCTAAGCTCCATCTACCACAGAGAATTCAAAGCCAACTCTGATCCTCTCAAAGACTGCTGCTCTACATTGTTCACACAATATGCGGTTAGGCTCTAGTTATAACAAAAACACACACGTTCATCCATGTAGAGACACACATATGCACACTCTCTCTTATATGCATGCACAAACCCCCTCCACAAGACTTTACTTTCCCATCTTCTATCCGTGCCCTTGCAGAGTCTGCTAATGTGTGTCTGCACGTGTCCATGTGTGTGTTCTTGTGCCTGACAGCTAGGAAGGAAACCCTTCTGGCTTCACCCCCACCATCCAGCCCCTTCCCCCTAAAGGGACTGGCATCAAAGAAGAGGGCTTTCCCTCTCTCCTTCCCCCATCCACACTCTGCTCTATTTCTAGACTCTCTCCTTATATAACAGCTGAGAGAGTGTTAATCTAGCCAGAAAGGCGAGACAGGAGGAGAATCTGTTGGTTCCTTCCTGAAGCTTTCTCTCTCTCGCTCACTCGCTTGCTATTGATGCGTCTCCTAAACCAAGGAGACATGCGAGCTGTGTTGCGTGAAGCAGGTGAGACCCAGACGAGAGATAACAAGGCTTTGGAGACAGAGCTCGCAGCCGAAAACACAGTCGTCTCCGAAATGTTATTCCTCCATTCCCCCCCCCCAAGCACAAAAAGTGTGCCGAGTGTGTAGTTGTGGGTTTGTATGCATGTGTGTCCGCACGTGTGTGAGTTTAAGAGACAAGGTGCTCAGTTTTAGGGAGAATAAGGTGTTGTCTGTGTTGTTGGCTGCAGGAACAAGATGGACAGACTGTGTGTATACATAACAGCAGTAGAAAATGTGTGTGTATGTATGTGTCCGCCTTCTCCCATGCTGGCAGCTGTCACTGGAAGAGGCTTCACTCTAAATTAAGCGAGACAAAAGGCAATGAGCAGCAGGAAAATAGGACAGCTCTTGCAGGACTCGTTTTGGACTTGAACTATAAGCTTCACAGGGACTGTGGTGAACTGTAGTGTGTGTGTGTGTGTGTGTGTGTGTGTGTGTGTGTGTGTGTGTGTGTGTGTGGGAGAGAGAAAGAAACAGGGGATGCCTTTTTAGTAAGTGTGGCAAGTGTATTCTTGCTATGGTGTTAGAATTATGACCGGCTTCTTGCTCAGTAAGACACACTATAAATAGCTGCCCTTTTGCATAGTGACACATCCACACCAAAGCATGAGCATAATAACTCAATGTAAGAAAGATAATGGAATATCAGACACATCTATCAGCTTGACTGCAATAAAACAAAGAGATGATCGATATCTGATGGTGCAACTGTGATCCATTCATCACACCTGCAGCACAGCATCCCAGTCGCTAAATAGAAAAGAAATTGATTTGTCATTTCTCGATAAAAGGCTCTTGTTTTCCTCACAAACTGCAGAAAGCAGGGGCTGAGTTACTGAACACAGTTGCTAGAAGAGAAATCAAATGGCTCCCTGCCTCCGATCTTCTTTCACCCTCTTTGTTATTTGATAGTCCGAATGCTGTCACGCTCCACTGCCATCACCTGCGCCTCATCCCACTGAAAGCTGAGAAAGGGGTGAACTTTGTGGACCTCACTAAACTGCATATAGCTGAGCTGTGGTTACATATCTGTATAATAGACAAACAACAACATAATTAGTATATGATACACTGTATTTTACAACTGAGAATAACACAGTTGTGGGTGTTGATGGTATGAGATTATCTGTTGTGTGAGCTCAGAGGTGCAGACGAGACGGGGAGTTTTGATGTGACATGTTGACGTGACATTTGCCTCCACACAGGGCTGGCATTGGGTCACTCCTTCCTTTAGAGGGCTCCAAAGAATATCTTTGGAGCTATTTTCTTAGGAATCACTTAAGCTCAATTTTTTCTTTTTTTACATTAGGTTATTTTCTAACTTTTTGTTTTTCTCTTTTAGTAAGGCACCCTTTATTAAGGATTAACATAGGCTTTATAAATGGTACATATATTATTTCACAAAGCTTTACATATCAGTTGTAAACCATTAATGACCACAATTTTAGGTTGGGAAAAATCACCCATGCCAATAAACATCAGCATGGCTGTGTTACCAACCAGACGAATTCGCAGCTCCACGGGGCCCTGAGTGTATTAACTGGTTAATGCTTTTCATTGAAAATGTGTTTGGCCATATAGAGCACAATCACACATCATCAGCTGGCATGATAAGGGCCTTCAGGTAATCTTGAGGCCCTGTCTTGAAGAGGGCCCCTGTGGCCAAATGCACTTTTGACACTTGAGACCTTCATTATTTCAGTTTTGCTGTGTTTTCTTCTTGAAAATCAAAGCAGCGGCTAATTTTTGCCCCGAAGCCCAGAAGCATGTTAACCCAGCTATAAAAATTTCTCACACCCTCATAACTCAAACACTGTCATTATAACTGATAAAGCATTAGCTAAGTAAATGACTTATGAACAATTTATAACACCATTAATTACAACTTAATAACTCTTAATAAGGGGTAAGAAATATCTTAATCTGCTATTCAAGTTGTCTGCTTTCTCTTTCATCACAATTTCGAATTTGTTCCCACTTAATATAAAAACACTTACAGCTGCACTAAAGGAGATAAATACATTTTCATCTTGACATGGGATACAGGCCTGTTATTGGTTGCAGCCACAAAAGGCCAATAGTTTATATAACCAGGTTATCTAATAATATGGAGCACAGCAGTCCTTATGTGATACCACTTTACATGACATTAGAATAAAATAGAGTATATAATTGATAGTACCTTGGAACTTGAAACCCTCCAGGTGGACCCACAGACACAGGTCTTCGTTGTCGCACTCGCAGCTCCACGGGTTCCCGCTGAGCCCCACCGAGCGCAGGGCGGGCAGCGCGATCAGAGAGGTGATGTTGAGGACAGTCAGGTTGTTCCGGCTCACATCCAGAACCTGAAGGGCCGCGTTTTCCGCAAAGGCGTCCGGATGAATCTCCGAGAGCCCCGGGTTGTCTGTCATCCTCAGCATCACCAGACTCGTCAAGGGGCCGAACGTCCTGTCCTCGATTCGGATCAAGGTATTGAAGGAGAGGTCCAGGTAGGCGAGCTTGCGTAGATTCCCAAACGTGGACTCTGATATCTCCGTCAGGGAGTTGTTGCTGCAGTCCAGGTACACCAGATCGGAGAGGTAGTTGAGCGCGAGCGGCGGCAGCTCCACGATGCGGTTGTTGGAGATGATGAGCTGCCGCGTGGCCAGCGGCAAGTTGACCGGGAAGGTGGTCAGATGCTGCCCAGCGCACTGGACCACCAGCTGGTCATCACACACACACCTGTCCGGGCAGCCAGAGGAGAGCACCGGGGATGTGATCACCCCCGTGGAGAGGAGGAGCAGAACTATGAGCCGCAAGGGTTGCGCGCTTGGCTGCGGGGCAAGACGCATGACACCGCCGAGGGCTTCATCCACCCCGTTTGGAGAGAGTCATACGCAGTCACATTCTTCATTGATACATTCTCCCCAAATTATGTCTCCCAGAAATGATTTCCACAGAGGTCAAACCTAACGCTTGTCCGTGGCAACCTCTTGCGCGTAATGTCTCAGTGGATCCAGCGCGCATCCACTGTCTGGAACTTGACAGCCGGATGCTTTCATGCTGTTTCAGATGTCATTGATTTATCGAGCCTCTTCCATCAGAACACAGCTATTCACACATCATAAACGCTCACAACGTCCTCTCATGCTGCGCTGCTCGCGATGATCACGGTCAGTTGCTCCACTACATGTTTGCCATGTCTCGCTTTCCGAAACAGAAACCAAATGAGGGGGGCGCGCTGAGCTGCGCGGCGGATGGGGGTGGGGGGTGCGCTGTGGAGAGAGCTGACGCTTTGGAGAGAGCTGGAGCGAGAGTGGAAGCTCTGGGCAGCGGAGGTAATGGAAGGCTAACATTAAATATTGAGGCCAGCAAAGTATAATCCATGAGAGCTATTGTGGTAAAGGTGACCTATAACGCTTCAGCTGCAGGTGTGTTTGTGTGTGTGTGTGTGTGTGCATGAGAGTGGAAGCTGCAACCAGATTAAAAAAAGACTCTGTGTACAGTATGTAAACATCTTTTTGCATGAGTGTGTGTTGCTTACACTTTTATCAGCCATATGCCTCAGGTGTGTATGTGTGTGTGGAGGTAGAACAAGAGTGCAGTGCACCTGACACCTGGGAGGCATATTGTGTGTGATCACATCACATGAGGATTTAGGCTTTTGAAACAAGAGTGTGGCAATTATAACAATGTGTCGAGAGGGGGGATCCTTATCGGTACATCGACAACACTCAGGCCTATATGTGCGATGAGACTCTCACGATAATAACTGACATATCAGCCATAGGCAGCGAGGCAATTCAAACTCTACCCAGTATACATCCAACAGATGATAGGACGAAATGAGATGGGACAGGGTGGTCTCAGGCAGCAGTTGTTTTCCTCATCTCTCCAGTCTCAGTAAGAGTCCTGAGTCTATTCTTGGTTCTCTGTGTAGGTGTTGAAGTGCTGAATCAGACTCAGCATGATGGAGGAGGAGGAGGACAGATGTGCCGCTGACAGTCCGTGAAAGAAAACTACCCCGAGCTGACAGTCAACAACCAGCTGCACAGTGACCACACTCACCCTATTTCTCTTGCACACATACATCCACAAAAATGAAGTTCAGCCCTTTTCCTGCATTCCCTGGTGTGAAAAAGAAAGAGCAGGAGGCCTTCAGGCATAGATAACCTAATGCTGTTTCACACTTGCCATCCTGTGGACTGAACTAATCCACACAGCTGTTTGAAGCCAAGGATATTCAGTGACTTTATGAGGACATCTAGTGACGAATACTTGGTAATGTTTTGCAGAGTGCAACAATCTTCTTATATACTGTCTTCACTGATACAGAGACCTTAGCTTAGGACTATCCAAGTTCACGTAAATTATTTCTGATGACACACAATTATTTTGCAACCTCTAGAAAAGCAGCAGCCCAGACATAACTCAAGCTGCGCTGCCAAATCTGCTCAAAACCACAGAGATTTGATTTCAAATTCCAGTGGACATCCAAAAGTTTCCAAAAATACCAAACATGTCAGGCTGAATTTTGGGGAAATGTGTATAAAATGGTGCTGAAGACATCAAGAATATTTCCGTTTCGAAATGCAACACTTCTTCAGGGGAAAAACAAAGGGAAATTTGTACACTAAGGTTTACTACTACTTCTATCTATACTATGGTACTGACAACAACCACAACTTTGAATGCAGGAGGTAAAACCAGTTCTTTCTGGGTGACACATCCATACACATAGTGGCATCAGGGAAAACACATCTCTTCAAGATGCAGGCCACATGTTTGTCTCCAAGAAACATAAACTCTGCCATATATTCATCTACACTCTCATATCTTCCACCTTCAGCCTGTATGATCATGCAGTGGTACCACAAATGCTGCATGCCCTTCTTACTTTCTGATTCACCTACAACTGTCATCCGCACTGTCACTCTATGTTAGTCAAGTTGTATTCGCAGGAGCTGGCCTCACATACTTATTCCTATGGTTAATCTGCATTCATAAGATCTATTTTGGCCACAACAACCATTGATTTATTTTATATGTTATAGGACAAACACAAGAAAAGACATCATCATAGGCCGTCCTGTTTCGATTTGAGTTATAATATAATATAATACAACCCTTTCACCACCAGCTCGTAATGTGTGAACACTTTATTCAGAACATAATTAACTTAAGTATTAAACCCCTTTAAACTTCAAACTTAGTAAAATTGTAAAAGTGACGTCTCATTGAATAATGTACACCTCTAGGGTAAAGTATGATTCCCTATAATAACTACTGAGAGGCTAAGGGAACAATTCTAGCTTTAATAATCCAATGTGATGTTACTACAGAATGTGTAATTATATTATCAATTATTCAGCATATACAGTGAAAAAACACAAAAACATTTCCTCATTTTGAACCTTGTATTAACTGAATGCAGGAATCTCATGCCAGACACAACCCCCGATATGAAAAACATAAATGAAACAAAGAAAAAGACCTGTCTGTTTAGTCTTTTTTTCTGTTAGTTTAAACCTCAGTGCACTTTTTACTTTGGTTTGTTCTTTAAACAAGGTTTGTTGGCGCGCGCTTAATGGTGGCGCTCATGGAAAAAACAAACAGTTGCATGGAGTGAGAGTGAATCCTACCAGGTCTGGAGACAAAAACACCTGTGGTCACACTCATCTCGGTCCGCACAGGCGACAAGCAGCCGGAACCACACAACGGGAATCTTTCTGATAGCAGGCCGTCCTCAGCGTCGAGCAAATCCTCCGCTGAAGCTCCTCCACTCCCGTCCATCCAGGTGAAGAAGGTGGTTGTCGCTCCCGCAATGGCGGCAGCTAAGCTAATCAAGCTAGCTCGCTCCACAGTGGGGGGAGAAAAAAAAAATACCTCGTTGACCGCTAACAGTCACAAACTCTCACACACAGAGGAGCGACTTAACTAGCAAACAGTCCACAGTTCAGCTGAATAAAACTACCCGGTAAACACTTAATAGTCCGCGGCGTCTCTCACTCGTGCTCAAGTTTGTTCTCCACCATGCTATCTCCCCTCAACTTCTCTCTCCCCTGAACCAGGAGGTCGACCGGAAATCACACTCCTTTACATTAACAAATTAAACAAAATTATTATCAAACCTTCTCAGTAATGAACCAGCCTTAGAACATGTTATAAGATATATATATGTTAACTGTGAATTAAATCATTTTCCAAACAGTTATGAAAAATCGAATGGTAAATCTTATTATAGATGCACAAAAATATATTCAATAAATTCTAATACACGCTAGCATAAACCAAACAGAAATTGCATCTTATCAATAACTAGTGATAATACCAATTTTCATTTTAAGATAAAAAAAAAGACAAGAAATACAAAACAACTGATGATGTAAATCAGGTCTTTACAATAATATAATATAATATAATATAATATAATAATGTCTAAATGATAATGAGTTCAGTTCCATGTCAGCAGCTCATGTATTAGTGAACCTGGGTCTGCTGAACGACAGACACCACAAATACCTCTGCTTGACCTGCTATGTGATCCAGGAAACTGTGGCCTGTCAGATCCTTGGTCACCTCAACGGAGGGCAGATTTTTTAGCTGCCTTCCATAGTCCATATTGTAAACTCGCTCACTGGCACTGCTTACTGGGACACTTTAAAACAAACAAGGTCATTAATCTTATTAGTTGAAGCTCCTGTTATGTCAAGTCAAAATGTCCGTCATAAAAATAGGATTGTAACTGCAGTAAAAGTTGACACTGTCAGATAAATGGATGAATGGATTGAATGCTTGGATTCTTAGACTACATGTGGCTCTGGAAGTAACCAGGGAGGAGGAGGATGAGGTGACCACCCATATGCCATCACATCATCCTCTTTTTTGTAGCTTGCTTTATGAGATAAATACAGGTTTTCTTTTCCTTTGTCAGAAATTTCTGGAGGGAAACAACTGCTTCTCCTTGGCAGAGAAGGCTTGAGAGATCTAAAAATTAAGTAGTGTCCACTTGCAACCCACTTTTCTCAGGTCTATGAAATGAAAGTTTTCACCAAGTACTTAAAGTATCAAAAGTAAAAGTAGTCATTAACAGCAAAATGGCCCCTGCAATTGTAATGCTACTGAACCATATACTAAATTATCCAAGTATCATTACTATATCAGCCTATTATTGATGTTGTAGCTGGTCAAGGTGGAGCTAATTTTAACTACCACACTTTAAATATGTTACTATTTATTTATGTTTAACCCTTAACAAAAGTTTATTTTAGGTCTTCTGTGTAAATTTTTTATCTGGAAAGTAACAAGTGAGTAAAACTGTCAGATGAAGAAGAGGATACACACTAGAGGAGTAGTGGAGTCATAAATTCAATATTTCCCTTTGAAATGTAATGAAGTAGCTTAAAATGTACAGTACTTGAATAAATGTAGTTACTTTCCACCACTGAATCTATCGGTATTAGTGCATCATATCTTATAGGTTTATCGTATGTTTTGCATGTCAGATAACTGTAATGCAGTACTTCCCACTGAAATGTAGTGGAGTTAAAATATAAAGTAAAAACAAGTAACGCGAATCCATCACTGCCTTAAACTAACAGTAGAGTAAAAATGGCCTATACCTGTTTATTATTCTTCTTGAAGACCCATAGACTGAATATGAGGACCTATTTTTACCTGTCTCTTTAACTTACCTGACAACTGCGTACGTAACGTAAAAGCAAACCTCAGCTGCTCAGAGTAAATATGAACAACTGCATTGAGAAGCGAAACCGGGTTTTCCCCCTGACTCTTAGCACACATTAGCAATAAAAGCTGCTGATTAACTCATTGTCTACAGAGTCAGACCCTCTCTGTAGTCGTCTACAAGCCGCCACTACGCCCTCACCGTGTGTTGGTGTTACGTAAGCCTCACGCACACAGACGCAGAACCCGGTAGAAAGCTTCAGTGTGGTCTTGTTTTCTCGCTGTGTTTCCACCGGGGTGGTTCAGCTGTCGGAGTGGTGCTCTACATCTTCAAGGTAAACGCTGCATTTTTAGTGAGTGCTGCGGATTCACCGCGTTTGCCCTCAAAACATGTTGGTGTAAATATTAATGGCGCCGCTTGAATCCTCATTTGACCTTTCGTTTTGAAGACGTCCTTGCTCTTTGCTGTTGATTTTACAACCTCTTTACTAAGCTTGGACAGATTTATACACAGTTGTTGACCGGTACAGGCAAACAATAATAAAAAAAAAAAAGTTATGTATTCATACGCGTGAAAAAACAGGGTTTTCTGTTAAATCTCCTCCCTGTTCTTACACAGAAATGGACAGTAAAAATACCAATAGTTAAAAGAAAAAAAAGATGCGTTTAAACATATGAAATGTGTTTGATTGTGTTATTTTTCCTTGTTCAGGTTTGTCAGGATGGTTGTGCTTTCCAAAGAGTATGGATACGTGGTGCTGACAGGTGTTGCCAGTATGGTCATGATTGGACATCTGGCAGTTAAAGTTGGCAAAGCTCGCAAGAAGTACAACGTGCCGGTGAGCGGAAGTATTCCTGTTCAGATATATATCAGAATATAATGGCAACTTTCCTGTTCGTTGACACGCTTGGGCGGTGCCTCTTTGTGACATATGAATTACCTTGATGAGAGGTGTTCGCCTATACAAATGAACCTGCTTTGTCTTGCAGTATCCTCAGATGTACTCTGATGACTCAGAAAATGGGAACGTTTTCAACTGTATCCAGCGTGCACACCAGAACACGTAAGTATAGATTTGCACAGTCTGACTCTGATGTTGCATCAAGCTTTCATGGTTCATAGTAACTGTGGTAAAAGGAGGTTGAAGTTAACATGCTGCTATCACCTCTCATCAGCCTGGAGTTGTACCCCGCCTTCCTTTTCTGCCTGGCTGTTGGTGGTTTGCATTGTCCTGTGAGTTGATTTTTGCACTGTCATGGTACCACAGCACTAGCGTACAACCTTGAAACCAAAGTGTGACAAAGAAATTCTTCTGCATTGATCTGTCTACTAGTCTCAAATCTTGTCTTACCTGAGTGTGTGATCTTTGTTTGTGTTTTTGTGTGTGTGTGTGTGGGGCCACAGCATCTAGTCAGTGGACTTGGAGCTGTATGGATTATTAGCAGAGAGGTGTACGCACATGGGTACTCTACAGGAGGTAAGAAAATGTCAGGCAGTTCTTGTTTCATGTAGATTTTCTGCTGTTTCAAAGTAAACTGAAACTTACTCTTCTTATTAATCCCACTCAGATCCTAAGAAGAGAATGCGGGGAGCGTTTGGGAACGTGGCCTTGCTCGGGATGATTCTGACCACAGCCAGCTTTGGCCGCCACCTGTTGGGCTGGACGGGGCCACGGATGGGGCCCTTCCGCCACGCACACTGATGACAAAGTCTTCAGGCCAGGCTCACTCAATCATTACTACAATCAAGACCACTACATAAACCATAAACCTTGAAGTCTGCGTGTTAACCTCTGATTAATGTACCAGGTAAACCTCATGTCAGGTGACCTGACCGGTTCTCCCTGAAGGGATATAGCTCATGTAGGATAATGAATGTGGTGTAATCACAGACTGGCACTCTTTCTACATGCAAGATCTGTCAGTGTGTCTTAATATTGTCATTCATATTCATTTTCACCTAAATGGATTGGCCACGTGACTTTTCATATCGTGTATTTTTGCAATAAGCAAATGAAGGTAATGTAATAAAAGGAGATTTCAGAGGGAAACAAACCTCCCACTGTCTGAGAAAGTCCAATTTTGTACATTAATAAGGTTGGTCATAAATAATGCTGCTGTCAAGTAAAAAACTTCATAATTCATGATTATTTTTCTGTATGTTGTTTCTCATACTGAAAAGTGATATTAAATATCACACGTTGGTTATAAATAATCTTGTGCGTTCTTTTTTTTTTCATTGGGTGTTGAATGGGTTATTGATTTAGCTTAAGGCCTTGGTAACAGTTGAGTGTGTTTAAGGGAGTGGCTTTCTTTCTATTAGCCGAGTAATTGTTCAAAGTCCATTATAAACAGATTCACAAGCTGTTGAGCTTAAACCCCTCACACAACTTCATGTTTGACAGAAGAAACCGGCCTTAATACAGGATACAATGACAGCTAATATAAAACAACATCTCACCCTGTAAACATATGCAACTTGGAGCTTTTTAGTGGTTTCTATTTTATTATCAAACAGGAAATCTTTATCTCAATAAATTCTTACAGTCTGCATTTAAATGGCATATTATCATACATCACTGTTGGCACTTAACAGTAAAGTAACACTAGGTTAAAAACAGCTTAAATCCAGCACATCTGCATGATACTTAACTAATACAGATACAGGGAAGAAAACCACCCTGATACTGCTTCTTATCGTCTCCACCGCTGAATGAAAGCTATGTGCGCAAACATTTACATCCTCCATAAATATGAACACATTTAACAATAGTTTGTTTTACCTTTACAATTGACTCATATTAAAGTGATTATTTAGTGTAGCAGGGTCTTCTCAGTGTGCATTGGTGGATTAAATATTCATCATTAAGAACAGAATAACCAAAGTCAGGTTTTATATACCAGCATCAGACTATAATGATACAAGTTCCATGACACATATAACTACACATTAAAAGCTGCAACAATAAATATTTGCCATACATAATTTGGAGTGACTAGGTAATAAATTTGAGCAGTTGAATGACGGCAGGCTTCTACTGTAAGAGAACTGGTCTGTTTTTCCAGAGTTATGGCTTTTTCTGCAAGACCTCAGCTTTAAGACAACAACCTGGCAACTTGGTTTGAAAGTGCACTTCACTAATATTTGGTCGCCTGAGGGATCATAATTTATATTCCTTAATCGATTTGTTCATGTTTGCAACTTTTCCCATGTGTCTCAAAGCTCTTCCTGTCCTCTTTCAGTCTCTATCTCTCACTCTCTTATTTCTCGCTTGGTAACCTGAGGTCAATTAATTTACATTGGAGGACTTTATGCAACCTTGATCCACATTACCTCATATGTCCCCTAGAGGGCACTGTGACCACTTGTGCCACATTAAAGTGCTGTGCAAACATAAGGAGTCCAGTAAGGTAGACAAAAGGAAACATAAGGTTCCCACCAGACTGAAGATCTCCTTAACTTTAAAGGGAATGTGGAAAAAAGCTGAGGTGAAAAAACCCTCTTATTTAAAAGACTCTATAAGAATCCTTCTCACAGAGCGACAGATAAACATGTTTATCACTGACCCAAAACAGTCACAAGGGGAAACTCGTGAGCAGAGATGCAGCTGCGTCAGGCAAAGGCTTTGCTCACATCCACACTGGTCTTCTCCTTTGGTGTCTGCTCTGTCTCTGTTACCTCCGAGTGGTCGAAATGACTGAGGACGCTTCCATCAGTAGGTGTATCTGGAGAGCGGCGTGTCCTCCATCAAGTCGTCCTGGAGGAGATTGTTGTTTCAGAGAAGTACAGTTGTTAAGAATGACTTTAAAGCCCTAATTTATGAAGTTATACTTCCAAATAAGACAAGAATGTTGAGCTATAACGCATATAGACTGTGGCTGTGTCCAAAATCACTCACTCCTCGTATATAGTCCACTGTATAGTGAGTTCGCCATTTTGTAGTGCTGTCCGAATGTACAGTGAGAATTATTATACCCTATATAGTGGACTCATAGTATCCCACAATGCATCATGAAAAGTAGTGTATAACTGATGGTCACTAACCAAGTAATACATATATTTATATATAGAACTCCCGGGATAGTGAGTGAGTACGTGGGTAAGTGTCCAGCTTGACACTTTTGTTTTTTTTGAACAGGGCACAGGCACATATCTGACTTTTGATATGTTATTATCTAAATCTGTATGATGGCATCGATGGAGCCCCTATAGTCTCAAAAAATATTTTTAAATAATATATATATATATACTGTGCCATACAAATTATTACAATCATCTCTTTGTGAACAGTATGCACTGATACATCTGAGAAGGCCTGGTTGTTCTGAGATGTGGGATTTAATAGTTCCTCTTAGATTGTACTGTATATCTATTTATCCAGGCCACCGACCCTCTTTAGACCAATTCAACCGGTGACAGAGGGACATGGTGGAGAAGATTTGCCCCAAAATTTCTTTTACATTCATGCTTTTTTAAACTCAACAAGCTTGCAGTTAACTTTCAAATCATCAACAGTAAAGCTGTGAATAGAATGTAGTGATTTTGGGGTACAACTGAAGGTGCAGCAGTTATGTATTACACTTGCATAAAGGTGGTGGTGGTCAAAACTGTTGTTGCAGAGATTGAGATATCCTGACGTTTAGTATGGGTAAAGCTCCTAAAGTCCTACACTTCCCACAATGCAGCTGGATAGTGCATTAGATTCTTCTTGTATTGTAAACGGCCTCTTGTATCAAACTCATCCAAGGCTTTATGTTAAAAATCTGAAATCTATCATTCATTTCTGACTTTTCTCTGATGTTTAAAGCCACATTAGACACTGTACAACTGTTTTCTCAGGCTGAGCAGTACTGCTCATGATAAGTAAACTGACTTTGTGTAGAAAGAAATGGTGGAGTGCCCCTTTAATCCCTTAAACTCAGGGAGGGTAACAACCTCACTGTGATGTATGCACAGGAAAGTCTTACCATGGGGAGATCCTGCAGTCGATGAAACTCTGGGTGGTTTGTCCGCTGGCGGAACTTGAGGAAGAGGATGACAAAGACGATAGCAGTGGTGACAATGAACACTGACAGCAGACCAGCCAGCAGGGGGTCTAAAGGGGAGCTTGAGTGGTATCGGGGTCCCTTGAGGTCTACGTGACACAGAAATGGACAAACGTAATAAAACCCATTTTGTGTCAAACTAGGAGGCCTAAAATAATGCTCTCTCACCTGTCCATCACCTTACCTTCATCTCCAACATTAAGTTCAGATGGGACTTCCTGGTGCGTTGGCCCCGCAGGGTCTGGAGCTGAGGTTGAAGGACGACCTGTGGTGTGTGATTCAGACTGTGGCTGAGTGGTGGAGGTGTGGGCTGTGAAGCTGACATCCTGCACTGTGTGGGCTGGCTGAGATGAAAAGGTGGTGGTAGCGGTAGTGGGGTCTCTGGTCATGAGCGTTTTGCTTTCAGTGGTGGAGACGTGATGTAGAGGGGTGGTGCTCCGTGGAGTTGGTGTGGATGAAAGGCCGCCTGCAGCAGCTGAAAGTGGGGATGTGAGGGTAGTGCTGTGTCAGTTCAAAACAGTACAGAGAAGTCTTCAAAGGACATGGACCACACACACACACACACACACACACACACACACACACACACACACACACAGAGCAGTCAGAGGTAACTGTTACTATACACCACCCTGCTCACTCCCACTGACGTTAACGCTGCAGTGCTGGATGTTTTTGTTGTCACGGCGCCAACCGGCATTCACTGATGTCTCAGCTCCACACACACACACCCCCCACCTCTTTGCCCATTTTTGGATTAGCCAGGGGTTAGGTGGAGTCAGGCACTGCCAAGATGGTGGTGGTGGAGCAGCCCGCTCTGGGTTTCAAAACTGCTCTTCAGATACCTAACGGTAACGTCACAGATACTACGTCCATCTTTATTTACAGTCTAGGCTTGTGATGAGTAAACTGTGCCCCTTTGAACTAAGTGACCAGAAAAATAGAAACAGAGTTTTGACTCTCTCTTCTAGGGTAAATTTAGAGGCTGAACATTGTGGGAAAGTTTTATTGGACAGCATTATATTGAAATGTTTTTTCTAATACTTCGTCCACTTCCTATCAACTAAATATGTGCAGAGGAGAAAAAATATTAAAAAACACATCCAAATATGGAAAATTAATCTGCAAAAAAACCCCACTTGACTGTTTGTTGAACAAAATAAGTGATCTGTTAATGTCAACATAGACTTTGGGAAGCTGGAGTGGATATTTTTCACCATGTTCTGACATTTTGTGGAACCAATTAGTCGTGAAAATAATCATGGGTTACAGCCTCAGTAATTATACAGTCGAATCAACACAACACAGTCAGAAAAAGCATGCTGGACGAAAAGCAAAAAATACTAAAATATACATATCCTGCATTTGATACAAAAACGCATGACTAAAACCAGTGATACAAGTTTTAGCCATTAAAGTGACAACCTCTGCATTATTCCACAGAGAGCTGAGGGAGGTGACAGCGACAGCTAAAGAGGGGGCAAAGGTGTGATCTGGATGCCATTGAGTCATATTGTTTGTTATTTCCGTGCTCCTCAAAGAGGCAACATGGCATCAGCTGAGGGGGTTATATTTAACTGATCTATAAAAGGGAATCTCTAAATCTAAAAGAGGTTACGACACACCTTCTCAGTGCAGGCATGTGGGGGTCAGAGGAGGTCTATGCTCCTGAAACGCTGCTGGCAATGGAGCTGAGTCTGAAGAAAGAGTCTGTGTTTGCAAACAGGCCGCTTTTAGTATGTGGGTAGTTTTATTTTAAGAGTCTAGTCTGGACAAAGTCAACAGAATGGACTGCAAAATTATAGATGCAGAGTTATAGACTTATGGATGAAAAGATGACTATAATTTCTGTGTCGATAACTGCTTCCCATAAAGGCCCAGACTTCAAAAGAGACACATAAACAGTGCATGCAGGTTTGTCTTGGTTACCTGAAGAAGAGGCAGTACCAGTGTTAGCCATCATGACGACGGGTACATCCGTGTGTGGAGATGTTGCCACTGCAGAGCTCGTGCTCATCAAGTGGCTTTTAAATCCTTCATTTGTCACAGTCTCTGAATGGACTGTTCCCTCGCTCTTGGTACTGGTTGTGGTTTCAGGCGAGGTTTCATCCCTGCCGGCAGGATTATGTGTCCACTTTGGGACCTTGTTCCCAGGATCCTCTGTCAGGTCAGGAGATGCTGAGGTGCCAGCATGATGCTGGAGGGCAGGTGTGGTGAGGACAGGCGGCAAAGTACTGCTCTGACCTGTAACAGAAAACATAAATCCTCCTAAAGGGATAGAAATTCATTTTATGATTGTTTCTGTCTATCAAATTGTGTCTTTATGGTAAAATTGTCTCCATACAATTCTTCAGCGCTTAAAAGTAAAATATTTAAAAGTGAAATCCAAAGATTTTCAGTTTATTGTCACAGAAGATGAAATGAAGCTGGAATATTTACCCATGAGAATCTGGAATCAGAGAAGTTTGGCTTTTTTGTTTCTTAAAAAATGACTCAAAATGATTAATTGATTATCAAAATAATTGACAATTAATTCCGTCATCAACTAATCAACAAACACATCATTCTTCTAATAGCCATGTTGGGTAATTTTAGTTGGTTTCAGTGTTGTGTTTTGGTGCTGATTGCCAAGCATTAAATGGGGTTAATTACGAAAATGAGATAAACCGATAAGTCTAAATTAAATCTACATGTATTAAAAGTTAAAATAGATGAATAGGAGGCTGATGGACACAAATCACAAAACAGTGAGTTCCCATGAGAAAGAAATAGTCACCTTGTTGATCACATCACAGTGATCTGCCCACACCCTGCTGAGGTGCTGAGTCCAATATAAGAAGCTGATGAATTAACCAAACATAATTTAATAATGATCAAATAAAGCCAGCGGGCAGCAACTTTCTATAATATCAAGACAATCGAGAGCATTATGTGCTGAATCAATATCGAGCCCAGCTCACGTCAGCAGGATATCAAACACACACACACCTTACCGTTTGTCTGCGATGAGCCGGTAAGGACCACCCACACGAAAAACACCAGATTAATTTCAAATTTCATTTCATCCGCGGCCACCCTGCAGATCAATATGAAACTGAGCAAGCGGGCTCTCCACGGCGGCTCTGCTTTTCAGCTCTGAGGTTGTTTCCGTTACGTGATTTGACAGGGCACATCATCAGCGCTAAAAATATCCTGAGGGAGTCGGGCAGAAAGAGGAGCAGGGGTGGGGCTGCATGGCGGGCTGCACGCGGGCGGCGGTGCGGAGCAACAGAAGAGACACACGCGACTGTTTTTGAAAGTGTCGCGGATCCCCCCCCTACGAACTCACGCTCCACCTTCCATGTCTGTGTTTTTCCACTCACAGCCGCTCATCCCCGCATCTTTTCCTCTAAAACGCGTCAGTGTGCGGCCGCTGTTGCTCCGCTGCTCCAATCAGCTGTCAGTGCGTCAGAGGCGCAGTTGTCTGCGTCAGGAGCGCCTGTTGTGGAGCGCCGTAGCACTGAACACGCGCGCACGCACGCACACACACACATACACACACACCGCCAAGCTGTGACCAACTTTTACTCAGCACTGTGTTTTGTAGGTACTGGTGCAGACATTCGGTTTAGAAGTGCGACAGCTGAACAGGTGTGTGTTTGCTGGCTGCTAGTGAGAGACAACAACTTTTCAGTCCCCACAGAGGTCAGTATGTCGTCACGCCTGAGCGCACTGCCCACATGTTGTAGTGTGTGTAGACAGCTGAATGACCCGCTGCGTCCTCTGTCAGCCTGCTTGGACACACTTTAGAGGACAGTGAGTGCTCGCTCTAATCACTGATTTCTACCGACCAGGCTTTTATTTCTAAAGGATCTCCAGAGGCAGCAGGAGGAAACCTTCACGTTGCGCCAGATGGAGCCTCCAGCCAATCCGGGAGACAGCCCGGTGGAGTTGGAGTTAACGGTGGAGAACGTGGAATCGGTGAGTTAGTTGTCAATAACCGGCCAATTCAATGAATGACTGTTACTGAATTAGACCTGCGGATGCAGCTCGAAACACCACTGCTGATCTGAATGCATGTTTGTGGAAAAAGAAGAGCTGCAGCATCATCTACTATTTATATGCACAGATTTTATTTGATGCAATAACTCCAGTAATAAGAAAACAACAGCAGCGTCTTCACACAAAACTGTGGTTTGTTCATTGTAGTTTCACATAAGGAGATTAGACAAACTGGACCTTTTGTAACATGATACCAGCTATAAGCATATGCTGTCCTAATAATAACTAACACCATGTGCTTTGGATTAGTTGCCATGACAACACATTTTTTTACTCTATTCAAACAATTGGTCATCCAGTATGCATCCATATTAATGCTTGTTGAAAATACAGCTCCTACATCAATTAACTTTAAAGCTGATACATGAACTCTTGTGCCAGTTCATGTATCAGTTGTGTTCATGTATTTATTGTCCTTACCACACCTCCTCAATCAAAACAGAAACAAAATATGGGAGTATTGATTAATCTTCTCTAATTCTCCTTATCAGTATTGATCAGCACCCACTCCTTACATGTCATTACCACATTTTGTTTAGGAGTTAATTTGCTTGTCTCTCTTCCTACAGGCTCTCTACCAGCTGTACTTTGATCCAGACATGGAGCTGAAGAATGTGGCCCAGAAGTGGCTGACCCAGGCCCAGGGCTCTGCACAGGCATGGCAGTTTTGCTGGGCCCTGCTCAGCCCCGACAAGGTCTGATGTGTGTGTGGATTTATTCTACAACTACACAGCTGAGCTTACATTTCCCACTAATACTGTGAACTACTAGGCAATGTGGTTAAGATCCCCATAGAGTGCTCTTCAGAGCAGAAAACATGATTGATTGATTGATTGATTGATTGATTGATCGATTGATTCACTGATTCACTGATTGATTGACTTTATTGTCCCCCTCAGTGGAAATTTGTCTTCGGCCTCTCAAGCCAATAAAAAATACATACAATCCAAATAACAAAGCACACCATTAAAAACATAACATGTACAACATAGAATAGTGCAGGTAGCAGCAGATAGGTTGAATAAATAAATACCAGAGAGCAAATTTTATAAAATAGACAAATAACAAGTGTTCCCAAGTGCAGTCATTTTTGCTGTGTTGAGTTCAAAGCGGTTATTACATCTGTTACAGTACCTTCATAGTGTGACTCTGTCTCTTTGCAGCTCCCAGAGGTCCAGTTTTTCGGCGCCAGCACCCTCCACACCAAGATCTCCCGTCACTGGAGCGACCTCCCCGCAGACCAGCATGAGAGCCTCAGGATGCAGCTCCTCTCCCACATCTTGCACTTCTCCTCAGGGCCCAAAATGGTGCTGACTCGTCTGTGCGTGGCCCTGGCTTCTATGGCTCTGAACTTAATTCCCCAGGCTTGGCCTCAGCCGGTGGCAGACATGGTGAGGGCGTTCCAGCCGCAGAAACCTGACTCTGAAGGTGGCTCTGGTGCAGAAGCCTCTCAGGACCCCCACGCTCACTGCCTGGCACTGCTGGAGCTCCTCACCGTACTTCCAGAGGAGTTCCAGAGCGGCCGGCTGGCTCAGGCTCGCCGCACCCAGCTGAGGGAGGCCCTGGTTCGGGAGTGGGTGGTGGTGTGTCCCATGCTGCGCCAGCTCCTTCAAAGCCAGGACTCATCGAACCAGGTGAAGGAAAAGGTGCTGCGCTGCCTGTCCAGCTGGGTGGGGCTGGATGTGCCCTTAGGGGAGAGTCATGAACTGGTTCAGGACTGTTTCACCGCGCTGTCCAATCCGGAGCTGTTTGACACGGCTGTGGAGACGATAGTTAACGCCATCTCACAGCCTGACTGCCAGAGGTGAGAAACGTGCTGGACCATAAGGTCACAAGGTGACAGTTAATTTTCAGGCGTGTGAATCAGAACATGTGTGTGCAGGTACATCGATGCTCTGGTGAAACTGATGCCTCTGGTGCTGGGTCTCCATGACCAGCTGAAGAAAGCGGCTCAAGATGGGGACATGGAAACCTCACACGGTATCTGCCGTATCGCTGTTGCTATGGGAGAGACACACTCCAGGTACGCATTGAGGCACACACTCACAACCTCAACCTCAACCTAAACCTCAACCTACAACCTGGCATCAGTACATGGCTTTTATTTCTTAATTTGGATCGTTGTGTTTGTGTATGACAGGGTTTTGTTGGAACAGGTGGATCACTGGCAGGAGTACCTGGCTTTGGTCAACATGATTCTGTACTGTACTGGTATCCCTGGTCATTACCCCGTCAGCGAGACCACCAGCTCCCTCACACTCACCTTCTGGTACACTCTGCAGGTGTGGACACCTTTTTTCTTTAGGTTTTGTTAGTTACTTGTGTGTTCTTCTCGTTCTTATTATTTCTTGTGTTCAGGATGACATCTTGTCGTTTGAGGAGGAGAAACAGGCAGTTTACCTGCAGGTTTACAGACCGGTTTACTTCCAACTGGTGGATGTGCTGCTACATAAATCCCATTATCCCTCCCAAGAGGAATACACCTCCTGGTCCTCTGATGACAAGGAGCAGTTCAGAATTTATAGGTAAGCACAGGAAACTGGTAAAAGCTTTTAAAGAGCCATAAAATTGGATTGTAGTCCTCCCTCATATGAAGAGAAAGACTTTAGATTTCATGATAGTCCATCCGATAGTTGTCAACACATTTCAGCTAACGTGGCTAAAAACGGTAGCTACAGATTTAACTTTGGTTTGCATCTTTAACTGTGTTTCCTTGGCTGCTTTGCTTCATAGGGTAGACATCTCTGACACTCTGATGTATGTGTACGAGATGTTGGGGGCAGAACTGCTCAGTAACCTCTACGACAGACTGGGCAGACACCTGATGGACCCCCAACAGTCAGCCATATGGCAGGTAATGTCCTTTCTTTCTTTGTGCAGATCTTTACATCTACTGCTTTAAGATTGTGTTTCATCCTCCTCTCTTGATCTTTATCCTTCTTAAGGACACAGAGGCTCTGTTGTTTGGCTTCCAGTCCATAGCTGAGACCATAGATGTGAACTACTCTGATGTTATCCCCGGTCTTATTGGTCTGATTCCCAGAATCAACATCAGCAACGTCATGCTGGCCGACACAGTCATGTACACCATAGGTACACACACACTTTTGATATGCGCGCCATTTACACTCAGTTTCACATGCCCTTACTGTATTTTCCTTGTTGCACAGGATCCCTGGCTGAGTGGCTGGCTGACCACCCGGTGATGCTGGGTGGCATATTACCCATGGTGCTCCAGGGTCTTGTGAAGGCAGAGCTGTCTGTATCCAGTGTGTCTACTCTGAAGAGAATCTGCAGAGAGTGCAGACATGACCTTGGCCCCTATGCTCAGGACATCCTGACTGTGTCACAGGTCAGACACTCAGATTCACATGATTAGAAAATTGTTACATGTATTTTTAACCATGGTGTGATGTTAAAGTATTGACTGACTCTGTTTTGTCTGCAGGATGTACTGGTTAAAGAAATCCACAAGGTGAGTAAACAGCCTTCAACATTTCCCCGCTCCATCTCACTCTGTAAACATGACGGCAACAACCTTCTCTCTGAGGACATCATGTATGAGGTGTGATGTATGTGTCTCTGTGTGTCTGTGTGCAGAGCAGCCAGTGCATGTGGCTGATGCAGGCTCTGGGTTTCCTGCTGTCTGCCCTGCCGGTAGACGAGATTCTGGGCAGACTTCACTCTCTCATCACCCCTCACGTCCAGCGGCTGGACACACTGGCCCAACATGAGGTACTGTGCATCAAAAGAAACTTGTGCAAGTTTAAGACTGAAATAATAACTGGAGTAGGTGCTTATGCCCAAGAACAAATAAAAGCTCATTCTATTATATCATGTATATAATATACTGTATATTGTGTTGTTGTTTTTGTGCCTAATTTAAGTGCAAAAATATATGTGAATGTTACTATGTTAAACTGTTCATTTATTGGCCCCTGAAAACTTGGTTTCAAATTTTCCGTATTTCTCTTCACATTGAATATTTACGCCGAAATAAGCAACAGTTAAAGTTAAAATATAAAAATAGTAAAATTACTGCCTCGCGGTTGTTTTATGCGGGAAATATACAAATTTACTTCTACTCTGTACTACTTTATTCTGAAGGCCAAGTTGTAGCGTTTGTTGACATGTAACTTGCACATAGGCTGCAACGTTAAATCGTTAGCAGCTAGCTACCGGCTCAACCGTTAGCATACCAAAACCACCGTCACAAAGTAAAACTCTTTTTTCTTTTGACTGCTGTCATTTAAATAATCACCAGAGACATTATTGGCCTAATGTTACCTGTGTTATCTTAGCTGTCATTGGCCTCTGTCTGTCCCTCTCGGGAGGCTGCTGGTGTTGGCCGGTGTGGGTACGGGAGCCCCAGTCACACCGCTGTTGAACCCCACATACTCCGCTCTGTCGTCCACCGTTTATCCCCCAAAACAGAGGCGAAGGCCCAACCGTATATCTTCAGTACAATTTCTGTAGCGTCTTCAAGCTTTTCCTGTGGTCGTGCTCCTGATTCAGGATTTCTTCTTTTAAACATTTCTTTCTTTCTTTCTTTTTTTAAACATCTTTCTACGGTGGGATTGACACTGTTTACTGATGAGTTTTTCTCCTTATTGTTACACTCTAAGCTGAATTTCCCAAGTAAAACGTCCTTGTAACTGTCGAATTCTTCCGGTAGACAAACATTTCCTGCTGGGGTACACGGAGCTGAGCGGTTGGATGTGGTGACTCTGTCGGCCATTTTTTTTTTGTTGAAAAAAAGTCTTAATTTACCCAGAATTCATTGTACCACAGTCCGATTTAAGATAGTCAAGAACTAAACAGCTTTGTGCATCGGATGAATTTAGACGTCTGACTATCTGTCATATTTAAGCCATAGTCAAAGTTTATTTTTGTGAAACCGACCCACAGGGCTCAGTGTCTGAAAAGACTGTCCATCTGACAAGATCTTTTTTTCTTTAGTTGTCACTGTCATTACAAAGCTTCATATCAAAGCCAGCCACTTTGTCTCCCTCTACAGCCCGATCCTGCTAATAAACAGTCCATTGTCCACATCCTGGGGATGCTGTCCAGTCTCTTCACCACTCTGGACATCAACAGGCAAGCAGACGGCTTAGAGGGAGCAGCCAGTCCCAGACTCCCAGCCTCACAGAGCTCACAAAATCCAGTACGGTCAAAATAACAGCAAACAAAACCTTCATAAACACTGTGTGCCTCTTCTGTGATTATTTAGTTGTACAGTGGTTTGTTTGTCATCCTTCAGAAGGGACCTTGAGCATCAGTATTTCCTTTTTTTCTTTTTTTCTTCTTTAAATATTGGCTTTATATATAATATTAAATATATTTGAACCTATTTTGTATTTTCATATTTCATGTAATGTTTTTAGGTTGTGGTTGTGCTACAACAAGTGTTCACATTGATCCAGACCATCCTCAGCAAGTGGCTCGATGACTCAGAAGTAGTAGAGGTAGGAGGGTTTTTACTGCTTGCATAAATATGTGTGTGTGTGATGTTGTGAGTGTCTGTACATGTATGATTTATCTGTGTGTGTCTGGTGACTCACACTCACTCACAGCACTCCATTTGCCCCCTCCAGGCAGTGTGTGGGGTATTTGATAAATCAGTCCGAACCCTCCTACATGATTTCGGGCCCATGGTGGCTCAGCTGAGCGAGATGCTGGGGCAGATCTATAGTGCCTTCCCACAAGCCTCTGCTCTGGACCTGGCACGGCAGGTACGCCCCCGCAGATCAGGGCCCGAATAAAAAGCTCCCTCCAACTGTAACGAATGCTCTTCACATGTTTTTGGCATCAGATGTCATCTTCTCTTTCTTTGGTTTTAGATGGTTCACATATTCGCTGGAGATGAACATCACATCTCTAACATCAAGGGCCTCACTGAAGTGTTGACTTCTGCTACACTAACTATATTTCAACAAGGTGATGCAATGAAATTTCTATTTGTTTTTAGCCATTGCTTCATCTCGCTCATCTTACATTTATTTCACAGGTCTGCGGGATCATCCTGATATTGCAGAATCATTTATGCACCTTCACGCTCAGGTTGGTTGAATGCATTCGTCTGTTTATGCATCATCAGATTAAAGGTTTTCCTACCTACAGCACCTGTGTGTTCTTGACCCTTAGATTCTGAAGAGGAAGCCTGATTTGTACCAGTCTGAGCAGCTGGACATAAAAGCTCTGTTTTATTGTGGTGAGTATTATTCTCACAGATATATGTATATATGTGTCCAGACATAATATCTTAAGTGTTGGTGAGTAGTGAGCTACATGTAATTAAGATACTATTTTAACTACATGTTGCTGTGACTGTACAGTCACAGTGTTAGGCTGGAAAAAGTCTGTGACAAAAGGTGTGTGCCCACCTGCTGAAGCTCAGTAGAAGCTCAGAGATCCAGCAGGACAATGGCCCTAAACATCAAAGTAAATCTACTAAAGAATGACTCCAGACAATGAAAATCCACCTGTTGGAGTCAGAGCCCAGACATTAATCTAGCAGAGATGCTGTGGAGTGATCGAGATCCACTCAACACCAGACATCCTAAGAATCTGTCAGAGCTGAAAACAGCTCCATAAGGAGGAGAAATGCCTCCTTATGTAATTAACTTAAGCATATTGTGTTTGTCTGTCTGTGACTTATGATATGAAAATCAGATCATATTTTATGACGCTTTCTATGAAGCTTTTTTTGTTGTTGTTGTTTTGTTGTTTTTACATGATCTCACATATCTGCCAGTCAGCCACATTTGTGTGACTCATTAGCTGAAGCAAACATTTAGAAAATAATTTAAATATGTATGTTCAATATGTTTTCTCCAGGGATCCTATCACTCAAGTTTCCAGAGACACCGACAGTAAAAGCCGCCAGTCTGTTCTTTGTAAGTGGAGGCAGAGATGTGTAAGGTTTCATTTCACACCTTTTTTTTCTTTTTCTAAATTCAGTCAAAGTCAGCTGATAGGTTCTTGTTATTTTCTGCTCCGTCCCCGGCAGACAGAGCTGTTGCCTCGCTGTAAAGACATGCCATCTCTTGGTGAAGTGCTTCAGAGCGATGGAAAGCTCCTGACTGAGACCATCCTCCAGGTGAACCAGGCTTTAGACAGAGGACATAATATGAAAACTAGACGGAGAACTGCTACAACCATTAGCTTGTAATTCAGGTTGTAGTTTCTTCTTTTTCAAAACTGTCCTATAATTTTAGCGAACTGTTTGTTTTTATCCTCGTCTCAGGCGGTTGGAGGCGGCTCTCCTCGCAGTCTGGCAGAGCATTTCTCTGAGGTGCTGCTAAGTCTAAACAGACACTGTCCAGCTCTGTTGTCCCAGTGGCTGAAAGAAACACTACAGACCCCAGGATTCCCCTCTGCCCAGGTCTCCACAGAGCAGAAACACACCTTCAGTCAGCAGCTTCTAAGGTAATAACTCATCTGTTGTTAAGAGGCAAGTGATTGATCTACTTCAAAACTGCTAAAAACTATATTTCATTGGCCAACTGTTGAACATATTTGAGCCTCAGTGGCTACAAAAACACATATTTCCCACAGAACTTGGTGGAAAAGCTACAGAGTGAATACTGGAACATTTATTGGGTGTCCAGAAACACGACACTGTGTTACTGATGGTCGTGTTAATAGCTAGTCTGCTAGCAAGTACACCATTTCAGCTCTAAAAGGTGAGGTCCATTTCCCCCATATGGTTAAAAAAATCAGTTGTTGTGGATTAATCAAAAATGGGACTGTAAAATTGCAAAGGAATGCCAGTAGCGGGAGATGCTGCACCATTTCAAGCACCCTCAGCTTTCATGAGTAAACTCTCCACATTACTGGATAGCGCTGTGCCTGTCAGCATGGCACATAACAATCATCCTTATGATGGATTCAGGCTGAACTGGGAAATTCATTTATCAAAATCATGAGCCCCATCATAGGATACAGGTGCTGTTCAAAGTTAAAACTATTTATCTGTTAAATATTTCTTATTTTTGAGACATGTCTCAGTCAGAAATGTTCTTTTAATATCTGTTTCCTTCTTCCAGAGAGCAAACCAACAAGCGCCGCGTTAAGGAGATTGTGAAGGAGTTTTCTCTGCTGTGTCGAGGCCTGCAGGGGTCTGGATACTCAGATTACTAGCCAGAGCTGCTAGTGTTGCATCTGACTTTTCCTTCCTCAGCAGGTTGCTGAGAGAGGTCAGAGTAAAGTAACCTCAAAAAAAACAAAACAAAAAAAAAAAAACAACAATCTGAATCTGTTTCCATGACAAATGGTACCAAATAGGTGACACTGGACTATAAAAAACCATAATACCTGGACTGCACTAAAGCAAAACCACAGAGTAAGAGGACTGTTGTGAGGATAAATGGGCCTCTGTGCAACATGTTTTTAATAAAATATCATTGTCAGTTCCAAAGCAGGATAAAATGAAAGAAAAAGTGTCATAGTGCCTGTTTCTTATCTCCATACACATGGATAAACAAACCATTTTTTTGACAACTGACAAAACACCAATAAACAGATCTTTCTTTGCAGCTGCATGAGCAACTGTGTGTGTTCATGTATTTATTGTTTTTCTTCTGTTGTATTTGTATACTGCTGTAGATCATATTCACACATTATCAAAATATAGAAACCCTCCCCACCCGACCCAGGCTTCTTCTTCTTCTCTCTGTTACAAAGGAGAGCCTTTTTAAAAATGTGACGTTGTTACATTATATAGTTTAGAACTCTTGTAGATGTATACTTCTGCTAATATATAGTAAAACAATTTCATCACTTCCACAACAGAAAAGAAAACAAGACAAACTTTTTTTCAAGCAGACAACGTGTCCTGACAATAGACTGCTCATTTTTCTTTCTTTCTTTTTTTTTTTTTAATCAGTGATGTCACTGTGAGGGATGGCAGTTGTCGTTTGAAGTTGAGGCTGTAGAAAAAGTGGACTCGAGAAGTGCTGTCTTCTTGGTGCTTGTTGAGGATGGTGCTGAGATGAGAGGGCTGTAACGGTTAGTCTGTGAGCGTGGCTGGGTGACTGTGCACTTCCACCGCAGCTTTGTAGGCTCCGCCTGAACCAGTCCTGACGGGGGCCGTTCACTATCGTATTCTTGTGAAGAGGTTCAGCACCGACTTTGATTCCTGAGGAAAACAAATATACTATTTACATGTGTCAGAAACATCACAGTATATCAAATTACCCTTGAAGACGCAGCCTTTATCTGTCAGGTGAATGTTGATTTCAAGGAATTTTAAAATAACTTTTTGAAATTCAACTTAACTTAAACTTAAAATTAAGACATTTTATAGACTTTGTTATATACTTATGATTTTGTCAATACAGGGCCATCAGCATTTCTAGAGAGCTGGGAATTAGACAAACATCAAGCACTTTCAAGACGTCATTCAGAAACTTCAAACGACGAAGGCGTCAGACCCGTGCACACTGTAATTGGTAGATGTACGGTACCTTGGTGCAGCGTGTCTTACTGAAGACATTCCAGAAACGTAGTGTCTCATCCCCTGCTCCTGTAACAATGGCCTCCCCATCTGGTGACACGGCCTGAGGAGGAGGATGAAGAGAAGAAGAACTGGTGAAGGGGTGAAAGCTTCTGTATAGTGGGAGATAGATATTCAAAATGCTGAGAAAAAGCTTGAGGTCACTGAAATAGAAATAAATCCAGTGGTGAAACGTAGGTGCATAATGGGAACTTTTACTTTAAATACTCTCAAGTGCATTTTTCTGATAATACTTCTGTACTTTTGCGTACACAGGATTTTAAATGCAGGACTTTTACTTAAGCAAAGCATCCGAATACTTCTTCTACCTCTACAGGATAAATGCATTCTATCTATTTCAGACACTAGAAGCAGCAATGAGTTGCTCATCCAGTTAAATCAACACTGAAAATGCATCGCCACTTATTTAAACCTGACTTCTTACCAGATATAGCACTCTGTAGGAGTGTCCTGTCAACTTGGCCACCTGTGTTAGTGATGGATACTTCCACACCAGGATCTGGTTCTGAGAGTAGCCGTGAGTGCTCACCTGGAAATAAAGACATAACTAACTATTACAAACATATCAAAAATGTAAACACAAACAATTCTGTTGCGTTGTATTAAACTGTATTATAGCAAAAGACGCTTCTAATTTTTTAGTCCATCCTCATCTACATACAGGAAGTAGAGGACTTCCCATACAGCTGAACCAGAACCTGTCTGATACTGTACCAACAAGAAAATGTTTCCTTCACATACAGTACATTGCTATTGCAGACAGCTTGTTCATCGGTACTGAATACTGTAAACTAAGTGTTTATCAATATAATAAAATGTCAGAGAAAAATGCAAAAAAATGTTACTTAATCGCTAGATACTGTCCTGACATCTCTGCACTCAGACTGTATTAAATGTTTTACATTCTCTCACCTTCCAGCCTTATATTAATAACATATATATACAGGGGGTCTGGCTGCTACCATGTTTATCTGAAGATGTGATTACATTTTCTGATAATTTATCACATGAATAGATTAAGGAGGGTAATACTTTTTCAAATTGTTACATCACATTTTATTGTTTAGTATATTGTTATTATCCTTTGCTACAAGGTCACTACTCAACAAAATTGAAATTGTCTAAGAAGTGGTCAGAGAGAGATGCGTGCTTCCTCACCAGTTCATTGGCGTGTTTGGACCACGCCAAGTTGCAGACCTGGGAGCCGGTGTCTGTGCTCTGCAGCGCCTGACCTGTCAGTGTGTTCCAGAAGCGCAGGCAGCGGTCGGCGGTGCCGCCCCCTGACGCCAGCAGCCCATGTTGGTGCGGGGACCAGGCGATGGCCTTCACTGCTGCCAGGTGGTCACTGTACTGCTGCACAGGGAGCAGGCTGGAGCTGTTCCACACCAATAACTGGCCAGAGAAAGAAAGCAGATTAAAGCTTGAACATTGAATTTCATAGATTATATAATATGCTACCCTAGAATTAACCTAGAATGAACACCAGTTCATTTAATAAGAAAAAAAAGCACTGACAAAAAAATAAAAGTTAAGCTTTAAATTCTCCCACCTTGTTGTCGTTGCCTCCGGACGCGAGGTGCTGGTGGTCAGGAGACCATTTGAGACCGCACACTTCTTGCCTGTGACCTTGCAGCCTCCTCTCAGCAGAAGGGGGGGTCCTGACGTCCCGCTGGAGGATCACTCTGTCCCGACTTCCCGACGACAGCTGCTCCCCATTCCATGCCAGGGCACCTTGGGCACAAAGGGCAGGAGGGGAAGGTCTCATATTTCACTCTGGCTATCTGGTATTGCTTTTATGACACATGCTCAGTGGTACAATATATGCAGTACATGAAGGAACTTAGGGTTTCTTTTTTTAGGACTCAAACACACTTCAAACAGCAGTGTGTGATTCCACTTCACTCCAGCTATGACTGACCTACACGGGCTGAGTGACCCTCCAGGCTGGTCAGCTTCCTGCCTCCAGCTGCGTCCCAGATCTGAACGTAACCTTTGTGGGTTCCAACGGCGACCAGACTTCCCTGTTAGAACCAGAGCGATCAAATTTGTCTTTTTTCTATACTTTCTATTCTGCAAACACTTCCTCTTGCGCTCATAAAACATAGATAAGCAGTGGATTCAGTTCTGGCAGCTCACCCTCTCATTCCAACAAACTGACGTAACCGAGTCTCCATCCACTGAAAGGTCACATAACCTTGTCACCTGTTGAGACAGACACACAGTATACGTTCACACACACACACACACACACTTTATTCCTTCCCACTGGCCAGTGGAGGAGAAATTTCACAATAAAACTCCAACTGTAAATGACCGTCTTCCCGCCCTCCTCTGACCTGGCTGGTGCAGGCACTCCACAGGTAGACGCAGGCTCCCAGGCCGACACTGAGCAGGTTGCCCGCTGACCAGTCTACCAGGTTGAGGTAGAAGTCATCCTGCAGCTCCGGAGCATCCAGCACTTTGAAGGGGATCTTGGAGATCTTCCGTGCTGGTTTACGAGGGGAACGGAGCAGCTTGTGACTGTGGAAACGGAGGATGTTTAACAATCAGAATCTAACACGAAAGCTTCAGCACCACTTCTGTTCAGTCTGCAGCGAATGAGATGAACCATACCTCTTGTTACTAAGTGGGGAAAGGGAGTATGGTGAGACTTCATTATCACTATCGAAAGGCACTCTCTTAGTGTGGACAGTGTACTGCAGAGAATTAACACACAAAGCAGAAGCACAGTAAGAAGCTGCTGACTGTCGAGCTGAACACACATCAGTGTTGACTAGTTGTTGTTTCTTTGCAGTTGTAACTTATTCAGTAGGAAAGGATTCATATCAATTAAAAGTAGATTATGTCCATTTTTCTAATGCTGTCTTAATTAACAACAATTGTTAAATGCAATATTTAATCATAATGTCAAGCACCTGCCTTCTATAAGATTATTCATTAATTCCTCTCATTGCTTATGGTGTGTGTATTTGAACAAATACAGTTAGAGCTTTTGCAGCTTTACCAGTCAACCAAATGAAGCACTACACAGATTATATGAACTGCTGTTATATTATGTGTTGAGTTGTTATTTATCTAAGAAGCAGATACAAAACATTTTGTATATATCTTTATCAGCCTACCAAAATCCATTCACAGCTTCATGCCACATAGTGTTACTATCATTACTTTTAGATTTAGATTTTCCTCATAATAATGTCATGATCAGTGGTGTCTATACATATTTGGAAACAAATGACTTAGGAGTTAAAAAAGACACTTACCCTAAAAAGGCTGTGAGAGTCTTGAGAGAGGACTGTGTGCCGCCGGTCGTCTGTGTGAGGGTCTGGCACGGTCTCTATCCCCGCCCCCAGCAACTCATTCCTCAACAGGGCGGCATACGCCACAGTGTCTGGAGGGGTGGCGGTGACAAACAAACAGAGGGTGGAGAGATATGATTCAGAATTAAGACACTAGAAACTCACACAACTCCTAAGCAACTCTTACAATTTCACATCAAAGGGATTTCTGACCTTTGCTTGAATCTGAACTGGCATCCTTTGCTTTATGGTTCTGATTTGGAGAGCGACAGTTCTCCTGTGGAGGAGAGGAAAGCTACTTTAACCATGATCCCGGCACTGATTAATGAGCTGTACCTGTTTCTGTGAAACAATGTGACAAGTCAAGAAAATATATGACTGAGCAGACAAATGAATAAACTGCTCACATTAGCGTAGTGAAAGTTGATGCTCCAGTTGCTTCCAGCTCGGGTGGGGATGAAGCGATCCCCTGACTTAACACTGACAGGACTGCAGGTGGCACTTACACACTGGGATGATCAGAGAGAGAGAGAGAGAGACAGTAAAACCATAAAAAATCCCAGCAAGGTTACAACCATCATGACTAAGAAAGGGCTAGCAACACCTCTGCTCATACCTCATACCATACAATACCTTACCATACCGACTATCATCCAGCTGTCACATGCACTCATGTTATGTGAGGCTATGTTACGCTGAGCCCTTATTTTAAGTACCGTGTGTGCACCTGCATTCACACACATGAACGCTCTGTTCCTTACCTTTGACAGGCGGGCCTCTGTCGGCAGGTTCTGGTGGTTAATTTGCCTGAGCAGCCGTCTCTCGTACTCTTGGTCCATGTCTTCAGGGCTGACGAGCAGCAAGGCCCCTCTGCTGCCCTCCCCCGCCCCCTTTAAACCTCCGCTCCCTCCCGGTGAGGCAACCCGCAAAGGATCCCCATCTCTGTGAATTAACAGCAGAAATTCAGAGCAGAAATCCCCGCGGAGGGACCGGAGATACATGCAGCTGCTGCTTTTGGCTAGGTGAAGACATACCAAATGGCCTGGTTAGCCTGGTGTCCCTGCATTTCAGCGCATTTAGTTTGGGTTACTGTTGTCGTTACATGCTTAAAAGAGCAACTCTACCGTTGCTGTTTGTTAAAAGCAGACAAGTATCAAAGCAAAATCCCTTAACAGCTCCACGGTGCCCTAATGACAGCCGCACCGTTGTCATGGCATCATGCTCGCGCACACAACAACCCCTTTAAACAAGCGGTGTTACCGTCAGCTGACGACGCCGCCGCTCGACACCGCCGCTTTCTTACCGACTGACACGGTGGCTCAGGGGGCCAAAGCAACTGCCATCCTCGGTTTGAAAAGATCAGCGCCGCGGCGGGGGAAGCTTTCGTCGCTTTCTTCCACAATAACAGCGATACATCCGAATGCCAACGCGACTCTCTGGCGTTGTTTATGTTCGCGACAAAGATGGCGACCGAATCAGCTGTAGCAGAAATTCTTTGGCTGGTCTGTGCAGTCAGAGCGGCGCTCAACAGCGACACCCGCTGGCAGCGCATACTCCCTGCAGTTAAAGACGCACTTTGGTTGTTCCCCGTGTGGCCACATGGCGTCGCTGCTGCACTACAAATTAATTTAGCTTCCATGTACACAGAGGTGTCTTTTTAGTACACATGCACGTTTTTAGTGGAAGTGGTATAACAGAAAACATAGAAATATATATTAGATGAATGAGGCTTATGCTATGCTATGCTATGCTATGCTATGCTATGCTATGTCATGTATACTGTATAACCCTGGGCCCCTCTTCAATATATATCAATTTACCTAACATTGTTTTTCAGCTTGATACTTCATAACTTTTAATTTTATAACAATCAGTGATTTTAAACTGATGTCATGTTTCAGAATATATATCCCAAACAAAAGGAATATATTCTTGTTCATGCTAAGCCTGAATAAAACATTAAATATTTCAACATTTGGTGCAATAACAATATTAAATTGTCGTTCCATATTTTGTCACCATCATTTAATGTGAAAGCCCAAATTGTGTCAAAAGTAAAGGAATCACTTCAATTCTTACTTACAATAAGATGATATATAAAATATATTGATTCTGCAATTATTATATCATTTTTATACATAAAGTATTGTGGGACCCCAAACAATGTTTCCAGTAACAACAGTTTCCTCACACAACACCTACACCGAGTCAGTAAAGCGGTATAGTATGTAGGGAAATTAGTTCCCCCGAGCATCAAGGTCCCTAAAAGCCCTGGATTCTCATGTAAATACACTTTCATTAACTTTTAAAATCAAGCTCTTGCATTAATTTGTATGCCATCTGTGCTGTCGTCAATAGCTGTGTGTCATGCAGAGAATGAGAGTATTGATAGCACATGCTTGCCTAAGGGCCCCTCACTTCAAAGTAAATAAAGATCTTCCATTTGCCCTCGCCGACACTAAATTTTCCATCCACCTGTTAATAGCACTGCAGAGCAGACTTTGCAAACAGGCAGATAAAGGTTTACTCTTTGAACTCTATTCATGTCTGGTTTTTGTTCTGAACCACTAAAACGCTGAAAGAGAGGGAGCGGTAAAGACAGGAAAAGTGGCCTGCTGCTGCCAGGGTTTTAATGAGACTGACTGACATGGTAGAGTGGAGGCAAGGCATGGCATCTTTGGTGGCACGCTGATCTGCACGTAGGCCCGTGTGCCACACCATCAGCTGGCATACCACGAGACATACATACGCTATCAGTGGTGGAGGTAACAACGTGCATTTACTCAAGTGCAGAACTCTGTGGTTTACGTTGTACTTCTGAGATGAAAATTTTACGATAACAGAGGAGATTATCTTTTTTCTTTTTTTTTAAATACAATACTCCAGTGGTTCCCAACCTTTTGGGCTTGTGACATCTCACAAAAAGCAGTGTTGTTGGGGCCCCTTGTCACGTGTTAGATATTTGTTCCATCAGAGAAGTTCAGCCAAAGTGACATTTCCCCTTTAGACTTTTCACATGGTTTCATTTAAGTAACTGTTTGAGGCACAAAGAGGTCAAACAATCCAATGTTTGTCAAATGAACCCAAGTACCCCTTCATTTCAACCGTTTATCCTTGACTTTTAGTTTCTCTGCTCACTTGCTAAATAGTTTTCATGCACTCTCAACACATGGTTTTACAACTGACTAAATATGATAGGATATGGTTTTTTTTGTTTTTTTTATTATTCAAATTGTAATTTCTTTTTTTTCAAGGTAGTTGAGCTCGAGTTTTTTGATGTACCACCTCTCAACTGTGGGTAAGTAATAATTTTGAAGGCAGCTCTTGGTATGGAGTATTTTTTTAGATTGTTGTATTGGTACTTCAACATCCATAAGGGACATAAGTACTTTTCCAGCAATGTACTTTATACACTATAGGCATGTTTACAGCACTCAACATGCACAAATTCCACCCATGCAGGCACAGGGGTTCACACACACCAGGCTTACTTACAAAGAGCTATCTGACCGTGATCGCATTTTGCTTTTTAGACAGCCCAGTCACAACAGCCCCTCTTATCTGCATCCTCCATCGGTTCCACACAAGAGCAACGTGCAGTGAGGCCCACGTTTGAGCAGCTCGATGCCGACAAGGAGGGCAGCGTCTAGGGCTGTAGAGCAGCTGTCTGCCCCGGTCAGGGTGGAGGGGGAAACGCTGCGGCCTTATCGCTCCTGTAATACAGTGCAGCTCAGTGGGCACAGAGGAAGCCGGGTCAGTGCTTGCAGACTGTGACGCTCTCAGATCCTTACTGGAATTCACAACAAAACAAACAATAGGACTCTGACTAATCTCATTTTGTGTGATGACGGGAAAAATAATAGTTTCAGTATGATAAATAAAATATGGGGGAAAAAAAAAAGAGGTTTATTTTGTATCACTGTAGGTGTTGAACGCATGTGCAGAGAAAGTTGTTGTGGAAAGAGTAATGCTGGTGCGTAATAACCTGAGGTCTGGAAAATGCAGCAACATAGTATTACTGTAAAACAAGCTTATCTTTAAAGCATGTCAACAGAAGAGTCCCACATGTTGTTTAATACATGTTTTAATACTGTAAAACAAGCTTATCTTTAAAGCATGTCAACAGAAGAGTCCCACATGTTGTTTAATACCTCCGGTGTACAGTCAAAGCCCATATTATTTACTAATGGTTTGGATGGCATCTAAAAATCCTAATATAGGCTATATCATAATATAATATAAGCCACATTTTCTTGAACAATTAAAGACAATTTTTACGTAGACAGTCATGTTTTGGTGATGGGGACAACATGAAACAATACAGGCAGATTCAGATCTAAGCCCTGGGCCCAGATCCACATGACCTTTGATAGCATCTCAAGAGTTTACATTTCGCTGCAGCGAGATCTCTATAGATGTGACATATTTGATATTTTCACATTGTGTAGGCCTCTCATTTCTCCTTTTTCTTTTTCTCTCTCTCTCGCTCTCTCTCTCTCTCTCAGTTTCTTTTCCTCCACCACAGACTGTATCAGCGCAGCAGCATGTTGAGAATCTCCACCCACGCTCTTGCTTACTTTGACACACCAGAGAGCTTCAGAGCTGCATGTCCCCCCCCCCACTCGCTCCCTCTCTGTGTCGCTCTTTGTCTTTGTGTCAAATAAGGACAATTATTGATCCGGGCAAAATCAAGAGGGAGGGCATGTGGATTAAACGTGGTTTGGTTTACAGTAGACCTTTATCTCGACCAGCCCAGACACAGGAGCTGATTATTTGGTGAGAAAGCCAACAGTCTGTGTGGCTGCAGTGGCAGGAAATTGATAGAAAGCCTGACATCCAGACGTGCTGTGTGGATTTCGGTTGTGTGTCTGTACAGGCGTAATCTCTATTCCATCTTTCCCGACAACGTGTAGTGTCACATCTGTTTTCACTGTGTGTTCCTGTATGTGTGCAAGCGTGCATGTGTCATCTTTGAGTATGCATGTATGATCCCAGCGTCCCAGGGGTGATCTTATTTTATTTATTCTGTTTTATTTTTTATTTTTTGGCAAACAAAGATGACAGTGTGCTCTTGTGTGCCGCTGCGTCCCCACAGGGATGTTCCGTTCCATGTCCGAACAATTCCCGCACTGGCTGCACGCTGGGTAAAGAGCCCTGAGGAAGCAGCACAAATGTCAGGCTGGTGCCACGTCCTTAAATGCATCATGATTAAATGTGATTTGACACAGACAAGTGCTTTACACACATTGGCTAACGTCCAAGGATCCACTTATCTTTTAATCACAGCAGCAAGGAATAATTCAATATCATAAGAGAAATGCATTTATCACACAGAATTACCACAATATGTTTGTACCACACACATCTAACCGTGACTAATATTACTCAGTTTTCAGGTTGATTGATGTTACTCAGAGTTGTTTTTAACCGCTGCATGCATAATCTTCCTTTACCTCATGGAAAGGTCACAAGAACTTGTGTCTTATGTTTTGGGTTTGTTTTGACATTTCTCATGCATTTGCTCCTTCTGTGTATTATATAACTGCTGCCATACACATTCTGTGTATTTGAGGATATTTAGTTGCATGCAAAGGAAAAACCAGACTGGGAGAAACAAATGCCATATCTATGATGACTGCCGCCGCGTTCGATAACTCAATGATTTGTGACATTTTCTGGGAAGGACGCATCCTGTTATTGTCCTAATCCTGCATTTTGGAGTCCATGAAACACAAGACAAACACGCGCACGCACACGCACACACACACACACACACACACACACACATATACAAGAGGCCTTAGAGGAACTAACTGCCTCGTCTGATCGTTTCCAGATTCATCATTTTCTTTAGAGCAGGGCAGAACTGTCTTTTTCAGCTCCCTTCCTCACCCATCTGTCTCAGCCACTCTGAGCTGATCTCTGCCATCTACACACACACACACACACACACACACACACACACACACACACGTCTGGACCACTATTGAATTATCCTGGAATGCCCCATATTAGCCTGTATTCCTCCCAATGACTGCCCAGTTGACTTCAGTCCTTACTGTCAACCCAACTAAAAACAAACAGCAGCTGGCCAGGAGAAACTCCAGGAAGACATTTGTTTTTATAAAGTGGATATGGAGAGAGCAGGTTTGTTTTGCTGGAAGTGGTTCTCTTCCTCTCCTGCCTTGGCCCCGGGCCGTGGGCCCTTTCAGGGCCTGGCTGGTAGAGTGGAGAAAGGAGGCTGACTGGCTGTCAGCTGGATCCACTGGCAGCGAGAGCCTCCGGCCCAGTCTGAACCCAGACACTGCTGCTGGGGCTGGGGAAGTCCGCCTTCACCCTGCTGACGTCAGTCACCAACAGACCACAAGACTTGTGTTAGACTTTCAAACAAACTCACTGCCCATTGCTATGGCGCTGTGGACCACCACCATGGAAAACACGAGTCCCTGTCTGTGCAAGTGTTTACCATAAACACTTACCTCATTTTTGCTGAATCTAAAGGAAGAGGAGGATGGTTCATGTTTCCTGTTGTCACCCAGACATCTAGAAACTCCAAAGTAAACAGAGTCTAATGTCTCACATGTGTTCTTCAACATTTAACCTGTGATTCATTCATTATACATCACACATGCAGCACATTTCAGATGAGTAAGCCCTGCATTGTGTCTGGAACAAAGGACGTCTAGATCAGTGTTTCTCAGCAGTGGCCCATGACTACTGCCAGTTTTGTCGTAGCGTGTAGTTTTCATAGCTGAGTAATGAACGCCTTTTCAAACCTCCCTGACCACATGAATACAATTAACCACCTGGTAGGCTTTTAACAGACACACAGAGCTCTGTATGTCAGTTGCAGACCTGAGAACTGATGGCAGAATAAATATCTGACTATTTATTAAGGTTTAAGGTTTATTAAAGAGACCTCCACTGAATCTACATTGTCGTCACAAAGGTCACTGAGCTTCCACAGAACACAAGCAGTGAAAACGAGATTACATCAGTAAATGTCTTAAGTCTTCCCTCCTCTGCTTTCTTGCACTTAGTCAGGCCTTTAAATCTGTTACAGTCATCTCTGCCTTCATGCTAATTTCACTCAACATGCCCTCCTGCTGCTCACATATTCCAGATACTTATCAGTGGGTCAAGGTGCTCGCGGCTATGGGAGAGTGAATGCCCTAAGGGCCCAGCACATAGCCGCACTATCTCTACCTTTCCTGTTTACATTGCTGCCTCAGTGTCCAGCACCAGTGGACTCATATCAGAGGGAGGAGATGTCACTGGTGTCACTGCAGGAAAGTGACTAAAGACTGACTCGAGATGTTTTTCCTCCTTCTGTCATTTCCGCTTGGTTTTCCGCTCAGAGGTCCAAAACTGGAACCGTGGTGTGAACACAAACACATTAGCTGGTTTAATGTAACTGCATGTTTGTGCCTGTGGCTCTGAAGACTGATTTAAACTGAGTTGTGTATGATTGTTTCACTGCAGCTGGATATGAATGAAACACATCTGGCTGCCATGACATGTACGTCAAACATTTTTCATCATTCCTCCAGGTTGATCAGAGGACGATAAAAAAAATCTCTCAGACCACAGCTTTCTGTAATACATGCTCATTTTAATAATCTGATAGAAAACATTTGTTGAGCACAACATACACCATTTTACCATATATTGTGAGGAAAACACTGAAAAAATACATTTGAAACAATGTTATATATTTCAGCAAATATTCCTATAGCTGTACAATGACCCGTCACCGTACACAATATACTGCAGTAAATATCCAGCCTTCATAATCCGCCAGGAACAAGAGACAAAAAAACAAAAAGCTTCTTCTGCACCTCGTGTGAGGTGTTGTTGCTTCAGACTGTACAAACTTCTCTGGCTGAAATCTCAAACCAAACATTTCAAATCTGCCAAAACTGAGCAGCATAACTTCATGTTATGGTCTTATAGCAAAACAGCTTGCTGAATACAATAAATCAGAACCACCAGACGAGTTCAGTCAAACTGATTTGACACGTGGTAGTGCATATAAATAATAACAAATATACAGTGAATATTATCAATCAATATCAATATTATCATGTACAAGGAAAAGATAATAAATACACTGTTACAAACAGCTGAAGGGTCAGCACAACACAGCTGGGTGCAACAAGGTTGTGCAACTGTGTAACCACTTACATACACACACACACACACACACACACACACACACACACACACACGCTCACACACACACACAGGAGGTATCATGTCATGACACGATATTAACCTCCGCCTTATTCTGAAGGTTGCACCTTACAATGTGGTACCTTTAAGGTAGTGTTGGACAGATCAGCGACCAGCTGCAGAACTGTCGACATATTCAAAGTGCTGCAATAATAACTACAAGATACAATTATCATATTACTGACATGTGTCTGTATAAATGTGCACGCAGTCTTACAGTCATTCAAAGTTCAAAATGAGATACGGTGTAAAGCATATTCACGAGGATGGAATGCAGTTCACCACAACAGGTGTGTGTGTGTGTGTGTGTGTGTGTGTGTGTGTGTGTGTGTGTGTGTGAGCTCATGAAAAGAGGAATTACAAGGTGGAAACAGATTTCTAATACTGGAATATAGCTCAGCACAATACAAGGTTATGGATTTTTTTTTATAAGATATTTTTGGTGCAGTTTAACTTTGTAATTAACTTTCAATGGCCTGATCTTTTTTTAAGCTACAGGAAGATGTGAGGGATTAATTTGACTTCTGGTTGGAAGTTTGACTTGTTACATTAGCATGTGATCACACTTGTCAGAGGTGGCAGTGAATTCATCAAAGTGCTTTCTTTACAGGATCTTTGGAGTTTTGTTTTTTTTTTGGTTGTTTTTGGACTCAAAAATATAAAATGTTTTTTCCCCACTTTCAAGGAATCTGATCGATGAGTTATTTAATTACTTATGTAATGAATTATTGGAAAAAAATATTTGGATAAATCAATAAAGTCTGTAAATTACTGATGCTTTACACACTCCTCTTTCTGTATGCCACAAAGTGCAAATTGTGCTGGGAAGTCAACTGATTTTTAGAAATACATCCACTGAACGCTTTTGTGAGAACAAGCTTATACTATTGCCAGAACATTAGGAAGACTGTGTGAGACAAAGATGTCCTCTCTGTAGAAAACTCGACACATTTTACAGCTACATGAATGTGTTCAATAAATTATAAAAACACTTACAAAAAAGACACGGCTGTAAAAAAAAAAAGGCACACAACTTTTTTTTTTTTTTTTTTTTTTAGACAAGTGTTAGAAAAAACTACTTGGTTACAAATAACTTGCTGACCAGTAGTTTTGGTTGGACACTTTACCTGGTGGCATCCAATCCTGACACAATACTAAGAATCGTAATGAACATAAAAAATGTCCTGAAGTGCAAGTTTTGGATTTTTTTTTTTTTTTTTTTTTTACTTGTCCCAGTACACGGATTCATATCGTCCACTTCACCTTTTATGTCTGCGAGGACCAAGATGCAGCTCTGCCTGTGCAGTCTGACAGTAGTCCCTTCTTTAAAGAACAGAGGCCACACTCTTCCAGCTCCCTTCTAGAGCTCAAAAACAAACTGCCACAGGGTTTCCAAGCCTCGTTTGCAGGGGTGCCCCACATTTAGTCAGGCCCTCTTAGCCAGGCAGCTCCAAAGGAGCCAGATTGCAGGATTGCTCCACTGCAATAAAATGAATTCAGCCAAAAACAGCAAAAACGTGCTGCACTCTAAGAACACCATCAGTTCAGCTATGTTTCCGCTGGGGAGACGTCGCGCGTCGCCATTTCTACCCCGTCTTCATCAGAGGGGTGGCTTTGGAGTGTCACAGCGTCGCATCCGTCAGTTGTCTCCATCATCCCGCTCTCCTCGTCACCACCCTCTCTGTCCTGGTCATCCAGAGTCAGTTCGAACTGAAATTTACTCGCCACAGGCCCCCCCTCCAACTCCCCGTGTGGGCCTCCTTCTCCGTCACTGGTGTAGAAGGGAGGGGAGGGGCTTTGGGGGATCATGCTCTGGTACCAGTTCCTGTTGTCCTCAAGTGTGTCAAGGATGTCCTGGGCGTCGGGGTGGACCAGGTCGGCCCACGTCTCCCACAGAGGGTGGACGATGTAGTCGATGAAGCCAACCTGGGAAAACAAACAGGGATGACGTCAGTAAAAAGGAAAAATAATCACAATATTAACTCCTCATCTCTGGAGCTGGATGTGTGTGTTGTCTACCTGTGTTCTCTCCACTGACGCTGTGTGTTTGTCACACATGGGGCTGATCTCCATCCCCCGCTCCCTCTCTCTGTCTCCCTGGTGGAAGAACTCATCCATGATCCTGTCTGTCCACTGCCGGTACAGATCCAGAGGTTTGGTGGGGTTGCTCAGGTCGGCACAGTGAACCATGTTACGCAGAACCTGCAGAAAGAAAATCAACAATTTAAGCATACTGCATATCTCTGTGGCATGTATAAGAGTGTGTATCGTGTGTGAAGACGCACGCCTTTTACCTGCATCCTGTCTGTGTAGTTGTCCAGCAGCAGGACTCCAGAGCTGGTCACCTTCTTGGTTTCCACCATCGTCTTCAGATCAGCCAACAGGCTCATGTGCTTAGACATGTCCGTTGCCAAAACCTAGGAGACAGAAAGACATAGAGATTGATGTAAGAAATAATTCAGGAAAGGAGCAATAAAGTAGCCAAGACGTCATTTTGAATGCTAAAGCTGGCGTGCCGCCTCCGACAGATATGCAGACATTTCCTCACCATGTCTATGACCATTCTCCGCAGCGTCTGCTTCTGCTTCTTGGAGAGGTTTTGGAAGATGTCGCAGTTGTCTTCCTGCAGCAGTTTGAAGCCCACGGCCAGGTGGTGGTTCTCCAGCACTGACTCATCGTTGTACATCAGAGCCAGCTCCGAGTCTAAAGGCAGAGGAGGGAGGGAGAAATGACAGGAAGGGAGAAATTAAATTGAGCCTTTTAAACTCAGGTCAGGTAACTATGGTAACCATTCAAAGTCCCTAAAAAACCCACGTTGTTGCCTTTGGAGACATATCCTGTTAAACCATGCACATATTTCTGCCTATTATGCTCACGCAGACTAAATAAATCAGAGCTCTTGACTTTTGCGACAGACAAGTGGCAGTGAAGAGGACTTACTGGTGTTGATGAGGAACTGGTTGGACACTCCTGGGTGGTCCACGTCATGAATGGCTGCAGCGAAAATGGCTGCCAGGATCTCGAGATCAGTGAAGACCGCCTGCGTTTGAAGAGACGGAGGAAGAATAAACACAGATGAGCTTTCACAATTAATAAACTGGCTAAACAGAGACTGATTGTTCAGTGTGTTGTCCTCTAAGGAATGCAGTTTTGAAATCATGCCAGTATTGGTGACGGTAATGCCAGTCGCCTCAATAAATCATAGTAAATAGCTTGAGAAAAAGGTGAGGACATTTTAATAATGTCACGTTGCACCTACTAATCAAACGTGACTATTTTTCAGCTGCATTCTCGACCGAAACTGATTTTAAGCGACTTACATCCAGCGCGGGGGTGGACAGGAGGATGTGTGTGGACTGGGCTACGTCGGCGGCGTGCAGGCTGTTGTGGTAGGCCACGTCGGAGTGATAGTGGCCCTCCAGGGTCAGCATGAACGTCACAAAGGTGTCAGTTGGAATCTTGAACGTCCTCATCAGGTCTCGCTCCTGCGTGCGACACAAGAGGAAGAAAATGAGAAAAACAAGGCCTAAGCGATTCCTAAATGATAACGTTACAGCACGTTGTTTGTCTTTTCAAGCATCTCTTACGGTGGATGTGTTCATCCGCAGACTAATAAAACCGCATTCATCAAATTGTGAATCATATACTACAGAAAAGCAAAGGCTGAAATATGAAAATACGCTCTCCTGCCAAGATGATGCACGGCTAGAAATCAATTTCAGCTGCTAATGTTCCTCTAGCAGATGCTCCTGCAGTGATACATCACAGAGAACGTACTGTACACACCGACGTGGGCTACGCTTCATGCCTTCTATAGCAGCGTCTGTATGTATGAATGCTTTCACACTTTTATTTAGTTTTTTTTCCTGACTGGATGGTGGAAGATGAGGAGGATGAAGAGGCAGGACACTGACCTGAAAGATGGTGTACATGATACATGTGAGCGGTCGGTTGTGGGTGTGCTCAGCCACTTTGAAGATATTCAGTCCCCATTTGTTGATGTCTTCCAGGTCCTATTAGAGAATAAATAAGACGACTGTGAGCGTCTCAGCAAATCACATAATTTATTAATTTTGTTTGCTGTATAATCTGTCAGTCATCTACCTTCGACAGCAGCTCCTCCTGGTCCGTCTTGACCCCGAAGCGATTGCCTGTGCTCCCAGAGATGCTGGGCGTGTGGCTGACCTTCCTCACCCCGCTGATCTGAGTCATCATCCCACCCTGCTGCTGCTGCTGCTGCTGCTGCTGCTGCTGCTGCTGCTGCTGCTGGCCCTGCCTCCTCTTCCTCTCCCTGGACTTTGGAACTGGACATGGAAGCTCCAACTCATTCTGCTTGTCTGGAGAAAATGGAGACGGGAGACACAAAAAGATTAAGACAATGTTTTTCAGACAAAAAACACGACGACAAACCAAGCTACGGGTTGTTGGATAAGCACCCCGGCTTGTGTTGCCACTGTACTGAGTAAACAAAGTTAACACAGGGAGGCAGTTGACCTCTCACACCTACATGACAACACTTTAAAACTACACTGACAGTTATCTAATTAGCAAACAATTCTTCAGTTAGTCTTCTTCACTAAGAATACATTTCTGTTGCCAGCAGCAAAGACAAAAAAAAATTTGTTTTAATTACATACAGAAATATTCCAATACAGAGGTGATGAGAATGTTATTACAACATAAAGGGTCAAGTGACCTGACCATGAGTCAGTGGCCCATGGATTCGGAGAAACTGAGCCCTGTTGTAATAACAATCCAGAGAATTGTGGAAAACTGGTTCATATTGAGCTGAAATGTTTAGAGGAGGGACTTATTAATATGCGGGTTTGTTTGCAGCATGTGATTCAAGTCTGTCTGCTGGTTGAGTGTGATTCTCACATGCTGCACACAGCTGACAGTGTGTGTGAGTGCAAGGCTCCGTCAGTCTGTGCATGTGCACCACACACACCGCAGTGAGAAAAAATATCTCAGCTGCATCCTCCACAAAGCACAGGAAGAGAAAGATCTCTCTCTCTCTCTCTCTCTCTCTCTCTCTCTACACCTGACAGGAGTTAGCTGCAATGCAGATGACAACAATAACCGCTAAAGCTTCAAAGAAAAGTTCTCGCCTTTGTCTCCTCTCCTCGTGCAGAAAACGCTTTCGCTGCACCACTTCTATTGTTAGGAAAGGTCTAGTTTCTCCACCATGCATCATCCATCGCCTTGTTGGATGAGAAGGTGGAAAAGCTGAGGGGCAGACTGGCTGTCTGTTTTGCAGGGCGAGCGAGCTGGCTGACTGGCTGCGAGTCACGAAACGCCGCCGGGCTTGTAAGAGACAAGGAAACACTGCTGTCCTGATGATGAATAATGCAGTGTCTATCTGGACCTGATGGCACTGTGTGCACACAAACATTTTCCCTCTCCCCCACTCACTGCCCTGATCTCTCCTGAGGGAAGTCTTCCCTGAGTTAACCCCCCCCCCTCCCCACACACACACATCTCTCTGCAGTCAGAGCGAGGGGACTCTCTCTCTCTCTCTCCCTCAGACCAGATCAGACTGGTTTGAGAGCAGTGGTGCAGACCAACTATGAGTTTCTCTACTACTTATCACATGCCCTGCGTAACCTCACAACCTCTGCCACAAACAGACTGTGTGAGTCCTGGAGGATGTTGGCTCATTTGAGTCTCCCATTGCAGTGATGCATACAATACATTTTGTGATGGTCTGTGTGTGTGTGAGTGTGTTGCAGTGCTCACCTAGGAAGGTGTTGGAGATGTACTCTGACACTTGGTTGCCTGAGCGACTCATCTCAGACAGGTGGCTTAGCTCCCGGTTCAGCATCCTCTTGAACTAGAGGCAAAGAGGTTTAAAAAAATACATCAGGTTAAATTATCTGTACAAGCAAACACATATTCATTAAATCATTTTACTTCTGTTTCCAGGCAAACAGAAGAAGCATTTCCTGTTATTTTCCACTGGAATATGTCCCATGAGAACATGGGCTCTGTTTCTTATGCGCCATATAAGGTCTGTGTTTATATTTTCTTGGTCCTGGTTTGAGTTAGCCACTAAGACACTTGACTGCTTAGCATTTCAACAAACAAAATACTGCAATGCATAATATACAAAAAGCTAATGTTTATGCACAATTTTCTAGGGGAACAAAATGCGCCAGATTTTTGTCAGTGCACGCAACCACTGAGCTAATCAAACACATCCAAGTGTGTAATCAAAACACAATCAAATCAATGTGGGTAATCTGAGACACTTCAGCAGCTGCAATGAAAAGGCATGAACACACACACACACACACACACACACACACACACACAGAGTCCCATCTATGGCAAATCTCCTCTGGGACACACCTTGATGTATCCCCAGGACACAGAGAACAGGTAGTTGGCCTCAGGCATGGTGCTGAGCTGTGCTGAGCCCCTGGTGCTCCCCAGCAGAAGCCCTGTATGCTCCTCTCTGAGTGGACCCCCAAGGCTGCGCTCAGCCCTACTGCCTGAAGCTCAAGGCGCCACCAAATCGCCGCTGTTCCAACGGTCGACTATGGTAAAAAAACGCCCTGGCTGAACTCTCTAGAGAGGGGCTGTGGTGGACCCCTACATCCCTGGCCAAATGCGCCTCCTCATAGCGTCGCCCACTGTTTTCCAGGATCGCAAGCCACTGGCGAGAGTGATGGAATCCCCCTGGACGCAATCAATTTCCTTCCCTTTTCTCTCGCTCCCGCTGCCTCCGTCCGTCTCTCTAAACCTCTCTCTCCTCTTGCCACCATCCAAATGTTATCCAGTGACACGCAGGGTGGGGGGGGGGAGGTGGGAGGGTGGGGGGGGGCAATATCCGCCTTCCCAAGCCAGATTGAGCAAGAAAGGAAGAAATTGCAGGCGCTAAGACAGAGAAAGAAAAGGAAAGGAGGGACGGAGAAAGGCGGAGAGGAGGAGGAGGGGGGTGCACTCTTGCTGTAAGTGTCCCCTGTGGCAGACAGGCTGGTGGAGTCTCTCTCTCTCTCTCTCTCTCTCTGCCTCCCACCCCTGCTAAAAACTGAGCCATGCACAGCACTGCAGAAAACGGGAGTTTGGAGAATCCCCCCCCCCATCTTTCTCTCTCTTTCTAGCTATTTCTCTCTTTCTCCCTAACTCCTATGCTCTCTGCAAAACCCCTCCCACCGTCTCTTTCGCCCCCCCATCTCTGTCTTCCTCCCCTCTTGATTTGCTCCCCTGCTCAGTAATGCAGAACAGATCCAACGCATACTGCGCAATGTGAGGCTTCAAAGCACCGGAGTGTTTATCACATGGGCGAGGAGACGCTGGGTATTAATTTAGCAGACTGGGTTTGACTCTTTTTTAATCTACATTTTAAGAGTGGAACCACAAGCTGCTGTTCAGTCCTTAATCACTATGTTGGACTGTATTGTTCTCAGTATCAGCTATTGTCTACGATGTTACCCCAAGACAGTTTCCTGTCTCACTGCAGCAGTTTTCTGTATTTAAGACACAAATAGAGACGATGGGAGACGAACAGATGAGAGAGTGTTCAGTCTGCAGCCCACCAGTGTACCACCAATTGCACGACAACCTGAACGCCATGGCAACAGAGTCACGTGGCCCACTCCGTCGTTCTCACAGTGGTCCCTACTCCAAACACATTGCATCACATCACATACACACACACACACACACACAGGCATGTACAACCACACACATTCAATACACAATCTACAGCAGAGAAGCTCGAGACAGACACAACTAGGCTGAAAGCTGCAAGGACAGACTCTGTCTTTCTTACAGAACACAGATTCCGATCAGTGGTGCAAAATGGCTTTTCTTGTGAATAAAGAGAAGCACTAATGGAAAACCACATCAAACTCTTTATAATTAATACAATGGAATAATGGTGCAATCAATTCTATGTCCTGAAAACGTGATTGTGCTTTCCTGCTTCTATAATGTGTTCAAACATTATGAGAAAATAAATCAACCATGATTCTGCCTTTTGCCAGGGCTTTTATTATTTCTTACAATGGGGTCTTTTCTTTTCAGACTGGACCAGACTCTCTCTGGTCTCAACAGCTGTCTAATAGCTGTCAAGCAGACAGCTAACATCTACTTGACTGTGAAACTTGAATACCACTTTCAAAGCGTTGGCTGCACTCAAAACCCAGACTGCCAGAGGCAGTCCATAAAAATCAAAGAGAGCTCGTAAGAACAAAAATTTGAGCTTGGAATCAGACGGCTTTATTCCATTCAAAGGGAACTTGTAATTGATTCTTTAAAGCAGCGGAACAGTGTGGATTTGTGTGACCTCTAGGAAATGAATCAGGCACAAAGCCACATGTCAGTCACCCAGGGTCATGTAGTTCAGCTCAGACACACAGCATACGCTCACGGCATGGTGACAAGTAGATGACTGTGCTCAGGAGAACAGATTACTCAAGGCATGGCATTAACTCATACATCCTTTTGCGTTAGCAGAGAATGCATACATTCAGAACAGAGAAGTTACATAAACGCTACCGAAAAAAAAAAGTTGTGGTCAGTTCGCAGAAATTGATGAGCAGATGCCTCATCAAGTTTGAATATTCAAAATAGGTGCACCCTGAAGCCATTGTCTTGCAAAATGTAAAGGTAAATGATATGTTAGGGAGTAGGCTAAAACACGATTAACACCTAAACTCGTCAAAATTAACACAAAAAGTTTTTAAAAAGATTTTTAAGCCATATACACCACCACACTGCAAGCTTTGTCCTGCTGACCTGAATCCTAAAAGAACCAAACCAACACAAGATTCTCAATGTAATCTGTAAAAATATTTAATCATTTTTTATAAGGTGATTAATTAACTTAGATGAAATCTATAATATATTCCTGGATAAATTACACTCTCCATGTGGCAAACCACACTCTCTCTCACACTCTCACAGACACACACAGTGTAAGCAGCTTCACAACTAACTCACCTTTTTCCAACTCGTAAGCATCCCAAAGTTTTTCTTCTGCTTTTCAGAACAACATAGTCCCATTGTTACTTAAAAAAACCCAAACACAACACAAAAGAAATCCCGTAAAGTTACACGAGCAGTAACTCTGTTCAGCGCGTCTGAGACTCTGCCTGCCTCCTCTCTCTATTCTGTTTTCTGAAGTGGCACCGGGCAGGAAACGTATAGCGATAAAGCTGACTTGACTGACTGGCCTACACAGTCTAACAAGAGATCGATGGCTCCTCCCCCCCGACACAGGCCCGAGCATGTAGTCCCACCTACTTCCCTTTTACTTGATAAAGTAATTCACTGAGGTCATTTACTGGTAGACATCCTGCTTCCTAACATGGCCTCAGGCACCAAACAACTAACATACCTGAGCTCATCACTGAAAAGTCCCAGAAAACAAGTTTGGCAGATTGTAATGCTGACACACTGTGGCGGAAAACGACAAAAGATAGATATTTGGGACAAGTCTTTAAAAGTTGGCTCAGTTCCTTGAACCTTGAATGAAACAGCAGAAACAGAAACCTGATTGCACAGCAGTGGTATTGCGATATGATGTCAAAGCTGTTCCTGTGCAATCTGACAAAAGCCCAGAGTGAGCTAATGCTGCCTCTGTCCCATGTGTGGCTGTTTACAGTGTCAACACACGGCCGATTAGGCCCAGCAAGTTTTCACACTTTAGCAACATTAGAAAGACACATTTCCTAGAAGGTGTTGATCAAAAGTAGGTAAGAAGCATGGAAACAGGTTTCATATTTACCTCTCTCATTCTGCCTTATTTTCCATGATAACAGCAGATTACAGAGGTTAAACTTTTTAATTACAATTAGGCACCATAATCACTACTGTAGCTTGTCTGATCTCCTCACCACCCTTTCAGTCAAAAGGAATCACAACACTATAATTTAATGTCCATTACCCTGCTACAGCTACAGGCCCACCACTACATCTGTTTCAATAATTTTGTCATTTTTTCCCCACTGAAGACGGCGGGGCTTCAAAGATGAAGTGACCACACGTGAGTTAAAGTTTCCTACCCGCTCGCGCTCTGCTCGGGGGCTCGCTCGCACGCTAACCCGCAAAGCGCTAAACTCCTCTAACTGGATTCAGATGGCAGTGTTTGTCCAAGGCCGTCACCAGCATCAGCATGGAAGTGTGGCGAGGCTAATGATAGTGAGGGGCAGGGAAGCAGCGCCTCGCACTGAGGTCACAGCGACCAGACTGGTGGTCAGCAGGGTGTGTGGTCCCATAGCCCCGGATACACCTGTGCCCTTGGACACTGAAAGTGGAGACACCCTGGGTTTGATCGTGGGTTCAATTACATCCTCTCTGGTTCCGAAAAGAAATGGTCTCTTTGTCGGGCATCATGTCATATGAATGCTGGGGAGAAGCAAAAGTCTGCAGATGCTGCATTAATGGTGCAATAATATAAAGGTATTTGACACCAATTTTGCAATAAAAGCATGACTGATATTATTTCTTTCCACCTCTGTACAATTGCACAACAATCCAGCCCACTGATAAATCCAAACTGGAACATGATAAACTGCCGACCTCTGCTCTTTCAAAAGCATGATTGGTCAACAATTCTTAGTGGGGGTATTGGTTCATATTGAGACTCTGAGTCATGGCAAATTATGTGCCCGGCCAGCCCGACCGGGCGGCTGTGCTGCGCTGTGCTGCGCCTGCAGGACCTTGTGCTCATTGTCTTGACAGTCCCAGTGACGTCCCAAAGACTCAACCTGGCCGCCTGGTCAAAGCGCAGCTATTGTCGTCTAGTAACCAGGGAGCAGAGTAGAGGAGAGGGGGGGGGGCACAGGAAATAAAGAGACGGGAAACTGGTGTCACGGTCACAGCCACCCGGCACGGTATGACAGCTCCCCTCCCCATCCCGATCCGCCCTCAGACCACAGTATAGAAGACAGGCGGAAATGGACAACGCCACCCTGGGTGTTCAGAATCTGACGCCGCCACACAGTCTCCACAGTCTGCTCGGGGGTTGAGTAAAACTGTGCAGTGTATAGTAATTTGATTGAGCTCTACACAAATGAAATACGCAGCAAGAAGCATTTTTGTGCATCAAAGCAACGGGAAGTAATTAGTTCTAAATAGCTGCTTTGTGTAGTCTTGCAGTACCACAATGTGTTTATTTAGCTTCACTTAAAACAAATAAGAAAGCTGACTTTTTAAAATTTTAAATGACAAGTTGGATTCATCCAGTCCGTCATGCCAATTAATGAGAATGGATTCTTTATCTTTTTAACTACTCTAGCGCGGTTCTCCAGGGTTGGTTTAGACATTCATGGGGCCTGGAGGATGAGTTCCCGTGACTTTGGGGATCTTCTGACTTTTCCTCCAGAGCCGCCATGAGTTTTCTGTTTTTTCAGTGCAATCATTAAGCATTGGATGATTGCCATGAAAGTTGTTTTCAAAAAAGACACAAGTCATCTACGTTAAATTGGAACAAACATTGCTAAACAGAGGAGGCGCTCTACGACACCGCTTATCAGCCACTTGGAGTGCAGTCCTGAGTTCCTTCCTCAGGCAGCTTCACACCCGTCCACTCCAGGACTCATGTGACCCTAACGGCTCACATGATGGCCAACAACCCTCGAGGTGTTAATGAGCCCACAAGAAGTTAAACGTCTGGAACTGAAGACGGTGAAACGTCCTCAAGAACCTCAGGCAAGTCCACTCTCCTTCGCATGGCACTTAGAAAGGAACCGGCGCCACATCTGAAGGATTTAGCTTGCCAACATTCGTGTCGCCATTTCTAAGTTCCTGACATGCTAATAGGTGAAATTAATATGGGAACATTTATTGTTTTGACTGACCAAACTGTGTTATTGTCTGCGTTTGTAAATTCTTAACAAAGAACAAATGTTTGGTCCGACATAAACTTCAGAACTAAATTGAAAAATATCAGCTATTGTTGCAGCACTGCCTCTTGGTTTCAAAGCAGACATGCAGCAGATGTGACCTTCCTTACTCAACAGCTGGTGAAAAAATATCAATACAAAAGGAGAATAAATTGAGTGTTTTTAATTGTCAGTCTCTGCAACAGAGACTCACGAGTCATGACTACATTTGAATAAGACATGAAGATTTGATTGATTGGGGTATTCAGTTAAAGCTACTCTGAACTTTAGTCTAATCAGTCTTCATTTTATCTGTTAATCTTAAACTATAGTCTGGATTCACTTTTGTCTGTCAGTTGAATGTGACCTTTTAAGATGACGTCAGTTGAGAAAGAGTGCCCATGTCCCACAGAGCCCAACATAACAACAGAGCCAACATCCACACCACCATAAAACAATGACAAATGCATCTGTGTGCAGTTTAAATCACACTGTAACTACTCCTGTATAACAGCCTGTTGCATAACACACCATGTGTCTCAGGTCGTTTGAATAAGGAAAGGACATTGAAGCAGAACGTTTTCTGTGGAACACAGGCAATGCTATGCCTGCTATGCTATTCAAAGGTAAGAGGAACTTAGTAGTCATGTATGCAAAACAAACACTGCACACACTTTTTTTTTTTTTTTTTTTACAAGAGATCCATAAAATGATGATGCCAGCTCATACCCTACCACAGAACAGCTGTTACTTTGCAAGTGCGTCAGTGTGGCAAAAAGCAATTTACATTTTGCATACCCTGTGCAAATGGACAACCACACTGCAACAAAAACCTATTGTACAGCTGTGAACAAGTCAGTCAAGCCTTTAGTCTCAATATCATGGCTTCTGACAGAACACTACAGAATACGTAGTTGTTTGTTAGATATATTAGATATACCTAGATTGAACCTGTGAAATTATCACCTCTGGTCTAAATCTTTGTTTCAGTGTGCTGTGTTCCTGGGAGATCTTATGGTGATCATTTGTGCACTGGGTGGAACAGGCATTGACACAGTGAAATGTATGTTAAGAGTTTAAGCTGCACTGTAAGACGCATTTATAATTATCAGACATGCTGAGCACAGAGCTGTTTATGTGTCAATAGCAAATTACAGGTTCCGCTGCTGAACTTAAAGAATTATCGATTGTCTCGAACTCCCTATTTTCTGAGAGTTCACTTTTTTTTTTTTTTTTTTTTACCCCAGATCCCCCCATATATGATTCCCTTCAGCTAATTGTTTAAAATATTAAAAATATTACAGTGTTCTGTTTGAAGAAGAGAAATGTGTGTTGCACAGGAAGACGTTTAAATGAGGATCAACATTAACAACTGCAGTTTCATTTGCAAAAGTCCCATCCATCCGAGAACAGATTTTTAACGTTTAAAATAAAAAAACACAGTATTTGATGTATGGATATAAAAACGTTTGAGCAAATGCATTGTTTGCATATATACATACATAAATATATTGTATATTAAATGAATTGTCTTACCTTGTTGGAGGCCATGTCACTGACAGAGCGGTAGGTCTGGATGGTCTCCAACTGGTCCAGACACCAGTCCAGCTCCTCCATGGTCTCCATAGCCAGCTTCTGGTAGGACTCATCTGCCAACAGACACATGGACACGTAATCAGGGCCAAGAGGATCCATGTCCATAGCCGAGCCCCCCGACACCATGCATGCAGGTCCGAGGGTCCCAGAGTGGCTTGATCGTACTGAGGACTGGCCCGCAGGACATCCGGGAGAGGCAGAGGAAGAGGGGGAGGTGTGTACACAAAGCTCCTTCATCTCGTTACGCTCCACCGCCTCAGAAAGTTCAGGGAAGTCGTACTCTCAGACAAACTGAGGCTAGAGTTACTGTTTGCTGACTCTCCCTCTCTGTAGGCTCTTTCTCTCTGTACCCCCTCATTCCCTCGCTCTCATGCGCTCTGCAAACCCCCTCCCACTCTGTCTGCCCCCCCCCCCCCTCAGTACCACTCCACTGAGCCAGTGGCTTGCAAACTAGGCGGTCTGCTGCCTCCTGCTGTTGATGTGTCTGTGACCCCCCCCCCCCATTCAAACACATACAAACTGTGTGTACATAGAGGTACAGTACACAACCCCAAAGCCTGAGGAGAAGCTTTTGGTGAAAGAGATCCATCTGGCTTTGCTTTTTTATATTCCCTTTGTAACATTTCCATACAAACAAATGCATCAAACACCTAATATTTTAAAAGTACAGGAACAAGAAGAGAAACGTCCGGAAGATGAGGCAGAGACAAAAAACACTGCTTTAGCTTATTTAATGCACTTTGTCAACTACTGATGACTTCCTTTCTGAAACATGCAGACCACTTCAAGGCTGTACTCTGCTGAACTGTAGCAGCAGCTCACACCACACCACCATGCTTCACAAACTGGCTCTCTCCTCTCTGAACCTCTCTGAGGGAGAGAGAAAAAAAAAAATAAAAAAATTATATCAAACACCAAGCTCTGTATTTGCACAAGCAACACGAGAGGCAAACTTTGACTCCCTGAATTGGAGGGAGGCCAGGCCAGGGTCTCGCTGTGTGCCAAAGAAACCAAAGCACTTCCTCTTTGGCCCTGAACTCACACAAAACATGGAGCGGAATTACTGAATGGCGGAGTGACTGCTGAGGACAATCATAGCTGTCATTCGATGAAATAGCTCTGTCGTTAGCAGCTATGACTCACGCGCGGTAGGCGGATAAGTTTTAGGAAGGAAAAAAGTGGTTTATAAGAAATGCACTGAGATGATAAAACAGGAAACAAACTAAGAAGCATCATATTCTGATATGCCAGGGAGAATGTTGATTCAACAAATTTCTGCCTGGAGGGAGCAAACACTCAGCGCATCTGGATCGCCCCGTTTTCCTTTTTCTACGGAAAAGACTGATCTCTACTTCATAGGGCTTCACACATGGAAGAAATTTGCCCCATATGCTTAGCACAACAGGACAGCCAGCGTGCTGCTCCCCAATTTACGTCAATATAGTGGATCAAAGCACTTCAAAGCACAGTGATGGCGCACAGACTCTGAACCACTGGCGTTTAACAAAGAACTTCAATGAGATCTCAGACAACCTATGTGCAGTTAAGGAAACCTCCCACCATTGAAAAGGTATCAGAACAACATGATGAGGGCGACTCTTCTGAATCACAAAGGACAATCAGGTTTTGCCGTTTAAGTTTGACTGTGTGTGTGTGTTTTTTTTTTTTAAGAAATCATGCCACTGGCTCCTCAGATTACATGAGGAAGACTGCTAGCATTAGCCACATTCCTCAGGTCAGAGCAGTTTTCCTTTACTTGCGATCCAGGTTGGAGATTCAAAGAACCCTTGGCTACAATATACCGCTGGACGCCAAGCTTCGTGGTCCAAACTATTCACAGGAACCACTGGCATCCGAGCCATGTAAAAATCAGTGACATAGAGCAGAAAGTACAACATCAAAGCAGCTCATGCACAAGGTGGTGAGCTGTTGAAACTGGGTATATATCCATGTGCGGCCGGCTTGAGCCATAGGGGCAAGTTGATGTTGCCAAGAAGGTGCGACCACATCCTGCCCCTGTTCCCTCCGATGAGGGTATATAGAGACATTAGACATTTTAACAGGCAGTCGGTGAACATCAAAGAGCTGGCTCTTTCAAACCACCTGTATGACCAGGGTTCAGGTCATTTTGAAACTGGCAGCTGCTTCATGCACACAGGCCAGAATTTGATGGCAGTAAACCAGTCAGATGTAGACTGCAGAACAAAAGTTTACTGGCTTTGGTCTCTGGCTTCGAACCATTTGCGTAAAAGCAAGATCACTGAAGCAGAACTTCACACATTCATCTCTGGTGTTTCCTATGGATGACAACAGTTGGACCTGGAGCCATGCTTCGCTAGTATGACTCACGTAATAATCAGATTTGCGAGTAAAGTTGTAATTAAAACAAAGTTATGTGCACACACGCACACAGTAGGAGTAGATGGGACTGCTGAAGCCATCATCACCTCTGGTCGATCATAAATACAGTGCTAAATGGGCTGACAGACGTTTCACAATGTCACCAGTCAAAGGTGGCGTGACGAAGTTTCAGTCTGAAAAACCTGCTCCCAGACAGAGTGCGAGGTACTTTTCCAGCCTGTTTTTCAGTGGAAGTCTTTTTTCTTTTTTTCTTCTTCAGCGAGTCCTAATGCTTTGGCCATATGCTGGAGGCTGCCCAGAGGACAACAGACCTCAGTGTGCAGACAGACCCCGTCTGCCTCCCCTCTCTCCCTCCATCTCTCTCCCCCTATAGGGCCACAAACCGACCTCTGTGAGAGCCATCAACTGCACTAACGACCAGGGCTGGGCTCAAACACCCCCACTCCCCCACCTCCATTCCCGCCCGAGACACCTTCCACTCACATCCACCTCACACTGCCCCTCTCTGTGCTCTCAGCCCACCCCCCAAAACCTGTTTCTCTTGCTGTCTGGCTGAAGCTTGGTCTGCACAACTCTTCTGTCTCATCTATTATACCACCTACTGATGAGCTATAGCCAGTCATGGATTAAATATTCAGATCCTTTACTCAAGTAAAAGTAATAATATCATAGTAATGAAATAAAATCACTACAAGAAAAACCCTGCGTTCAAAATGTTACTCAAGTACAGACACATTATCAGAAAACCGTACTTCAGTATTAAAAGTAAAGTAGTCAGTTTGCAGAGTGGCTCCTGTCAGAGATGTTATAATTGTATATATGTCATTATTTCAGTTTTTATTACTAATGCATTAACATGTAAGCAGCAGGACAAGAGGAATCAAATTAAAGGGAAAACCAACATTAAGTGTCTTAGTAAGGTGTTGGGTCACCATGTGCCTCCAGAACAGCGCCAATGCTCCGTGACATTGATTCTACAAATCTTTGGAGGGATGAACGACTTTCTTCCAAACGACGTTCCCTCATTTAAAGTGTTGAGCGCTGTCTTACATGTTGGTCCAAAATCTCCCTGTGACTGTGATGGTCATAGCATTTGATTCACATAATTTTTATACTTATTAAACAATTCAGTGACCCCTTGAGCCCAATGGATGGGGGCATTGTCATCCTGTTCCACTCATTTTATGTTTATTCCTTTATAGGTAGTTTAATCTATAAGAATGTATCATGTATTTTGTCTGTAAAATCAAAATCTGAAGAAACTTGTGATTATAAATTTCAAATAAATGCAGCACAATAAAAAAAAACAAAAAAAACCAAAGAGATGCATAAAGTAGCATAAAAATGGAAAAGCATAAATTAAGTACTTTTCCCGAAAAATGTACTTTATTATTCAGTAAATGTACTTAGTCATTTCCCACCATAGGTTTCTGTGTGTAAGCAGCTTTACAGGCTTGACATACTGTACAGTTGAGTATTTGATTTTTCATGGTGAGGTTGACTTCAACACAGTGACTAATATGACTTGAGTTGTGTTTATTCATTCTAGTTGGACTTGTCAGAGAGTAATGCAGCCAGTTATAACAGAGAGTCAATGAAAGAGACTTGAGTCACCGCCGGCAGGTAAAGAGAAAACAGCTATGAGCTATCTGCATGTACGCAAACACACACACACACACACACACACACACACATTCCACATCTTGACCTCAGCACGTTATGAAGATAGAAAACACATACTTGGACACTGCTACGTGCACATACTCAGCTCTGTTTGTGCCTCACTGCGCACTATACGTGGAGCTGAGACAGAAAGGGTGGTTGGGTTGGAATGAATCACCTTTGTATCACCCCCCCACCCACCCCACCCCACCCCCTTCTCTCTTGAACACTGCATTCATCCTAATTAAAATACGTGAGGGTACTGTATATGCTAATGCTGCAAAGTCACTGTAGCAGAATGAAAACATGCAGCAGGGCATGTCGAGCAGCGCCCAACTGTTTATGAGCAAAGCACTGAAGCTGCTACTCCAACTCTGGCCTTTGACCTCTCTGTTGCAAAGGATCAGACGACATAAATAAGCTCTTCGCTGTCTTCAAAGCTCTGGTTTTTGCTGGTATGTCGGCCTCTCCGTGTGGTCGACAG